AAACACCTTTATTTTTTATCTAACCATTTCTTTTTAAAATTTAAAACATTCACAAAAAAAATATCAAAAATAAAAAAATTTTTAAAAAAAAAAAAAAAAAAAAAAAAAAAGAAAAGAAAATACAAACTAAATGATAAAGATTACACGTGACAGCGCAGTAGCTGGGAGGAATGATCAACCATTGATGTTGCTGGTGGCGTTGGTGAGTGGGCTGCGGTGCACGGGGTTGCTGAGCGGAGGATCCGAGAGGAGGGATTATAGAAGGACGAAGAAGAAGAAAGAGAGGAAGGATGGCGCAGAAAAAGATGGTTTCTGGGAGGTTTGCTTATGGTAGCTGACGTTTAATGGAGAGTACGAAAATTGGCTAGTGTTGTTGTTTTGCCTGTGGGGCGCTTATATGCCAATCTGTCAGTGGGACGTTGCGCCAGTGTGCGCCAGAGAGTGCGCCAGAGTGTGCGCCAGAGTGTGCGCCAGAGGGTGCGCCAGAGGGTGCGCCAAAAAGACGGTGCGTGCGTAGTGTAGCGTGCCCGTGCGAGGTGTGCTAGTGACCAGTGCGCAGTGTGCCAGTGCGTAGAATTCACCCCCATATTGAGACAAATTATACTGGGACATAGCGCATAGCGAGCGAGCACTGCAGAATCAGCAGAGAGCAGACGAGAACATGGACTGAATGGTGAAAGCTGAAAGCACTTAGCAAACACCACAACAATACCAAAATTCCCTCTTTTAAGCCCTCAATTAGTCCTCCCTTATGCATAGAAAGCGCGATATAATCTCACAGCATTCCATAGACGCCATTAACGCAACGAATACTCTCTATCCACCTCTGCTGGCTGCTCTCTGCTGTGAACTTACTGGCCCCTACGCTAGCAAAAAGTTGCACTAATTTTCGCAGTACCGCTCCCCCCCCCAATTAACCCAATTGGTTCGCGCCTCACACAAACTTTTTGTTTCCTTATTTTTTACTCCTGCTCGAACGCCGGGTAACGACTTGACGATTGAATTCAAAACAAAAACAAACATCAACAAAGGATCAGATATTTTCTGCTCGGTCAGTGCAGGGTAGTCAAAATTAGTTGAAGTTAATTTGCTTTACATTTTTTTTAGAATCTTCCTAGACAGAACTGCAAAGATATCTAATGAGAGAAATTGTAAGTGATACTATTTCAACCAGGGTGGAACAGGGGCAGGGTAGATCGTAAAAGTGACCGAAGACGTGAACTAGTTAGAAGGGAAAGGCATGAGTATCTTTTTTTTTTGCTTTTTTCGGCTCTTTACGACACGGTCTAAAAAAAAAATTACTAGTATCCATGGAGATGGAAACGCCTTCACGCCGGGCTATTTGGAGAGAAGAGCTCCAGACCTGTAGTACAATGAGGGCTCAAGCCTGTAAGAGGGCGGGCCCGTTTAATGCCTTTTGGCGTGAGCTGGTGCTGCGATCTGATCTGAAACGCATCAGGGTAGATCAAGGGCGCCTTCATCGTCATTTTCAGATTTTGATTTCTGGTCATCCTGCCTAAGTCCCCACTGGTTTTCTTTTATTTTGTTTCCCTAGTGATTCAAGCAAGTATACTAACATAGCTCTAGATCCATTTATCCACTGGTCAATGTGGTAACCAAATCGTAAGTATCGCTGAGATGTAGAAGTAGAACGGCAGTGAACAAAGTTGGCGTCAGCACAAAATGATATATATGAAGACATTGCTGACCAATTGAGCACTGATTCTTGTTTGGCGAGCTGGCTGCAGGTTTATTAATGGAATAGTACTGCAAGCCCTGTAGGCAAACGCTCCGAGAGAGTATGAGTTCGGGTTGGAGAGGATCCATCCTGACACGAAGACAGAGATCATCAGCCAAGTCTCAGTGAGAGCAATTGAGCCAAATGGAGAAATTTAGTGTGAACCAATTTCGCTGAGTCCGCGTAAGCACTAGGTTCTGTGAGAAACAGCAATGAATAGAAGTTGACGCGACAAGAATCGTATTTGGTTTATATTGCTGTTCTCAATGGTGATGGCCTGCCCAGAAATCAACACCAACAATTATCTTATTCACTGCGTCACTCTTATTTTGAACCCACATTTCTTTTTATTTTGTTACTAACTTACTTTTAGGGAACTGCTTTCTGGGAAACCATTTGTGGTGAACATGGTTTAGATAACAATGGTAACTATCATGGGGAAGATGAAATCCAAAAGACCAAATTGGATGTCTATTTTAACGAAGCTTCTTCTGGTAAATACGTTCCAAGAGCTGTGTTGGTTGATTTAGAACCAGGTACTATCGATGGAGTTAAGACTTCCAAGATTGGTAACTTATTTAGACCTGACAACTTTATTTTCGGACAATCCTCCGCTGGTAATGTTTGGGCCAAGGGTTACTACACTGAAGGTGCTGAATTGGTTGATTCAGTTATGGATGTGGTTAGAAGAGAAGCTGAAGGTTGTGACTCCTTACAAGGTTTCCAAATCACACATTCCTTGGGTGGTGGTACCGGTTCAGGTATGGGTACTTTATTAATCTCCAAAATTAGAGAAGAATTTCCAGATAGAATGATGGCCACTTTCTCAGTTGTCCCATCTCCAAAGGTCAGTGATACCGTTATTGAACCCTATAATGCTACGTTATCCGTTCATCAATTGATTGAGCACTCAGATGAAACTTTCTGTATCGATAATGAAGCCTTATACAATATCTGCCAAAGAACATTAAAGTTACCTCAACCAAACCATGCCCAATTAAATGGATTAGTCTCATCAGTCATGTCTGGTGTTACCACTTCATTAAGATACCCAGGTCAATTGAACTCTGATTTGAGAAAATTAGCAGTGAACTTAGTCCCATTCCCAAGATTGCATTTCTTCATGGTTGGTTATGCACCATTAACTTCAATTGCCTCAAATTCATTCAGATCATTGACCGTTCCAGAGTTAACTCAGCAAATGTTTGACGCTAAGAACATGATGGCTGCATCTGACCCAAGAAATGGTAGATACTTAACTGTAGCTGCTTTCTTCAGAGGTAAGGTTTCCGTCAAGGAAGTCGACGACGAAATGCACAAGGTTCAAATGAAGAACGCATCTTCCTTCGTCGAATGGATTCCAAATAATGTGCAAACAGCTGTTTGCTCAGTCCCACCAAAGGGATTAGACATGTCTGCCACTTTCATTGGTAACACTACCTCTATTCAAGAGTTATTCAAGAGAGTTGGTGATCAATTCAGTGCTATGTTCAGAAGAAAGGCTTTCTTGCACTGGTACACATCTGAAGGTATGGAAGAGTTTGAATTCACGGAAGCTGAATCCAACATGAATGATTTAGTCAGTGAGTATCAACAATATCAAGATGCAGGCGTTGATGATGATGAAGAGTTAGAATACGCAAATGAGGCTCCATTAGAAGATGGATTAGAGTAGTTTCTCGTTTGAGCTTGATTCTGTTCTTTTTCTCTATTTCTTGTTTCTATTTACGTTGGATGCAGTAAATTCCGTAAATTAATAGTGTTTTATTCTTTATAATAGTTTAGGTATAAATATAAAAAAAAAAAAAAAAAAAAGATCAAAAGGTGTAGAGAATCAAGCAATGTCAATTTTAGTTTACATGGCTGTGGTATGCTCAATAGTAAGTATGCCACCTCTTGCACTACGGTACATGGCTTTAGGATAATCTACATAGCACTGCAATCTGAAAGATCCTGAACTACAAGGTTACTCGTTCTTATCGTATGTTCTCTTTTTTTTATTATGATACTAATATATATATGCTCTTTCTAACTCTATGGATTGTTTCCCCTCAAGAAACCCTTAATGAAATCGTTCTTGTCTACAACATTGTAATTACTTTGGTCTTCAAAGTATCTCAATACATGACATTGTTGCTTCCAGAAGTTGATAATCTCTTGGAATTCCATTTGACCCTTCATGTATAATACGTTAGCTACAGATAAATCGTTGACAAATCTTTGTCTTTCAAACTCTTGTCTAATTTTAGTTTTCACGTTTGAGACTGGCATATCCAATTCATATAATTCTGACATTTCCTTAGAGTATCTCATATATTTACGGTACAAATGCAAAACTCTTGATCTTAATTCGGCATTAGAGGCTGAACGACGAGTAGTCTCAGCAAATTCAGTAGCCAAGGTCATGGTAATGTGCTTTGTAACGTTCAACTACTCTGGTTTGTTTTCGTCTGCTTCTCTTTAGACCATTTCGATATTTGAAAAAGATTGTTTTTGGTTGGTTCTCATGGTTACACAAAGGTAGAAATGGCACGTGACTTGGTATGGATAAAGTTCTGTGAATCAGTGGGAAAGGATATAGGTTAGTATATAGATACGTTAGATCTCCGGCATCATCTTGTCTATTCAGTGAACCATAATGTTGGGCTCTAATTACTTTAAGTGTCTGATTGCTTGTTTTTGTTTTTTTTTTTTTCCTTTTCATATTTTATTTTCTTTTCTCTTACTTTCTTTCTCTCTCCTCCGTACATTTTCTCTTCTCTATGTTCCATAGGAACAAAATGGCTGCGAAAAATCATAATGCAGGGCTTGGGCTCGGGCTCGGGTTCTGGCTTATCCATGGTGAAGTGGCCATTTTAATCTACATGTGAACGTATGCATTCCTTTTTATTTTCTATAAATCTATACGTCAACTTCCTTTTTAATAAGTCTAAGTAATTCACTCGACGGATCAAGCAATTTAATAAATCTACAAAGCTCAAAGCACCAATCCCATTTCTTGGCCGTATCCAACATTTTGATAATCGATAGTATGATTTGCTTGTCCTGTGAATCAAGAAGCTGAACTTTTCCATTTCCTGCCACTGGTACTTCGTACTCCTTCTTGAAATTAAGGTAAATGATTAAATAGTTGTAACATAATTCAACTTCCCCAATTGAGATCAATTTGTTCATAAACTTCAATGGAGTGGTTTGCAAAGTATCAAAGAATTTGTGCCAGAAGCCCACCTCTATTTTCCTCAAACAGTTGATATAAATTGACTCTGATGATGATCCACTTTGTGAGTCGATAACGTGTATGAGTAACTTTAGAACACTTCCTCCAGAAGAATAGACCTCATTCTCTGCGGATGGTGCTGGTGATGGCGACATTGATGACAGGACCAACTCATTGTCCAAGTTAGTCAAATATTTGAATAAAAGTAACTCCAAACAATAATGGAAGTTTGAAAATCTTTCATACTTAGAAAACACTGCAAGAACATTTTTATTTCCTTTGTTCTTGATAATATCAGATTCAACAAAGTTGTTCAAGATGAGCTTATGGTTAATTCTAGTTTTGAGCATCAAATATTTATTCTTATAGCTGGCAAAATTTTCCAAACCAAGTAAATTGATAGATTTGCCTGTTGATAATTGAATCGTCAACGGCTGGAAATACTCATCCAATTTGATGACAATTGGATACACCAAAGTATTCAGTGAGCTATTGATAATATCTCTTAGCGTATAAACCAAGATTGACGAACCAGTAAATAAATACATATATTGTTGATGAAATATGCTTTTGAATTTGAAAAAATCAACACAATTATTAAGCAATATTAAGTCGTAAACCTTGGGATCTTCAACTTGATTTTTGAGGATATAGAATTCTCCCGTGTTAAGTAATATTAAGAAGTGTTTGTTATCTATCAAGTTAATTTGGGAAATGTTGTTTATCAATAATTTTTGTGCAATTGTCTTCAAATATATTGTCTTGTTGATCCCAATAAAAAGCTGAGGTGATCTTTTGACCTTTTGCTTAGAAAATGTAAATTTGAATATTATGATTTTATACTCGTTCGTTACAACTATTAAATTATCCGATAAATTTTGACCAGATGTTTCCTCTTTGCTGCCATTACGGTTGCCATTAATTTCTGATAAATCATGGCCATTTAAATCTGACTCTTCAGTATTCGATTCTGCTCCAGAATTGTAGAAATTACTTTCGTTACTTTGGAATTGATGGCAGATAATTGATTGCTTTAAATTGTATCTCCAAATGATTAAATCACTATCAAATTTCACATTAATACCACCATTTCCATACCTTGTCGAAGAACAATTCAAAATAATAATTTCATCTGTTAGTTTATTTACATTTTCTGTTCCATTTTCTGTCTTTTCATCTTCACTATTATTATAGCTTCTATTGATCAATATCAAATAATTCTGGTACCAAAAATGGTCAATAATGTTCATAGTTTCCATAAAGTAGTTTTTGAAATTAAACCAAAGGATATGGTTCACATCTCCAGGAATAGGGTTTGTTGAGTATGGGGTGGATAAGGAGATTTTATCTCCATATGAAATTGAGATTTGATTACTACTATTAGATGCAATAGTAAGCTTTGCTGGTAAGCAATTTTTACCAATTAATCCAGAATTAACTACTCCCCTACCTCTTCCAATTGCGCATTGATGGCTCATTTTTCGTATTATATTTTTGAAATGGGGTAAAATGGGGTATTTGTACAAGGTAGATATCCCCTTTTCGTTGTTATATAAACTGAGGTAATCGTTGCTTGCAAATATCAAGTCAATACCTGAGTTATCATCATTGCGGTCAGAATTATTCGTCAAGGTGAGTAAGTCTATCAGATACACTGTCGTATTGCTGGAATCAATTAAGATTATATTTTTGGAGTTAGGAGTGATCAAAACCTCCGATGGATGCAAAAACCTAAAATCTGAATTGATGGAAGTAGGACCTGTACTGTTGCCATCGTGGCCACCTTCAAAAGTCAACTCCTTTGAGATCTCGCCTGAGTTGAAAGTGCAATTTCCAAATTTAGAAAATATGAGCCAATGGTGGTCAATTACTACAGTGAAAAACTCTCCACAAGGCGACCAATTAATGGAGTGAACAATCATACCAGGTGATCCACTATGAGTGTCAAGTGTTTTTGAAGTTAAATGCGTCTGTTTGTTTGTATATGGGATTGCCACAGATTTTATAAGAGTAAGTCTGGCACGATCAAATGACTCTACACGAAACAAGCTGAGAACAGAGTCAGTAGAGTCAGCATCAATTCTCTGAAGGATGAAGATATTAATCTGCGGGTTGAACTGAATCGAGATCCTTCTCTGCTGGATAACTTTGTCCCCTAATTTGTAACCCTGGAGCTTGTTTTCGTTATTAAAGGACATGTACCAAATGTCACCCACTTCGTTGGTAAACAAGAAATAATTGAACCATTCGTTGTATTGTACATAAGTTACTGGTGAATCTGTCTCACTTTTGTACCATTCGAACTCGTCAAACCGGTATACGTCGTTGTTGAACAGCTTGACGTTAATTATCTGCAACTCGCCATTTTTAAAAATAAACAAGTTATGGGAATTGTTCTTCAACCAGAATGTATCTATCCCAATCGAAACCTTCAAAATCTTATGAATAGATAGCTTTAAGTACGGCACTTGGAAATTGTTAGCCTCGTCCTCTGCCTCGTGGTTATTGATATGCTCTATGTTCTCCAAGCCCTGCATGTGGTCTCCTCCAGTTATGATACTTCTGGTTGCACTTTTTAGCAAATTTGATAAGGAGAACAGGGAAATTGTATTGATCAATGGTAATCCCAATTGGAGTATTTCATCGGATTTGGAGTCCAAAATCTGAAAGAACGATCTGTTGTAGTTGACCTCAATCAGATAAATGATCAAGTGAGTGCTGGAAGTCTTGACGAAGATATTTATGTGGTTAGCTTCCTGAAGCTTTGCAGAATTGACCGAGTAGTACTGGGCCTTGCATGACAAATTGGAGCCATGTAAATCTAGAGATTCCTTGGTTCTTGTGTGGGATTTAAGCGGTAAAAGAGTGTACTGGTGGTACACTGATATACTTGACTTGGTTAAAATCACGTACAACGGTGAATGCGGTATAGAAATGATAGACAAGGGGTGCTCCTGCTCAACGTATGGAGCCTGTAACGTCGGCGACGAGTCTACCCAAACCATGTCTCGAGCGGTATGTATTATTTGTATGTGGAAGACCTTCTTGTGGAGAGCAACTGCCACCATTGGCTTGTTGATATACAGCCGCTTAAAGAGAGAAAAGTGATTTGTGTTATTTGGTACTGCAGACAGCGCACGCTGCGCATGTACGGTTGAGCCAAGAGGGAATCAAGAGGTATGCAACAGTGTATACTACGGTGTGAAGACACTGTGAAATGGGCCATTGGAGCAGATAAGGAGAGTTAGGCCGCTTCCTCTTTGTAGCTGTGTATTGTTTCAGTCGAAAAAAAAAAAGGGATCAATTGTGAGTGTTTCAGTCATTGCAATGGGCATCCCATGCCGATAATATTATTTGGTGAGTGAAAAATGCAACACTGGGAAAAATCACCGAGAGATAGTGACAGGAATACAGAGTAAAAGATGTGTGATGTAGCTCCAAATGTGAATGAATATAGTTCTGGAAGGGTGTTACACCAACAATTTTAGGGACTCAAAAAAAGGAAAGAGACCCATATCAATCGGATACAGTAGATCGACATTGAACGGCTTAGTCAGTGGAATTCGCAGAACAGAAATAGGTAGGGGCCGTTTCGAGAAGCCAGTGCAGAGGGAGCAGAAGTGTAATTTTTCGCGTGGGGTTACCCACTATATATTGTAAGTAGAGAAGGCCTAGATCAATAGGCGCACCCGGCGTTGTTTCAGGTAGCCCAGACATGCTGCCCAGGCAGGGCACTTTCTAGAGTGACAGCACTATCTAGAGAGACATCAGGACCTAATCAATTTCCAATTCGCAGCCAATGCTCTCAGCTGTAGTGCTCGGTAGGACTGCCATTTCTCCCACACTTCGAGCTTGCTGAGCTTGTAGAGCTCACCGAGCTCGCTGGAGCCTACATTCTCTACACATTTCTTTCTTATGTTACTTAACTATATTATAACCACCAAATATGTATATATGTATATATAGATTAACGGTAAGATTTTTGGAATCTGGCTCTGGCACCACGACCACCGAACTTCTTTGGTTCCATTCTTCTGGAATCAGCAACTAACAAGGTCTTGTCGTAAGCAGCAAAGATCTTCTTTAATTCGTTCTTGGAAGCTTCGTCAACGTATTTTTGATGGTAAGCAATTAAACCCTTGGCAATAGCTTGTCTGATAGCGTAAACTTGAGAAACGTGACCACCACCGGTGACCTTAACTCTGATATCAATGTTTTGGAACTTGTCTAAACCGACTAAAGTTAATGGTTCGTAAACCTTGAATCTTAAGATTTCTGGTTGAACCAAAGTGATTGGGGAACCGTTAACCTTGATTAAACCCTTACCGGCCTTAACGTGGGCGACGGCAGTAGCGGTCTTCTTCTTACCGAAAGTCTAAAAGAGATGTTAGTAAAAGGGGAACATTGGAAAAAGGTCGATGATATCACAGTATCACTGAGAGTCAGAGAGTCAGAGAGAGTAAACATGGCGTGCAGATGGAGAAAGATCGATAATCGGGTGTTGTGCACATTTGGACATCTCAATTCGCCGAGAGTGAATGATTCTCACTGGCGCTACTGATACTGGTGCACCAGACGAGTTGGTGAGTGTGTGAGTGGGGTCACTGTACGATGCAAACCTGGCCCATATTGTGGTATCCCTAGACATTTGTTCACACTGGATCCATTGGCGGTGAAGTCGTATCCTCCCGGGGTGAAACCGTTCTGGCACCATCTCAATAGCGCTTGATATCAATTAATACAGTGTACATCTCCTCCGTACAGCCTGGGCTCTTTCTGAAAAATTTTTTTTTCGGCCACATCAACTTGCTGATGCTCAAACATTCAACATGAGCAAACTATCACTCAAACACAACACAGATATTCCACTATAAAACGTTTAAAACGGTGCAGATTTTCGATTCTTTCTTCCCTCCTACGTATGTAACTCCCCCTCCTTCTACATTATACATACTTGAACAGATGGAGTAGACATTGTTGCTGATTAACTATTCTTCGATGTAGGATGAACTTTTCAAAAATTTCTTTAAAATTTCATCTATAATTTTGTGAGAGTGAGTATTTTTTTTTTCTTCGCTCTACGGAGAAAGGGCCCTGTGTACAGGAACCACAGCACCCAACCAGGACCAGCAGCAGCGTTAACGAAAAAGAAAAAAACCTACGAGCCTGGTGCACCATCGTTGTGACTGCTTTTTGCGCACTACAATAGCGAATATCCGGCACATAGAGGGGATTTGCTGATTTTCGCACGTAAACAGGGGATTTTGTGTCACGAAAGTGAAAAAATTCACCAAAAAAAAAAAAAAAAAACTTTCACCCATACCGAGCGCATTCCCTGGCAAGCACTGCTCCCATCCTACTAACACCCACCTCGAACCCACTCCCACACACTCTCTTCCCAGTGGTAGTGAGTCTCTTTTTCGTTTTTTTTTTTTTTTCTACCTAGTGTTTTCCAAAAGGTAAAGAAAAAGAAAAAATTTTCTCTTCTCTTCTTAGTTTTGATACTTCTTATATACTTCAGTAACAATGGCTATCTCAAAGAATCTTCCATTATTAAAGAACCACTTCAGAAAGCACTGGCAAGAAAGAGTCAAAGTTCACTTTGACCAAGCCGGTAAGAAGGCTTCTAGAAGACAAGCTAGATTATCCAAGGCTGCTAAGTCTGCTCCAAAGCCAATCGACACTTTAAGACCAGTTGTCAGAGCTCCAACTATCAGATACAACAGAAAGATCAGAGCTGGCCGTGGTTTCACTTTAGCTGAATTAAAGGCTGTTGGTTTAACTGCCAAGTACGCTAGAACCATCGGTATTTCCGTTGACCACAGAAGACAAAACAAGTCCACTGAAACCTTTGACTTAAACGTTGCCAGATTAAACGAATACAAGTCTAAGTTGGTTATCTTCGACAAGAAGACCAAGGCTGCTGAAATCGCTACCCACGCTCAAGTTTCTACTCCAGCTACTTTCCCAGTTGTCCAACCAAAGGCTGACTCTACTCCAAGAGCCGTCGAACAACAAGAACAATCTTCTTACAGAACCTTAAGATTAGCTAGATCTGACAAGAGATACAAGGGTATCAGAGAAAAGCGTGCCAAGGAAGCTGCCGAAGCTGAAGCTGACAAGAAGAAGAAATAAGTTGTATAGTTTTATATTAATCTTAGTCATATCGAACGATGTCTTGATTGTAGAGAAAAATAAACTTAATAATAGAGGAAAGGTGTAGACAGATTTGAAAGTAGAGTGCTTGTTCTCTATTCGCCCACTCTCTAATCTAGCTCTGTTTAGTAGCTCTGCTCTAGCTAGACTTAGTATGGGGGTTCTCCGATCAAGTTGGTGAATTTTGTTAGGTGAAAAATTAATTCGCAGTCCATCTCTCTCTCTCTCTTAACTATGGTCAGGTTACTACTACACGGGGCCCCATCTAAACGCATTCTACAGTCTCTACTTCGTGAATTTCTAATAGATAAATGTACATTAGTTACTTGAATATCAAGATTCTTCCATATTATTACCTAGTTCTTTAATCGAATAAACCGAATCCCATGTCGTCATCGGATTCTTCCTTGGCTTCTTCGGCCTTTTCTTCTTCAGCTTCTTCAGCAGCGGCACCAGAGGCGGCACCGGCAGAAGAACCAGCAGCTGGGGCAGCAGCTGGACCAGAGGAGATGTTGAAGAACAAGTCCTTTAAGTTTTGGTTAGCTAAAGCCTTGGCGAAGATGTCAGCCCAGATACCTTCAACTTCAACGTTAGCCTTTTGAGTTAATTGTAATAACTTTTCAGCGGTGATTTCAACTTCAGCGTCAGCTAAGATTAAAGCGGCGTAAGATAAAGCAGTTTCAACAGACATTGTATTATAATTATATTACTAGAGATAATCGATTTAAGCGACTCTTGCAGACTATTTCTTAGTTTGTATGTAGTAAGAGAAAGAAGAGTAGCGTACTGGAGCTTGGGAGTTGATGCGAAATATTTTTGGAAAAGATTTGGAAAGATTCTTGCGCTAGGGCTGGAGCCCTAGGAAGAGCGCGAAGAAACACTGGGTCAGATTTGGTGCGATGATCTACATGCAGGACCATATCTGCCATTTATTCACTATGGGCATGTTCAAACTAGTGTGAGTGTGTTGGCGGGCTGGTGTAGTGAGTACACTGAATTAATGTACTACAGAGAATGTATTTACCCCGACTTCAAGTACTTACGCATCTTGTTTCAGATGCAGCCTTGGTCTTTTCCCTTCATGTTTCTTTTTTTCATGATTGCTTTAACGCGTTTACTACTCTCAACCTCTCCCTCTCTCTCTCTCTCTCTCTCTCTCTATCTTAACTAGTAGATCTAACGGTTCCAATCGCTATTGTGTGCAGTCCCAAATCGACTACAGCACAGCTGTACCTAGAGTTAACCATACTACTAACTATACTTAGTGCTAGTGTTAGTGTAACGCTGTCTCCCAGTCTTCATATGGAGGATCGATCTCAGTCCCGTTTACATAATTTTGCAAATATGCACAAGCTCTCTTCTGTGCGTATCTTGAATTTGTAGGCTTTCCTTCTTCATCCAATTCCAATACATTGGCAAATATTGCAAACACCATCTCAATGGCTGATGGTTCCTCTCCGTACAAATCCAAATACTCTACACCTTTCAAGTCACAATGCGTACCACTGGCCATGAAATAAGCAAATGTTCGGAGAGCTCCACTGAATTCTTTGCTAAGTCTATTAGGTTCCGCCATATTCGCAGGTAATACAAGTAAATGCTTGGTATGAAAGGTAAAGTCGGCTTGGTTCATTTTCTAGGCAAGCTGCTTTGCTTGAGGTTCTGACCTGCATATAGTCGAATTCTGGGGTATAACCTTGATGGTCTGTTACTGATACCCAGTAGATGTAGGTATACAACGCCCGAGTGCTTCATTTAGAGTATCTGAGGTTTCATTAATAGTATTGATGTACCTAATATGCATTAGTACTTTTATTATTTGAAGTTTTACGAATATTGATCATATAAGCTTCCTCTACAATGAATTTGTGAGAATGATTTACTAGGAGAGTGCACAACGAGTTCTAATTATTGAGTCAATCGAAGGCTCTAATGCTTCACAGCCACCTGTAAGCGATGAAGTGGTGATGGTGAAGCCGCATGAAGAGACTCAGCAAACTAACCAGTGTCTTGTTGCTTTCCAAGGTCTACAGCATACTTCAGATATCTCCTTTCCATGTTTTGCACCCAAATGAGATCCAATTCTCCGAGTTAAGAATCTGACATTAGTGCGAAGTGAAGACCACTGCTGATTCAAGTTTGACCCTAGAAGTGAGGTAGTTTACTATTTCTGTCAGAATAGGATACATTGGAGTAATTGCATAAAAAGAGAGGAATGATTAAAGGTTTGGAACGAAGGCCCCTGTGTTACTTGACCTACAACTCCTAACAAGTAGGTAGAGTGAATGACAGCCCCGAGTAGGTGTTCAGGCCAGAGTGTGATAAACAGTGCTGCAGTCTTACTGACTTTTTGGTTCCACCAGCTTAAAATTAAAAATGGAGGTGGTCCTGCCTACGATAGCCTTACATATACACGTCTTCTGAGCTGATTGGTGTTGTTCCTTATTCCCTCCTAGTAGTACTACGGTGTGCTCACTGTAGCACTACCAGTGCTCTTGTATTACGTAAGCCAATAGGTGCAGCACAATTAATAATTCAACAAAAGCTAAATCTATTACTCACCAGCTACAAATACCTGGTGAACACACTAGCTATACAAGATGAAGATGAAAGTTCCATCTAAAATGCGATATGACTCTGCCCGACTTCATCCATATACTATTTCACTTCGGTTAAATTCTCTTCAGCTCGATAACACTCTTCCCCGGATCGTTTATCGTATGCCCCAACATTTTGTTTTTTCTTTTTCGGAACTGCTCTCCCTAAAGCCCGAGGAATTCGTGTGAGAATGCTGCAGAATAAAGAGCCGAGTTAGATTAAAGATGTGTAAGCATACCCCCACTAAGCTACTGCTAGTAAGAGTGAGAAAAAACAGGTCACCGACTTTGTTTTTCTTCCCTTGAGGGCATATAAAGACGCTACGACCTGCTTCCAGTCTACTTTCACCACCTCAGGCAATCGCTGAATACATTGTTCCAGTGAGATCGTTATTTCCCGTCTTGGTATTTTACCCAAATTTCCTCGAACTGCCAAAAATATTTCACTCATCGTACTGAATTTTTTTTTTTTTTTTTTTTTTTTTTTTTTCATACTCCTATCGTTTACTTTGAAGGGCACCCTTTGTCCGAAATAAACAACGAAGTACAAATACCCAGAGATAGCCAGTGAAAGGTTGCATTGCCTGTATTTTCAATTAGTGCAACTTAATAATCCGACACCATGGGGAAAAAGAACTTTGTCACCACCGAAGACCTTAATCTCGAGTTGGTGGACCCTGGCACCATCAAGATTGATTGCTCTGGCGCGTACATAGGAAATGACCACCTTTTCAAAACTTCAGAACCCACAAGCTCCAAGTCTGTGCGATCGAGGACTGCTGCTGCTACTAATGGCAGTAGGATCAACTTGACCAATGGAGCTGCTACCGAGCAATTCACTTCGTCATCTTCAAATTCGTCCTCGGAAGACTCAGACTCCGAGCACAACTCTAGGCTGCCATCGATAATAAGCGTAAACGAGTCGAGCAATATCCCATTGAGTGGAGATGAGTTTGATTTGACCAAGAATATAACGCTACCAAAGCACAACTCCGAGATTATCCACATATCTGTGGACATTGGGGGGACTTTGACCAAATTGGTATACTTCACCAAGAACCATTGCACTAGCCCAGACCACCCTAGCTCCAGTAGCAGGTCACACTTGGGTGGTAAGCTCCACTTTAAGGACTTCCAGACCGAGAATTTTGAGAAGGAAGTACTCAAGTATATAATCAAGCTTATCAACAAGTCGTTCAACAAGGTAGACTTGGCACCTCCTATCACATACATAATGGCTACTGGAGGTGGTTCACACAAGTTTTACAAGCTCATGACGAAAACCTTCAGCAAACGTAAGCTTCCCATGAAGATCGTCGCAAAGGATGAAATGGAATGCTTGATCAAGGGCTTGGACTGGTTCATCACCAAGATTCCCAACGAAATCTTCATCTACGACTTGGAAGATAACAACACCAAGTTCATTTCTTCTCCCTACACGGAACAGGGGGATATATACCCGTATTTACTAGTGAATATTGGCTCTGGTGTTTCCATGGTGAAAGTTGTGGGGCCAGGTCCAACAGGGTTTGAAAGAATTGGGGGTTCTTCCCTTGGTGGAGGAACCCTCTGGGGACTTCTTTCGCTTTTAACTGAGGCAAAGGACTACAACGAAATGCTTGAAATGGCACTGAGAGGCGACAATGAAAACATCGACTTACTCGTGGGAGATATCTATGGGAGCAACTATAACAAGATTGGATTGAAGTCCAATCACATTGCCTCATCGTTTGCGAAGGTGTTCAAGAAATTAAGATTCAGCGATAACCAGTCTAGAGAGCTCACACCACTGGAGAAATTGAGTCAATTCAAGCTGGAGGATATTGCCAGATCGTTATTGTATCTGATTTCAAATAACATCGGACAAATTGCGTATTTACAAGCATTGAGGTTCAAGTTAAAGAGAATCTACTTTGGAGGAAGTTACATTTCAGGTCACATGCAGACCATCCATACATTGAGTTATGCTGTCAATTTCTGGTCCAAAGGAGATATGAAGTCATATTTTTTGAGGCACGAGGGATACCTTGGCAGCGTTGGGGCATTCATAATGGGTCCAGACACTGTTCAACCCAGCAAGGAAGTACAAGTCGAAGATCCCAAAATACGCCAAACTCAACCAGTCAAAGCGGAATTAATAACTACATAATTATACTTACTCCACGTCCAATATCATCTAGTGTCGATGTTGAATTAATAACTGCAGAAAGCACGCATCATCTCCATTATCGTCCAATGTCACAGATATCATGAAACATCAGCAACTTACTTATAGCAACGCCGCCATATCCCATATCTAAATATCATTAATATCATCAATTTGCATTACTACACACATGTCTGCAGGTACAGAGAAACGAAATATGAAATATGAAATTATTTATTATTTATTATATAACGAATAGAATGAAACTAATGCCAAGCGAATGGACTGTAGAACGAATATTAGAGCTCTGGAAGGACAACCGACTGTAAGCGACTTGAATCTGTTCAGGGCCACATTGTTTGTTACTGAAGTACAAAGTGACAGCTTCAGGACGTTACGCGGACCGATATCGTACATGTAGCACTATCCGTTCGATGAGCTTGGCCATCTCGGACTTTTTCATGTTACATTTCCAGCGGCTCCTCCGGCGGCTCCCTCCAGCGGCTCCCACGCTGCGGAAAAAATACTCCCTAAATTCCTGCAGCTGCGACTCCCTAAAATGGGTAGCCTACCTCAACTGTAGCAAGCACCAGATAACACCACATAGCACCAAACGACTAATTGCTCCTTTATTTTCGAATTGGTTATTACAGGCACAGAACCAGTCGTCAATAGTTTGCAATTTTCGCTTTTATTTTCATGTTTCTCGCTCTCCTTTCGCCTATTTTCCCTAGTATTGCAACCTCTTTGTAATATTTCAATCTGAGAAATTTAGCGATGCCCTCGGTACCACATGGAACGTTACATCAGCACTCACCCATTGCAATACAACCCCACTTCTGCGAAAACAACAAATGCGTAGAAATAAAAAAAAAAAAAAACAGGAAGAATTAAGGAAAAAGAAATAAAACTACTGTAGAAGTGTCAAAATTGTTCCCTTCTTTACATTAATCAAGCACCTTCTGCAGCTATCCCTAGGTTTTTCCTCATTGAGCACAGAGTACTTTCTTTAGGAAATCCGAAGTAGCTATTTTCAAGTATTTTGAAGAGGTTGGATTTAAAAAAATACAACGTACATTTACGAAAAGCAAAAAAAAATAAAAACGGTGAAAGTGAAAGCCAAGCGACGTAACATTTATAAAGGTGACATTTCCCATCGTATTCCTTAACATATAAATTTCTTTTCTCTCTTTTGATAATGGAAGTAGTAGAGATCGATACACAACAACGTCAGTACGTGCACATAGATAAGTTATCATCTAACATCCCTCCTTCATACATATACTCCACCCAACCCCATTCATCTTCATCGCCTTTAGTGCATACGCTACACTCCGAGTGGATAGATACCCCTACAAATTCCCCATCCAAGATGCTGTACACTCGTGTCTATGAGACGCCGCTGAAACAGCAGAAATACCAGACCTTTCCGAATGACAAGAAGGGAGGAGCAGTACCGGTGGAGACTGTCGAAACTCAGCTAGCCACCCCGCTTAGTACCAATAAACCAGCTGCTGGACCTGCTGGTTCCAATAGTACTTCACTTTCCAATTCCATGACTAGCGCTGCTAACGTCGTTCCTGAAAATACCATTACACATGCGATTGTTAGAGACAGGCCCAGTGTACACCAGATGGACATCTTCTGGTCAATGCTCAATGATGTTGTGGGTAAGGATAAGATGGCCAAGTTTGGCCAGTACACCTTAAGGCTCTTGATATATTGGGCCAACAAGTCTGAGAACTACCTTGCTGATTCCCAAATCAATTTTAAAACCATAAACCTAAGATACAACGATAGCGAGAAGAAACTAAACTTATTTATGAACTTTCTCAAGCACCCACAGAACTTTATACGTATAATTACCATATTGGTATGTTCTATATTCTCTTCCAGGTTCGCTGGTATGGTGAAAGGCTTGTCCATGTATAGGCAATTCTTGAGATTCGGAAAGACTCCCTTCAGAGTGAGAAATCTCTACAACAAGTTAAGAGATGCTATCATTTTTGATAAGGAGAAGCAGTTGTTGGACTTGAGCCACTTCCAAGCGAAGTTCTTGACCAATTCAACTCTCGGTGATTTGGCTAGTTTGTACTACGGCGTTAGTGATGAGACTTTGTTACTTTATAAATTGGATTTCCTCTCTAACAAACCTCTTCATGCTCTCGTAAATAGACATGAAGCACTTGCCTGGTATTCAGAGACCATATTGGGACTCTATAATGCCTACGAAAACTTACAGAATCTCTCCCAGAGAGAGATAGAGTTGAAAATCCAGATACAGGTGAAATCTAGGTCAAGAGTGCTCTCCAAACAATTATTGGGGGGTACTATTACCACCATGGACACACATATAGGAGACGAGAAGGATTTACTCAAATTGAAAGAAATACAATTCAAAAAGACCAACATCCATTTAGATATATATAAGGGTCTTTCTGATTTCTTCTTTAACAGTTACACTGTTTTCAGATCGCCATTGCCATTTGCCACATTACAGATTTTGTTAGGGATAAGTGCATCTTCGTTCAGTATAATAAAATTGTACCGTGAAACCAAGAAAAAGTTAGAAGCTAAGGTTGCACTAAAGTAAGGTTAGGGGGATTGCTGAAAGTCGCAAAACCTTCATATTACTTGATAGATGATTTCTTTACTTACGTTGGGATTTCCTAGTGGTGGATGAATCTAACTAGCTTGTTGTCAGACCCGCTGGTTATCAGACCCGCAGAGTGAGTTCTCTGACTGTGTGGGGTCTTCCTATTTTTTTTTTTTTTTTTTTTTTTTTCTTTAAACACTATTTTATTACATAGGCTATAGATTAGAATGGATAAGCATCGGTTGAATGAAAGAAAACGCTGAGAAATGCGAGTACTTTGACTTCGCATTGCACTAAGCTCGAGTGTAGTCTGGCCATTGGTGTTTTTTTTGTAGTACCTAACCTTCCTAGCATGCCTAACCTGCCCTACCTACCCATCACCAAGGCCCTTCTGATCGGCTGCAATTGAAAAATTCAGTCGCATGGAAATCTGAAAAATCAAACACAAAAATAAAAATCAGTAGCAGAAGAACCAGACGAACCTAAGAGGTATACAAGAGGTACAGCAAGCCAGAGTATTCAGATGACACTTGACAATATCAAGCTTCCACTTGATGCATTGAACCAGCAGGCTCCTGGATTTCTGGCAACCTCAGGCTCAAACTCAAATAGTTCTCCGAGCCATTCCTCAGATGCTCCATCGGCAATCAGTTCTACATTACCTTCCAAACCAAAATCTTTAGAACCTTGGGACATCCTAAAAAAGGAAGTCGATTTGACACCCAATGACATTTCCCTATGGGATAAGCTATTTGCGTTACTAGAAGAAACATTCTCGACCAATTTTGATGGCGGTCAAGCTTCTATATCAACATCGTTTAAAAACTTCTCATTTGATGCATACACCGAGTTGTTGACAAGATTCCCATATTTGACCAGTTATTGGAAAAAGTTTCTGATTTTTGAGTATAAATTGAATGGGATAGACGCCTCTATTAAGGTGTTAAGTGACAGTGTAGATTCATTCCCAAATAGCGTTAGTTTGTGGGCTGATTACCTTACAGCATTGACTGGTAAGGAAGAGGGAGACTCTGATCATGTAGATTTCGTAAGAACACAGTTTCAAGTTGCATTGAAAATCAATGGATTCCATTTCCTTTCACACTTAATATGGGATAAATTGTTTGAGTTTGAAGAGAAATTAGGAGGAGATCCTTTTTGGTTGTACTTAAAGGTTATCAAGATCCCATTGTACAGCTATGCTAAGTACTATCAGAAGTTCACCGAGATAAACAAGAAATACTCGCTTGAAGAGTTCTTCAGTGCTGAACCAGAACCTTCTAGAGAGGAAATAATCCAAGAGTATCTCACCAAATTCAACAAAGAGACTTTAGATTCGTTCTCTATGGTGGAAACTCATCAAGTAATAGATGATTGGTCATATAAGGTATTCGCTGCTACTCAAGCTAAAGTAAATGCAAAATGGCAGCATGAATCCTTGCTAACATTCCTGGAATTCAACCTAGATGCACTGAGTCTTGAAGGTATATCAAAGGAATATGATAATTGGGTGAAATATTTAGATTATGAAATCAACTGCTTGAAGCAAGATGATACTAATTCTCAACGCAAAATTGTTACAAACCTATTTGAAAGAGCGTTAATTCCAAACTGCCTTAACTATAAACTATGGCTAAAGTACATTGCATTCCTTAATAAGTATGAGAGCAGCGAAGGAGAAGAAGAAGAGAAGCTGAAATTTGAGAAGATTGACAAGCTATATTCAAATGCAATAAACAAGTTCGTCCCCTTGAGCGATCCAAATGAAGACACTAATTTCATCAGATTTAATTATGTTTATTTCTTGAAAAAGTTCAAGAAGGACATTGAAGCTAGAGATTTTTTGATTTCAATAGTACAAACCTTTCTTAAGGAAAATAGAAAGGAGGATTACCTCAAGGGAATCGAATTGCTTATCGAGCTATGTGACATTGATTTAAAGGAGATTATTGAGAAATATTTTCAACTGGATGAAAGACATAAACAGGCACTGAGCTCACATAAAGCGCAAAATGTTGAGTCGTCCCCCATTCAAGATGTGTTCTATCACCTTTTAAGGAATGATTCTATTGGGTTAATTGTAAATAAATACCTTGAAATTCTGGAACCATCCATAATACGACCATTCTTCAACAAATACTACGAAAAGGAGCCCTTGGAATCTAATTTGGCATTTTGGTCTTTCTACGTCAAGTACGAAGGCATTATCAAGCACAACATTCCTAATTTATTAAAAATAATGAGCCATATAAAGAAGGAGTCTAAGCTCCCAAAGCAATACATTGATGCATTGATAGAAATAGAGTACGAAATTATTTTATCAAACTACCAATACGTATTGGAATTGAATAATTCTAAGGGAGGAAGAACTGATGATACTATTATCTTGAAAGATAATGAAGTATCAAATTCTCTAGCTATCAACCAATCATGGAAAAAAAGGTTAGCAAATATTAATTTCCAGGTACAAGACTTGAGCACAAAAACTAAATTCAATAAGGAAGATGAATTTAATAAACTACTAAGAAATAAAGTTGGTCATGCGGGTGTTGTCATAGAAAGCAGTCCAGAAATTACAAACAGTTTGATCTACTCTGGAAAATGGATAGATTTAAACTCTTCGAGATTGGAAATGCCCGATTTCCCTACCTTCAAGAATGTTGAAAAGGCCAGTTTGCCAATCCAATATCCACAGTAAAAATATTTTGGGTTTGCTACTAATACAGTATGCCTACTGTTCTGCTTTTGTCTTTCTTATGTATTATTATATAATCAAATACAATCACTCTGCCTTCCGATTACGAGTAGACCTTCCCTTATTTTTGCCCTTGAGGTACATTTATTGTTCCCATAAACTTCCAAGATTTTTAGTTTTGAGCATTTTTCTCCTACAAGCTCAAGGATTTCGTTATCTACAGATCTAACAAAGCCAACGTCTAAGGTTGTAAGAAGTGGGAACTTGATCTCTGCAAAATACTTTTGGATATTTTGAGACACTTCCTCATCATCATCGTTTTCATTGTTCTGCGGTTGTAGTTCTTCTTGTTCAACTGCTTCTTTCAATGCTTTCTTTGAAGCATTGTAATCATCAGTAAATATCTGTAGCCAAAAATGTCTAGTTATCTTGTGAATGGAATTCAAATTTAGTTCCAATAGCGTATGACTTGAGTGTGATAGTAAACTGTAAATTGCTTCGTCACCCAAGCCGGTACATTTCGTCAATGCCACCTCAGTCAATCCACTGCTGTTCACCTCCTTGTAATCAGTAAAAGCTTTTGCAAAACCTTCATTTGTAACTTGATCAACAAGTTTCATAGAGAGAGAAGTCAAATTAGGACAGAACTTACAAACTCCTTCCAAAAGAAACTTATCAGTCAAGTTTATGCATCCATCAACGTTCAAATTAGTAATCGTTTCACCAGTGACAGAAAGGATATTAATCAATAATTCATCAGTTATCAAGTCCTCTGAAGTAGGGTAAGAGAGTTCCAATGAAATTAATGAATTTGTTTCCAAGTAATGGGGAATCAACTCATAAATGGCAGCAGAGTTTAGTCCGTCTAACCTTGAAAGTTTTAGCAGCGTCAATTCCTTACCAAAATTTTCCAATAAGCAGATGAGTGAATCATTACCGAATCTATGGGTATTTCTAATCTCAAACATTGACAAATTGGTACCTGGAGATTCAAAGTAATCTTGCCACATAATATCACTTATCAAGAATGGTCCATTTAGCAGTAGTTCTTTCAAATTACAAAGATTTGTCGAATAGTATTTTAAGTTATCATTGTGCAAATGACCACACATGAACAAGGTCAACGACTCTAAGCCAGGGCAGTACAGGGCAATTTTATTCAAAGAATCCGAATCAACGTTAGAACAGTCCCAAAATTCTAAGCTCTTCAAGCCAGGATTCAAGAACAACGATATCGTAGAGTTGTTGAGCGATCTGTTTCTCGAAAGAATCTTGGATATCTTATTCAAATTAGCCTGGCCAATATCTCCAAGGACATCTACATCTTCGATATTCTGTGTGATCCTCTTTATACAAATATCTTGTAAAGAGGGAACTTTAACCTCGGTTTTATCTAATAAAGCCAGCGCCATCTTCTTTCTCTTTTTACGTGCGTTCAACTGATTTCTACGAGCATTACGTTCTCTTTTCTTCAATTCTTCGTTACAAGTTTCACAAAGGTAGCCCTTCCTATCCTTATCATAACGAGAGTAGACTGTGATTAGAAAGGTAGACTCACAGTCCACGCACTCGTCCTCTTCACCGAATTTTTTGAACTTGCTTCCATTAGCCAAAGCATCTTCATCCGATAAATCAAAGTCCGAATCTGAAGATTCGGATGGAGAGTTGCGTCTCTTTGCAGCTGCTCTACGCTTTCTTTTTGCAGCTTCTTTGATTTGGGTGATTTCTTCATCCTCCTCTTCTTCTTCATCATCATCATCATCGTCATCGTCATCGCCTATCGTAGCCCTGGATCTTGTTCTCGTGCTCGCCCTGGCTCTGGTTCGAGTTCGAGTTCTAGTTCTAGCAGAGGCGGGTGCAGGTGTCACTTCAGCTTCTGAAGTGTCTGTCTCGGCCGCAACGACTTCTTGCCTACGACGATTGAAATTCTCAGTGATACCTTCGTTCCTTAAGAACTCTGTCAAAGCAGAGTTGGGGCCCCGAACTCCGGAGGATGTATTTCTGGGCATCTTATACCTTAAAAGACCGTAAACACTATTCTTTAGCTATTTTCCAAAAAAAAAAATAGAAGAAGTAAGAGAAATGAAAAATCACTGGGCCATCCCATTCTTAGCCTCTATCTTGATCTCATATCTCGTCACGTGCCCGGATTAAATCCGAGCCGTACTGCTTAAATTTGCCCCAAAGCGAGCCCAAAATTGTGACAAATTGAATGCTTATGTAAGCCAGGCTCCAAACCCAAATGGCCCTGAAAGAGGGGACGTGGAAAAACCAAAAAATTATAAAAGACCCAGTGTAAGTAAGCTAATCTCAGTGAAAGGTTCATAGTTTCTTATAGAGGTTGATAGATATCAGTGTGATTAAGTCAGATAGCTAATTTTTTGACTCAGACACAATGCAAATCATCTTTAAGGATTTCAAAAAGCAAAAGATTCAGGTGGATGTGGAATTGAGCGACACCGTATGTTACTTAGACCGTTTGATGTGAGAGGGTTGGAGCGAGAGAGTGTTAATAATACTAACATATACATATATAGGTCCTTCAAACTAAGGAAAAGGTTGCCAGTATAAAAGAATGTGATGCCAGTCAGTTAAAATTCGTCTATTCTGGAAAGGTTTTGCAAGACGATAAGTCTTTAGAGTCTTTCAAGGTAAAGGAAGGCGACTCGATTATATTTATGGTTTCAAAGGCAAAGAAAGTTTCTCCAGCAGCTGAGGTCAAGACTGAAGCTACGGCGTCAAGCACCGACTCACCTGTTGGTTCTGAGGCTGCTTCAGGATCAGGATCAGGCTCTGGCTCAGGCTCTGGCTCTGGCTCCGACTCTTCTCTGGGAGCTGCTGCCTCGGCCGCTGCTTCAACCAATGTTGAACCGTCCACTAGTGCAAGCACAGAAACCCCTGCTGCATCAGAAGCCACTGAATCCACCTTTGCCCAAGGCTCTGAAAGAGAAGCCAGCATTCAAAATATCATGGAAATGGGGTATGAAAGGTCTCAGGTGGAAGCTGCCTTGAGAGCCGCTTTCAACAATCCACACCGTGCTGTGGAATACTTGTTGACTGGTATCCCAGAGAGCCTTCAGCAACGAGTACAGCCACGAGCCGCAGCTCCACAAGCACCAGCACCAGTAGAAGAATCAACAAATAATGATAATGATAATGATGACGACGAAGATGACGATATGGAAGACGACACAACCCATGGCGAAAACTTGTTCGAAGCTGCAGCTGCAGCTGCCAATACTGATGATAGAGGTGGGAATGAGTCCGCTGCATCTGGTGGAGCAGGCGGAGACTTGGGCTTACCCGACGAAGCTCAGATGGGATTGTTAAGAAGTGCATTGCAGAATAACCCTGAATTGATTTCTCCTTTGTTGGAGAGAATTGCCGCTGCTAGTCCACAAGCCGCTGCATTGATCCAGCAAGACCCAGAATTATTCCTTAGAACCTATTTAAATTTGGGCGATGATGACTTTGAAGACGGCGAAGGAGCATTGGAAGGTGGTGCAGATGAAGAGGGCGACGAACCTGGTACAATTCGTATTGAAATAACAGAACAAGACGAAAGTGCTATTGTTAGATTGTGCGAACTTGGTTTTGACCGTGATCTTGTATTGCAAGTTTACATGGCCTGTGACAAGAACGAAGAAGTTGCAGCTGACATTTTATTTAGAGATGTGTAATCAGTGAACGAAGTGGGCAACGAGAAGCGTAGAACATGTAGGATTACATTTTATTTAGAGATGTGTAGTCAGTGAACGAAGTGGGCAACGAGAAGCGTAGAACATGTAGGATTAGGGAGCAGAAGTGAGTATGAAAGGGTAAATTGGAGTGCGCTCTGTTTTCTAACCACTTCCTAGTTCATAATAATGTAAGCTCGAGTACGCTCTTGGTGATCGAGAGGTGTAGTATCTACAGCAATTTTCCAGTTTGCTAGCAGTCATTTATTATGCTTCTGCCTTCTAGTGACTTCTTCCTCCTTGCTCTATAACGTACCGATCCATACAGTATCTGGGTAGATTGCTTTTGGTAAAATCGATCACCTTCTTTTAAATTTGTAGTTGGCTGAAATCATCGATGACCTTAAATCTCTTCCTGTCGTCTTCGGTCAATTCGCTGTTACCAGGCCTGACTACAACTATGCTCTTCATCCCAGCTGAGTTTGCAGCATCTACTTCCTTTACATTGTCACTCAAAAACAAAACTTGGTCTGGAGTTTCCAATTGACCAATCGACTCTAAGATGTTCTTGTACGACTGGGACTCTTGTTTGAAGCCAGACGTGGTGATGTCAAAGTATCCTGAGAAATATGGATTTAAGTCGACGATCAGGTCCTCAAACAGAACATGTCCGAAGAGTAGCTTCTGTGCCCTAACTGAACCGGAAGAATAAACGTATATTTTCCTAGTAGGATCACCCTCTTTGAAAGACTCAATTAGCTTAATAGCGTCGGGGTAAATTGGCGCACGCAAGTCACCGTTATGGTAACCAATCAGCCATATCAATCCTTGTAAAGATTTAAGCACTGGGTCCTTGATATCGCTTGAAACTAGGTGGGTTATGTGCAGCAAAGTAGTTTCGTAGGAACTAACGACTTCCTGAGGGAATCCTACCAATATATTAGATATACGGGCAGACTCACTGTCTTCCACAGAGGAAGACACTTTAATGGGGTAATCTAACAGCTCAAGTTTGGCAGGGACTTCCCTGAGAAAATAAGGGAAAAGTGTGTCCTTGACGAAAGATATGGAGCACACCGTCCCTTCAATGTCGATGATCACCGCGGTCATCGTTGGTCTTAGTCTTAGCAGCAGAGGACCAGCAGAGCACCCGCTGGAGACTGAACTGAAGTTAGACCACATCTGATGGATCTGATATTAGATCACGTGCTCCCACCTGGTCCGCATGGCGCTAGCGAGAGAGAAGAAAACGTTTTTTTTAAGGTTCCGGCTACGAATTTCAGCCCAAGCAGTGGTGGATATTTTCTAGCTATGAATACCTATCTGGTCGTATCTTTTAGCTTTGAAACAGCTACAGTCACATGCAATCGTAAACTAAAGTTAAATATCGTACTATTTACTAATTTCAGGTGTGGATCTGCTAAAAGGATTGACGTTTTTGGTAACTGTGAGCTAGACGAAAAGGGCCAATATTCAATTTTTAGATTTTTCTCTTGGGTGCAAGACATGCAACAAACAAGAGACAGAGTTGCTACGCTACCAGGACTCACTGCCGAGCTTGTCCCATGCATTTCGTGGGGCTACTGATATTTCTGCACTGCCAGTGTCTCTGAAAGCACAACCAGTAAACTATTGGTCTGCCTATAGCCTAGTGTGCTTCAGAGCTCTCTATCTCTCTCTGCTCCCCCTCCATCGTTGCTCCTCTCTGGCAAGTCTCACGCTTCTCAGCCTTAGACCTGCCTTTTAGCCTTTTAGCCTTTGCTATCGCATATCAGTGTGCTATATGCAGTTCTAATCTAATCACACATTTACAGTTGCGGTTTTTCTGCGGATGATTTTCTTTGGGCCTTCGGTACGTTTGATTGCAAATACGTAGTGCAAGCATAGGGTGTAAACATATAGTAGGAGTGCTTATATTGTTTTTTTTTTTTGTATTTCAGCTGGGGTTGCATACTGTGTTAATTTCATAAAATTTGTCGGTTTTCAAAGTAGTTTCTTTATTAATTTTTGACAGACGCTCTATAGACCCTCTCTTGCTTAGCTGTTATATGGGGTCACTGAAACCAACTTTCCCTCGAGTGTCTGGCTCTGAGGAACCTCTTTATGAAGGATCTGTAAATTTTGTCAAGGAATACCATATAGAGGCATTTGCCGCTGCGCTAGCATGGGAAGATCACCAAGAAGATGAGACCACACATGATACTGCAACCACTAATGGGTTCAACTTACTGACTTCGTCGTTGCAATCCCCAACGTCTGATTTGCAATCGCACCATACCCCTGTACCGCATGGTGAAAGAGATCATCTTCACCGTAGCGATATATTCGACCCAAGTATCGTAACTATGTCACCGGCAAAACCGGACCTTATCACATCGAAATCAGACTGGTACCCTATCAATCAGACGTCTCCGGTGCCTCCCAGAGCCAAATCGAAGCGGAAAGTAAGAAAGACTTCAATTGGTTCAAATTCAACCTCTTCATCGTCCGCTGCTAGGAAGACATTCCAGTCGATTCGGAATGAGTTTCGATCTTCTATTACATATACCTTGTTGCGTTGGCCCCTCTTGTTCTTGGTATTGCTCTGGATTGGCTTCTTGTGCAACTGTTACGTGGTGGTGCGAGCTTATGTTGCTCTTTCGGAGTATTTTTTGACCTGGAGAGGTGAAAGACGAAAGATTCGAGATCGCTTAAGGTCAGCAAAAAACTATGAAGAATGGGTGAAGACTGCCAAAGAATTGGACTCATTCTTAAATTTGGATAAATGGTCATCGAACCCAAAGTTCTCCTACTACGATTATAGAACTGTAAAATTAACCACGCGAAGGTTGGAAGAATTAAGAACAAATAATGAAGATGACAATTTAATCATCGTCTTGCAGGGATGTTTGAAGAAAAACTTCGCTGGAATAGAAAATAGACAATTATATTCCCATAGATATTATGGGACCAAGAAGTTAGTCGATAAGTACATCGAAGAGGTTTGTAAGTGTATCCAACATGTTACAAATAGCACAAATATTAATTTACCTACAAAGAGGAAGTTCTTCAAGTACGTGCTGAAGAATTACGGAAAAACTGCGTTGTGTTTAAGTGGAGGAGCATGTTTCGCCTATACACATTTCGGAATTGTGAAGGCTTTATTGGATAACGATTTACTACCTTCCATTATATCCGGCACTTCGGGAGGAGGAATTGTTGCTGCCTTGGCCTGTACCAGGACAGATGCTGAATTGAGAAAATTGCTCGTACCGAAGCTTGCAACTAAGATTACCGCTTGCGAAGATCCATGGTGGGTCTGGATCCCAAGATGGTGGAAAACTGGAGCTAGATTTGATTCCATCGAATGGGCCAGGAAGGCTTGCTTCTTCACCAGAGGTTCTTCTACATTTCTAGAGTCATTTCAAAGAACTGGTAGGAAATTAAATATATCTACTGTGCCAGCCGATCCGCACTCTCCAGTTATCTTGTGTAACAGTATGACTTCGCCCAATTGTATTATTTGGTCTTCCTTATTAGCTTCACTGGCAGTACCTGGGATATTGAACCCTGTGGTGTTGATGATGAAGAACCCTCATAATAACGAAGTTGTTCCATTTTCGTTGGGTAATAAGTGGAGAGATGGGTCCTTAAGAACGGATATTCCCCTAGATGCTTTAAACACGTACTACAACGTGAATTTTTCTATTGTGTCTCAAGTCAATCCGCATATATCGTTATTCTTTTACGCTCCTAAAGGTACAGTTGGTAGACCAGTTGCTATTTCTCGTAGGGTGACGAAAAAAGAAAAGTATGCATCGCTCCGTGGTGGGTTTGTTGCCACAGCGTTGGAACAACTTTTCAAACTTGAAATTAGGAAATGGTTACAGATGATTAAGACCTTGGATTTGCTCCCAAACCTTCTTGAACTGGATTGGCTGAATATATGGTTACAGCGCTTCAGCGGGACTATCACTATTTGGCCGAAAATTAAGCTTAAAGACTTCTGGTATATTTTAAGTGATCCAACGGAAGAGCAATTGGAAGAAATGATCTTAAAGGGTGAAAGATGCATGTTCCCCAGTTTGCTTTTTATTAGCCACAGGCTCAGTATAGAGAGAGAGCTTGAAAAAGGCAGAAATTTATGCAGAGCACAACAAAAGAAACTACAAGCCAATGCACAACAACAGCATCAACAAATACAGCAATCATCACAACAAAAGCAATCTTTACCTTCGACTTTGAATCAATTTGAGATCAGCTCAACTACCAGTAGAGGCACTGACCAAGTCTACAATGATTCACAATTTGGAGTTCAGATGTACACCGTAGATGGAGATGACGAAGACAATGAAGAAGATACGGATAGTAGTGAAGATGAACTCATTGGCAATGAAGCTGCACAATTCAATTTAGGTGCATCATATAATTATTCTGATGAGGAAGAGGACGATGAGGACTACCTTCCTTCTGAGGAAGTCGATGGAGATGAAGAAGAAGAAGTTGACTCAAGCACTAATGATAGCGATGAAGATCTGGAGGATAGCATCGAAACAGGAGGCTCAGACTTCTTTTCTCTTTTCAGAAGGCTGTCAGTTGGAAGTAACAAGCTTACAAGAAGGAACACAATCTATTGAAGTCCATTATTTGAATTGTACGTGGAAGGAATATATCTATATAATTTATACAATGTATTAAGACTGGATTGTTGCTATATACATTCTGTAGATCTAAGACCTCGGAAATGTAACTCCAAACTACTACCTCTTGTATAGATTTGCTTCAAGTTTTAAAAGGGCAGCCTCAAGTGTATAACTCTTAATTTGAGCTTGTCTCTTATATCCACTCAAAGGCTCTAGTCAATAGACAATACACATAAGAGGGATGTTAAACGTATACATTTTTCATCTCTATGGAAAGTTTTGGTACTAGTGCTCTACTTACGCATTGAAAAAGAAGTGATTTCACTTCAAACCCCTCAATGAGTGCCTCTATGGTTATCTATATAGTGCTTCAAACCCATCATGTGTATTCACCTCTTTGGATCTTCTTGGCAAAAATCTTATTGACTCTTGCCGTTTGGTCAGTTACACTCTGTATGTTCTCGTCAGAAATAAAATCCAAGTAGTCTGCCACCAATCTAAGAGACATATCATCCAAGTCCTCAATTTCATTTGGCTTGAATTTGGAAAGGACCCAGCTAGACATTGTAAGTTTGTTGGAGTCTTTTGGCTTAGGGCCGATCCCTATCCCAAGCTTGAAAATAGACGTCTTCAAGAGGTTACTGTCCATCTTATTTAGTACGCTTTGGCAACTACTGAGTCCATTATGCGATTCGGGAGACTTCATGGGCGATAATCTTATTTTACCAGTTTTCAACTCGAAATCATCGTACAATATGACTAATGAATCTTCCGGTGAAGGTCTCTGATCTCTCAAGAAGCTTTGGAGCGCCTTTCCTGATTCATTCATGTAAACCTGTGACTTCACTAGAGTGAAGTTTTCATAGGTTGCTGCAGTATACAGCTTGGAGCTCTGGTGGTGGTTAAGATCAACATCGAATGCCTTTGCTAATTTTAGCAAAATGTACTTTCCAGCTGAATGCCTATTCATCGGGAGTGGGTTGCTAACCGCAAAGATTATTATCCGTCGTACGTCCATACTACTTTCTACAATATCTATAAAGAAATCTACCAAGCTTAGCACTAAAAATACTCAGCAAATACAGGGAAAACAGGGTACTATGAATGTATTAGTCATAGGCGTTTTGCATCTTTCTGATACTGCAGTCTATACTTGATGCCTGGGTCATGTGCTCTAAATCACGTGCATCCGAGATATGTATACCGTAGTTTTGGTAACTTGGTGTCTACGCAAGGCAGCAATGTCTTTACAAGTTTCACGTGGAAACACACTCCTTTTGAGCTCAAAAAGTCGTCAATTAAGTATGGACGAAACAAAGCAAGTACCAGTGAGCTTAGATTCAGAGTCGGAGGACGATTTTGACGATTTTAATGAGTACACAGAGAAGCATGACTCGGAGCCAAACGAAGAACACGATGAAGACGATGATATAGATCAAGACTTTGGACCTGTTGACCAGTCCATGAATGTCTCTTTCACAAAGAATATAATAAATCTCGATAGCTCGTCACTTGAGGACTCTGATGATTTCAACTCAAAGCTAAATTTATTGTTGAATGAACTATTTCCAGAGCCCTCTAGCAGCTCTAAGGAACAGCAAAAGCAAAAGAAAAACCCTATACTCACTGAAAAGTCGGAAGCCATTTATGGGAACATTTCCGAGTTGCCACGCTTAAAACCTCCCAACTGGATTAAGCTGAAGATAAGGAGAAACCTTTTAATAAAGCTAGGAGTGCCTGTGAATTTAGATGAGGTGTTGGACACAACCAAGAGCGAACAATCTCACAACGACGTCGCCAAAACGCTGAGTTCGGCACTGGCCCAGTTACTAGAGAAACCAGTCGCTAGACATAGGAGATCATCTCTGGTGTCTGAGCTTGACATCAAGTGGGACGAATTCACCATTCCTAAGTTCCAAGATCTTCAAATAAACTCGGAGCAGGAGCAATATTTGCTCAACGACACATCAGCTCAATTGGCTAAGATTGAAATAGAAAACTTGGACCACTCGTCCATAGAGAAGCTACTTGCCGGTTCGGAAGATGATATAGACCAGCTTTTGGCAAAATATGAAACAAATCATGCAAAGCTTATAGAATTGAGCAGCTTATGGCAAAACCAGTTGAACGAACTAAAGAAGGACTACGAGATATTCGAGTCCGTGGTGCAGAATCTCGTAGGGCACACTCAAAGGTTGAAAAGAGAGGAGATAATGGCAAACTTAAACAAGATCAAGCTATCCAAGAAGAAGTCACATCGAGTAAAGTAGAGAAGTTAAGATTATTGAATGGTTTACAAAAGGAATAGAAATATTTGAGAGGGTTGTCTAAACAGAGAGTAGTCTGTAGAGTAGTCTGTAAAGTAGTCTGTAGAGAGTAGAATTGTCCTACACCTTTACTGTCATAATCGCATTTCTTAATAAATAAATATATTTCCTAAACATGAAAGTTGAATAACGAACCCAAATCGTCAGATAAATAGTTGTTCACCGAGGTCTGTAAGTTCATATTGATGAAAGAACTATCTACAAAATTAGTGTTCAATCCGCCACCTGGAGTGTTCGGTTGTTGCAGCTGTGGAACCGCGCTACTGTCCATTTCAACGTCATAGAGTGAGCCATTAGGTCCATCATCCATTGGGGGTGGCTTTTGGTCGTTCAATAGCGAGGCAATGGCCGTTGGCGATTGTGATCTGCTAGGTGGATAACTCGTTCTAACTTCAGGGAATAATTGAGTAGGTTCGAAATTCTCAAAGAAATTTGTGTTTGTTGGAATGTTTTCAGTAACTAAAGAAATTTCAGGGAATGATTGCGTGGAAGATGATGGAGAAGTATCACTTTTTTGTGTCGAGGCAGCAGTTCCCTGGTTATTCATGTTACCGCTGTTGTTTGAAGGCTTGGTTGGTTGTTTAAACTGTTGGATCAACTCTTCAAGATTTGGTTGATGTTCATTCTGCCTGTGCTGTTGCTGTTGTTGCTGGTGAGGTAATTGCTGAGATTGTTGATGATGCTGCGTTTGAGCTTGATGTGGCAGAATATGTTGCATCTGAGGCGAAACCTGCAGCAGACTACGTTGCATACTTGCATGTTGTTGTTGTTCTCTCGAATAAACTCCTCCTCCAGGAGATACCCCTGAAGTAGTCAGTCTCGGAGAATCATTTGTGTGTGTAGTCCTGGTGTAGTAACTATTCAAATTTTGTTGATTATCCAATTCCTTCTTAGTGGCTTCAAATTCTTGATATTCTTCCACTCTTGTTGCATTTTCAATGATTTTCGCTCTCTTGAACTTATCATTGGCATACTTATCAAATAATTTCACCAAAACGTCAGCAATTGGCCAGTATTTACTCAATTCTCTCAACACTGCTCTCGATACGAAAAGCGAGTCACTTGCTGTAGATGCAATTGCATTATTAGGTGAGTCAACATGATATATCAACATTATCAAAGCACTAAACGATATGTATACAAACATCACAGGGGTGTATTTGATTTGATCTTTGTCCAATAAATTCTTAGAAACAATGGAAATCATTCTTGCAGCTTGAAATGAAATTCCCCAAGATGGATACTTGTAATTATTTGGATTTGTCGATGAAGATTTTGCCATTCTCAATAAGTTTGATCTATGAATCAAGTATAACCGGTTATAATACTGAGCATTCAAAAGACAACTGTAGAAGTTCTGAGTAGATTTATCCGAAAGTGAAAACACCAACTGGGGTGGTAAATTGGTAAACCAGATACCCATAAGCATATCACAATGCTGAATGATTGGAAATTTATTTTTACGCTTCATCAGCTCTGCCTTTACAGTGTATTGATGCTTGATTATAATACCCGTAATTTCAGCCAATTTAACTAAATGAATGAAGTATAAAGCTTGGATGTGGTTCACTGGATAAAGTGGAGGCTCCGTGGAATTTTCATCCACTTCATTAAAATCTTCTATTGTAAGCATGGGAACATCACAATCGTTCAAGTCGATGACTGTGGGTCTACCAAATGCGATTGAAACGTTTCTATCCTTTTCAAAAAGACACCACCAGATCCTTCTCCAGATTTTCTTTTCTACGGTAGTCAAATTGGGCGATCCGTTACAATCTCTGTGGAATCCAAATCCCTGTGCCAAACCAAGGGCAACCCTCGTCCAATAGAATGAATTCTTAGTGACATCTTCAGGACCCTCCCAATATGAACCGATTAAGATCAAGGTTTGGATCAAACTAACGGGATCACTTTCATAATTGGTCTCATATAAAGCCTTGGCTCTACGATAGAAAGTTAAGGAGGCCAAGCCGACCAGCCCCTTTGAATCAAATAACAATGGGTTTTTACTTATTCTACTTCCACAAAGCAATACTGCCTGCAACAACATTAATGACGGTTGATCGTTCGGGTCGTTGAATTTCTTCATGAATTCAGTTCTGTTTATCACAGGCATCAAGGGATGAACGTGCTCAAAATAAGAATTAATCAAATCTAATGAAAGTTCCTTTGAAGGAAGTAAAAATGCACCTCTCAATTTCAAGATCTCCAATTCGACTGAGTCTAGGGACCTATCGCTAAGGTCGAAAAGATCTTCTGTCAATTCAACGTGATACTGACCTATCTTATTTGCAACATGTCCCACAGACGAAGATCCAAGAAACGTCAATGCAGCCTTTCCATTACCAGATAGTAATTCTCTTTTATGCATCGAAGGTCTATTCTTGTAGTTCGATGTGAGAGATGGTGGCACAGAGACTTGCGATATGTTCAACACTGGTTCGCTCGGTTGATCAGAGCTGGTACCGTTTCCATGGCCGTTGTGACTATTATTACCATCTCCGTTTGCACTTCCGTTATTGTATGATAGTGGTGGTGAGTATTTGGTAGGGTTTTCAGAAGCATGTGAATTCTCACTTTTGCCGTTACTTGTGAGTCCGTTGTGGTTCTGTTGAAGATGATTAGGGCGGTGTGGAGACTGAGAGTTCAACGAGGAAGATGCCGACATCAGAGTCAGTTCGCTACCTGGCTGTCCTGACGTAGACGTGGGTTGCTTTCTCTTGTTTCTTGCATCGGACGTGGTCGAATTGCCTCTCTTTTTCGCTTCTGGGAGCGTACATTCACAGCCAAACGTAATACAGTTGGTGCAGGGAATATGGATTTCAGCATCACACCTCACCTTACGAGAACGACACACAACACATGCTCTGGAACCTCTTGGTCTTTTATACTTGATCGTGAAAGCCTTGGGCTTATCCGTAGGTTCTTCTTTCATTTTGAAAAAAGATAGAAAAAACCCGCCTGGTGGTGATACAAACGAAGCTTCACCTCAGACTAAAGATGGATATGTGGGGAGCTCCTAGTAGTATCTGTACTTTCTTGCTGTATAGAAAAGTGCGTGACTATAAAATATACGTATGTGCCTACTATATATACCTCGTCGCTACACTGCTATTAACTATACTCCGAGTTTACAGGTTATTCTTGGGCAAAGAAGTGAAGGGAGTAAGTTTACAAAAGAAATAAATAAACTCCGAAATTTCTGCGATACTGACAGTACTTGGAAAACTTCCTCAGGCAGTGAGCAGGAAGAAATTTCAAGAAAGCTGGGGGTATGACTGGGACTGGCAGTTCTTTTTTTTTTTTTTTTTTTTTTAGTTCTTGGAACAGGCTGCGAGATATGGTAGGAGGATAGAGACTAATGCTTGTTCAGACAGAACGAAGAGCGACCTTCCTTCGGTGGTAAGTATTGTGTGCGTGTGTGTGTGTGTGTGTGTGTTTGAATCAACACTACTTCTCCTACGGTGGATATACTCGGGAGCAATGTAAAGAGCTTCTATTAAAGTTAGAGCAGAAAAAATAATATTACTAAATTCCCAGTGTTCTTGAAATGGAAGGTGGTGCACTGATGTTGAGCAAGCATGATGGAACGTCTACGAAGCTAATTTTAGTTGCATAATGGCAGAGATATTACCCTAGGCTAGCGCGAGATGGGGGAATAAAAAGGACGAGAAAGTGAGACAAAGGGAGACGAAGGAAAATGAAGGAAGAAGAAGATAATTACATAGTATGTTATAATGTCGTGAGCGTGCAGTAGCTCTGTTCTCTGTGAAGGTTTGTCCAGAATAAACGGTGAAGAAGCGTGCTCTGGCTGTTCCTTTCGCTGGGCTTACTAACATTCAATGGGCCCTTTCCGTCAGTATTTTTTTTCCCCACATTCGCACTACATAATTTTTTTTCTCTCCTTAAGGCGCATTACATGTAGCACAAAGCAGAGAGGGGGTGCTAAGTGGGACACCAATGTAAGATAATAGACAGGTTTAAGTTGATCGCGTTGGCTAATATTTTTACTGTACATGAGACAACGGCATCTACATATAACCGTGTATATAGGAGAGCAGCCTGCGGATGGACTTCGTTCCGGTCGGTGAATGTGGAATTAATGAAGAGCATAGCTGCAAGTTAAGGGTCACCAAAGAAGGTGGATTATTAATGCGCTGAAACTTTTAAAGTTCATTGCACAGGCAAATGAAAGAAATTAAGGTTCCTCTAGGCAAGGGAGAATGGTGCATTGTGTAAAAAAAAATAATGGGAAGCTGATAACGGAGCAGCATTGCATACTATCAGGTTTTAACACTGATTAGTGTAGTCTCGAGGCATGACATTATTATTTTTATTATGAAATCGTCGGTAATCTGTAAATTCCATTTCTTTTTTTGTCTTTTTCGTGCCAGGACGAGTTTCGTTTTCTTCTCGGTGTGTTCTACACTGGTTTAATTGTGTTCAATGTTCTTAACTCTAACCTAGGCGTTTTCTAAGCCTTTCAACTATATCTTGCTATCTTTTATTCACGCAGGCGGTGTGAATTAGGAAAAAAAATAAGAAAATTAGATCCACCATTGGGGGATATCCGTGGAGCATGTGAAATTGAGTAGAATTTGTTAAACTAGTGTAAACTAGTGAGCTTGGTCGAAGTACGAAATCAGTATTAAATCGAACTTTAATCAGTGCAGAAGAGCGGAAATGTGTGTAGGTGCAATCAACTACCCGTGATGATAGGTATGGCGAAGTTACCGGTTATGATCTTTTAGGTTGTTGGTTAAATGGCTCTGTTCTAGAAGTATTGATCTACATAATTTCTATCAACGAAATACTTCGAGAATTGTTAAATACTACCTAACCGATTCTCTTCTTTTTTTTATTCTGCTGGATGGCAGTTGTAGTGGCAGTGGCAGAAATGAGTACATTCTTCTCTAGTTGCTGTTCTTGTACTTGTTCTTTCTAATCGCTTATCGTAGAGCTAATCAAGCACTTTTATCCTGCACTTTATTTTTCACATACGCATCAAAAAGCATCAACACAATTTTTCAGTTTGTTACACCCAGCTCCTCCATTAAAATCCTGACTAGTTAACTTTTTAGTATCTTGTCGGTCAAAATGGTAGAACTGCAGCTGAATTGGAGAGAAATCTTCTATATTTCGGCGTCCATATTGACAGTAAGTTACTCGATTAAGCGCTATTATGAGCTCTATTACAATCAATCTTCTTCATTTAATACTTCCAAATTGACTTCGTTGCCTCCGAGGTCTCGTGGTGTAGCATCATTAATAGGTAATACTCAACTTGTTGAAATACCCACTTTGTCGAAATTAACTGGGTGTAAAATTTATGCGAAATTAGAGCTTCAGAACCCTGCAGGTAGTGCAAAGGATAGGGTTGCACTCTCTATCATTCGTGAAATGGAAAGGCAAGGCAAATTAAGACCCGGTCATCCTGATGTTGTGTTGGAGGGAACGTCTGGTTCTACTGGTATATCATTTGCAGTATTGGCAAATAGCTTAGGCTATACTGCTCATATCTGCTTGCCAGACGATACTGCAGAGGAGAAAGTCAATTTATTGAAATCGTTGGGTGCAATCATAGAGCCTGTCAAACCTGCTCCCATAGTGGACCCCAACCAATATGTGAATGTAGCCAAAAGAAGAGCTGAAGAGATCTCCAAAGACCCTAACGATGAAAGAAGGGCAATCTTTGCGGACCAATTTGAGAATGACTTTAATTGGAGAATTCACTACTCCACTACAGGACCAGAGATCTGGAAGCAAATGGACGGAGCCATAGATGTATTCATAAATGGTTCAGGCACAGGAGGCACGATTGCTGGTGTAGGGAAATACTTGAAGGAGCAAGACCCTGGTGTTAAGATAATTTTGTCGGATCCTCAGGGATCAGGTCTAGTGAATAGAGTAAACTATGGTGTCATGTACGATACAGTAGAGAGGGAAGGGACCAGAAGGAGACATCAGGTGGATACTTTAGTGGAAGGTATAGGTTTGAACAGACTTACTTGGAACTTCAAAATAGCTGAAGAATACATCGATGAAGGATTTCGAGTTCAAGATGAAGAAGCTTTGAAAATGGCCAAGTTCCTTTGCGTTAACGATGGGTTCTTCTGGGGCTCTTCTGCAGCAGTGAACTGTGTGGCTGCTGTGAAAGCAGCATTCAAGTACGGGCCTGGCCAAAAGATTGTGGTTATTGCTTGTGATTCTGGTTCTAGGCACTTATCGAAGTTTTGGAAAAGGGCAATGGAGGTTCCAAACGATATCAAATTGGAAGACATTATCGTAGAACCATTGAGCTCTGGTCAATAGTCGATAGCACTGGAGCTCTCACCATGACTATGTGGGGCAGGTGTACCTACTAGGATGTATGTGTTTATTTGTTTCCTGTATATAGTACCAATATGGTTATTAGCATAGCATTGAATTTTCACTGCACTTAAATTTTCGTTTTACTACATTGCATTGGTTTGCTTCGTATTTGTACTAAGAAGTATTGTAGAATGGCTCCTGTCGAGAATGGATTGACTTCATTATCCCCGTATGGTCTTCCTGTATTGAGTAAATCTATAACATCGATTCTTAAACCTTTACCGTTTGAGAAGAGCCGAAGTGAAGAGAAAAATTCAGACAGTAACGAAATCAGCCTCCCTGGGTTGAAGATCCCAGTGTTTAAAAATAGTAGTATTTTACAGATTATCAACTCTAATAATTCTAAAATAAGAGCTGATGATCGCATAGGTCAAGTAGGAAAAAGAAATAATGTAAATAAGCTGGAAAACGGCTCATCTTTAGCTGAGATAGAGCCGGAGAGTGAGAGCGTCGCAGTAAATGATGATATGGAAGTTGACGATAGCGTTGGGCCTAAGTATTATTTAGAAATTGAGAGCTTTGTGCCCAGAAACCTTCAACAACAAGTCACTACATTAATAATTAAAGGATTTCCCAGTGTTAAGAAGACTGCCATTGAAAAAATCTTAGGCTTAATCACCAGTTCCCATATCCAATGGTCTATCATAAATTTCGAAATAATAGAACGTAGGCTCTTATTCATTCGATTTGAAAGCATATTGAACTTGCATGCGCTTATGGTTAAGTTGAATAAACTAGAGGAGCATTTGGAGAATTTAAAGATATTTGTAGATCCCAAAGTTGAAGAGTACATTCTGAAGTTGAGCCCAAATGAAACCATTGAGGGCACCAGTTTGGAGGACGAGCAATTGATCTTAAAGATCAATAGAATCATAAAAAGTCCTAAAAATCAAGAGAAATCTTCTACAAAAGGTTCAGGAACTGAAGACTTAGATGCGGTTATGTCTTATTTTAACACATATAAAGTTGAAGATGCAGAATTGGTTGATGTACCGAATGATATGAAGAGTGGGATAGTAAAAGATATAATAAAGTTTAGGTCCAAGGTGTTGAAGATTGAGAAGGAGCGTCGTAAGAAGGAAATAGAACAGGAGCGCCAGAAGGCGAAGTCAAAGCTAAAGAAATTGTTTCTTGAGATTCTGTCAAATGAAAAGGCTGGTGATATTGAGATGGATGTTGATGCGGAAGATGACGAGAATAGTATCGATGATGAATATTCGACATTAAATGATGCTGAATATGACGAGTTGATGCAAAATAAGCTTCAGAAAGACAAAGATACAGAATATGAGAAAGAGTTGAAAGCAATGAAGGATTTGGAAAAGTACAAAAAGACCGTGCTTGAGCAAAAATTGGCCAGTCTTAGAGATTACGAGAACGACCTTGTGGAAAATAAGTTGAAATACATAGATGACTTTAAGAGCTTTAACGACTATGATCTCCAGCAATATGGTAGTATAACAAGCAAACTTTACTATACTAACCATTCCGAATACCTTAGGAATAGAACTAAGGAAAGAGCGAAGGAAGAAAAACTAGATCTACTTGATGAAGCAGAAGAACAAAAGGAAAGAGAGGAAGAGAGGAAAACATCGGTGGTTCCAAAGACTACCATCATTCCTGTTGGTGTAATGCCAACCACATCAGAATCTGCAAGTCCAAAGAATGGATTTGCACAAGGCAAAGATTCAGCAGTCTCAGGCACTTCACTCTCCATCTCCTCGTTGCCAGCTTCTACACAATCTTCCATCAAGGACAAGATTTCAAACCTTATAGAGGAATACCTTGGTCTCAAGGAAGATTCGCTCATTGATTTTGTTTTCGATCATCTATTGGAGAATAACCTTTCCAAAAGAGAAAGTTTGACTGAAGAACTTGCTGAAACTTTAGATGACGACGCACAAGTGGTGGTTGATGACCTTTGGAAGTTCATAAACGAAGTCTCCTCGAATTAAAGAGTATAGTTTCAACTTCTTAGATATGAAGTGTTTAGCTTTCCCTATTAATAAGGCTACAGTAATTTAAAAAATAAGTTTATTAACATAAAAATTTATGAAGAAACGAAGTAAGTTATATTGGCGAAAGTGATTTTCCTAAACCTATGGCAATCTTGGAGCAGGGGTATAAAATAAAGATACAGTGCATTTACTGAAGAAAAGCTATGATACTATTCTCCAATAAATGGTTTTTTTTTTTTTGTTTTTTTCGTTTAATTGTTTTTGTAGAAAACCCAATCTTTTCTTTATCTCGTTGGCTAATCTATCTAGCCCACCCTAGAGAATTCGATGCATTCACGGGGTCCGAGATCTGTACGCTCCGTCCATTGCCGCCAATATCAGCAGAAGAGTTATCAATTCTATTGAAAAGCTCAGACAATCCTGAATGAGATTCAGCGCCAACGGCACTTTCAGTGTCAGAAGGAGGTAATTCAATACCCTTCTTCTTGAATCTCTTGAACAACAAGACCATCAATGTTAAGTAAAGTCCACAACCAGCAGCAGCTCCAATTGTGATTCCGGCAATTGCACCCTTGTTGGATATAACAGAATTAGAAGAATCTAAAGATCCGTAGTTGTTTGTCAGTGATGATGATGATCCAGATGATGAACTATCAGTTGTTGATAATCCAGTTATTGGAATTCTACTATCAATCAATGCAGCTAAACTGCTTTCAGTTGAATCTGTGTTTCTGTACAACTTAGAATCACTAGTCTGAATGAATTGACTTAATGCATCAACTGAATCAGCAGGGAAGTAAACTTCAGCAACGGTGATGGTGTAAGAAATACCTTCAGCAGTGGATGGAACCAATTGTTTGACGGAAACGTCAGAATAAGAGTCAGTATCACTGAATGGGAAAGTTAAAACACCTGGTAAGTACTGGAAAATTTGAGCTGATGATAACGAGTGTTCAACAACGAATGGATAGTTCAAAGCTGCCTTGAAACCAATGTAAACAAGCTGGTAGTTACTTCCTGGAGAAGCAGTGGTGGCTGGGGTAATTGCCTTTGGTAAACCAGAAGTCTGGCCAGCAGAGGCAGTGGTAGTAGCAACTACAATACCAGATTCACCACTATCAGTGGTAGAAGCGGTTGCACTAGTGTCTGCGATAATTAATCCAGTTGGTAACCAGTTCGAAGTTGCCGATGGAGCAGCTCCAGTTTCTGTTGCAGCAGCTATTGAAGAAGTGGTTTCTGGGGCAGCGGTAGTAGCTGCTCCTGAGGTTGCGGCAGCTGAGGCAGCAACCGCACTTGAATCAGTTGAAGCAGCACCAGAAGTAGCAGCAACAGCGGAATCAGTAGAGGCGGCAGCAGTAGTAGCAGCTGAGGCAGCCGACACATCTGAAGTAGCAGCAGTAGTAGCAGCTGAAGCAGCTGACACATCTGAAGTAGCAGCAGTAGTGGCAGCTGAAGCAGCTGAAACATCTGAAGTAGCAGCAGTGGTAGCAGCTGACACATCTGAAGTAGCAGCACTAGTAACAGCTGAAGCAGCTGACACATCTGAAGTGGCAGCAGTAGTAGGAACTGAAGCAGCTGAGACTTCTGAAGTTGGAATTGAAGCAACAGAAGAAGTTGGAACAGCAGAATCAGTAGCTACTGAAGTATCAGATGTAGCCAAAGTAACTGATGGAGATACAGTTGGTGTACTAACTGGAACAACTGAGGACTCTACAGAAGTTGCCGTCTCAGAGCCTGTATCCGAAGGAGTAACAACGGGTGTAACTACCGAAGAACCTGTTTCAGAGCCAACGTCCGAAGTAACGGTTGGAGAAACGGTTGGAGTAACAGTTGGAGTAACTGAGGTTTCAACTGATGACCCAGTTTCAGAAGCAGTATCCGAAACAGCAATTGGAGTACTAACTGGAGCAACTGATGATTCAGAACCAGTCTCGGTAGGAGAGTCCGAGCTTACTGTTGGAGTAACAGTTGGAGTTGGAGTTGGGGTTGCAGTTGGGGTTGCGGAGGATTCAGCAACGGTACCAGTCTCGGAGGAAGAATCAGGAGCCGAAACTAATGGAGCAACAGAGCTTGCAGTTTCGGAGGGTGAGCCAGTTTCTGATGTAGCTGTGGTTTGTGACGAGTCAGTAGTGTCAGTACCATCAAGCGATGACTGAGATGCTGAAACAGTTGGGGTTGCGGATGATGAACTGTCAGTTGTAGGAGCTGCTGAGGAAGCTGCGGCTTCGGTTTCACTGTCAGAGGACGATGCGACAGACTTGGCAGCTTCAGTTGAAGAAGTAGTCTCGTCATCGGCCACTGGCGAAGCTGAAGAAGAAGCTGAAGTAGTAGTGTCAGCTACATTTGAGGTAGATGGTTGTACTAATGATGTAGAGCTAGCAGAAGATGATGAACTAGTCTCGGCAACTTCAGTAGCAACTGGACTACTCGTAGTGGAATCGTCGGACGATCCAGCAGAACTAACCAAATTTGGAGAATTAGTGGCTGTAGAACTGGAAGTTTCAGCATCAGCTGTTGGGGTGGCAGCCTCTGAGGATGCAACAACTGATTTAGCTGGCGATGATGAATCACTCGATGCGGGGGTAGTTGCTTCAGCGGTGGAAGGTGTGCTGGTTGAAGAATCAGTGTCAAAGAAATCATCTGCTGAAGATGATGTTCTTTGAGCAGCAGTTGCAGTTGGACTACTGGAAGTAGTGTCATCAGGTGTGGTAGCATCTGGACTACTAGTAGAACTTGTTTCTGCTTGAGCAGCTGTCGCCGTAGTACTGTCCTGAGCTATAGACTGTTCTGCAATAAGTGCCAGGACGGCACTTGCAAAGTAGTCAGACCCAAAGGGAGACGCGGTGGAGTCGTCAGTACTACTACTTGCTGCTGCTACATGGGCTACAATGGCCAAAAGAGTGGCTAAACTGAAACAACGCATGACTGGTTGGAGGTTTCTGAAAGAATGACAATAGTTGGATTGGAGGATACGTTGAGTGAAGAAGAGGCAAACTCTGGGCCTATCTGCTGTTCAAGTGGTGTGTTTATAAACGAATGTAATGGGGGGGCGTGGCGAACTAGTATATCAGTTCACGCAGTTGGATGCGTAGTTTAATCCAAACGCAAATCAACAAGTAGGGGAAGGGCTGTTGTTCTTTTGCAAAAATTAATCTCTCTGAGCGTGTGCTTTCCCTGTCTTGCTATTATACAACGACTCTACACTCGACAGTAAGGTCTATACAGAAAGGTCTCTAGTCTGTTGTTCAAATAAATGCCTAGCTACAGCTAACAACCAAAAAAAAGAAAATAACAAATTCTCACCAAAGTGGGAAGCCTAACGAAGATATAGGCTAAAGCAAAAAAACGCAGGACAACAAAAATAAGAAAAAGGCTACAGAAGGAGAGGCAGGTGACACAAACGAAAAGAACAAGGTTATTAAGTATAGGAAAGCGATCAGGAATGTAGCCCAACGCCGCATACGCGGTATAGATTCCATGATGAAACAGTTATAAAGACTAATCGCGAGAGGAAGGGTGCGAGGGCGAGAATGTTGCTCGAATTGAGCGAGAAGGTGTATGGAATTACGAGCGGTGAGCGATACACGGTGGTTCTGAGGGAGGAAAGGTAGGAGAAGGGTTTTGGACGATTAGTTGGATGGTAGAAACGACGTTGTTTCTCCTCCTGATTGCTCCTTCTCTCAAGCATGCTTTCTAATCAATCATACTAGCTCATCCTTGAATGACTAGGGGGTTTCTATTTTTGAGTTAGTGCAGGTGTTGTGGATTATTTTTTGTGTTTTCTTTTTATTTTCTTTTTTTTTCCTTTTTTTTCCCTTACTACACTATGGTATTGCTTTTTTTGTGATAGGTGCCCCTCTCAGTCTTGCCTGTGATACGCCTTACGCAGCTAGGGCTACAATTTCAATCTGGGAGCCAATCGCGATAAGATATTCCTCCCGCTTAAGCAAGAGGATTCTTCATGCAGATTATTGGCCAAGGAGGTCGTTTTCAAGATCGTCTCATTTCCCATTTCAAAAGACCCATGGTCTGTTTTTGGTTGTTTCGTTATACTTTTTTCTTCTCGTCTATTGCTGCGCTCCTGGTAAGAAGAATTTTTCCTGCTTTTTTTTTTTTCTTTACTGTTTGGCCCTTTTCACAATCAAATCCCACTCATTCTTCCCTATTGTTTCCCTGATAAAAAGGGGAATTTGAAAATTTTTATCGCTTTGTGTGGAAATTCTGATTGAAGAGGCTCACATAGAATAAAACATTAAAGAGAGATTAAATTCCTACGCTTACAGGAGTAGCTCTTGATGGTCTCCCTACGGGCCATCCTTAACTGATTTCGTAAAGCTATGTATATTTGTTATGATATCTCTTCGTCTATTATTATCTAACGCAGTCAATTGCCCAGGCCATAATCAGTTTCGAATAAACAAAAACATCAAGTTTGGACTTCCCCAAAACACGAAGTGCGAAAAATAACTGTGAAAAAAGAAAATTATCTTCGGTTTTCTTTTTTTTTGTTTTCTTTCTTTTGAGCGTACCTGCCTAAACCGAATACTTCTAACATATAAACACCTGTACTCAGAAAACTGAATTACCTGTAACCTCTGTAAACCTAATATCATTCAGTTAAACTTTACATAATGGCTATTGATGTTTACGTTTCGAATAATGTTTAACTGTTTGGAGACAAATTACGGGCCCCCAAGTATGAGAATGGATTGTACATGAAATCAAGATCTACTTGTTCGTGTTTCTATATTATTTGGGTATATATCTATAAATATCATCCCTTCGACTTGTAGCACCAATAATTATCTCAACTCATTATCTGAATCTGTTTATTCTGCTGACCACAAGAAAACATCCTTGAATAACGCCTCCAATGTAAGCTCTTGGGTGTTGCCTTTTCAATATTTTTGCTATTACCCTTTTTAGTAATAAACAATTTCATTTGTATTAAATTTACGAGTGGGTGAAATTTAAAGTTGCAAGATTGTGAAATTAAGCCCATGCATCATTCCTTCTCTACTATAGTAACCTGAACAATTCAAATTTTAAGCGTATTGATCTGGTTAATCAATGGGCGGGCCACACAACCTCGCAGGCCAATTCTATTGTAACCAAGTGCCATATACCGAATGCTAGAAACATGGCGGGAGCTCCACCTTGTTTCATTTACACAAATCTGTGTGGCACATCATATTTTTATCGTAGTACACTCTTCTTTGAGGGAAACAAGCCTTAGAATATATCTTGTAGACCTTTCTTCAGATTGACCAGCCGGGAGAGGTAGCATGCTTTCCTAGCAAGAGAGGGTAAGCAGTTTGGAACTATATAGGTGAGATGTACCTAGTGGTTGGGATATCTGACTGGGCTTTTGCATTGTTAAGCAACTAAATTGATTTCGAAAATCCTATTGTCTAATATGCCAAATACATCGGTACACCCATATTGTGGGAAAAAGTAAAAAAAAAAGGCTACTGATCTGGGACGTAGAATAGTCAACAGGAAATAGAGGTGACAGATAAGATTGTTAGTGAGGTCTTACGTTGCATGTTGGAAACCCACTGCAAAATTAGGACAGCACAGGCTTTTTTCTGTAGAATTTATGTACTAAAACTCACCAACTAATAGTTACTATCATGTCACGCAGTGAACTAAGATACTACGATTTCTGATAGCATGTAGCGCTGTGAACAAAGGTATGGCAATCTCTGATAAGCAAGACAATAGTCTTATTATTTTCTGTGGTGGCATATCTAATGAATTGTGTGGTGGAATACTTAAGTAGCCCGTTCCAAAGCAGTACTCTTTTGATGCAATTTAAGATCACGTATGTACTCTTCAATATCTAATGCTCGTGTTTTCCTCGTAAATAGCCATGTGTGGTGCAGTCAACAGTGCGACGGAGCTCGATATCTCTTCTTTTCTGCCGTTCTTCAATTCAATTCCATGATTATGGCTTTTGCATCGTTTCATGTTGAGTAAATAGAATTGTGGGTGCAAATTGAATTCTTGAGAAATAACTTTAGGGTAATCGGAAATAGAAGACAAAAAATAGATACAAAAAGGGGGATAAGAGCACCTCCAAAACTTATTGGATGCCGTCTCAACCTCAAGTGTTCAAGATTCACCCCATAAAATGGTACCTAGCCCTTATAGTGAAGGACTGGGTAGACTATTCATCTCTCAGTAAAAGTCATGCATATAAAATCAGAAGATTACCTGCAGTACCCTGATTCATATATGAAAGTCACTTATATTCTCAGAAAACCCTCCACTCCACAGTCTTCTTATCATCATGAGAAGACGAAATATAGATGTTTTAGATTCAGAAGATCCTATTGAAACATTGGACCAAGATTTACTTATAGAAGTACTACACAAAGATGAATTGAAAAAGTTTCACCTCTACAAAAAATACTTGATTATATTCTTTCTCATGCAAACGCCATTCACTGTATATTGGAAACAGCTAAGAAAGGTATTCCCAGTGTTGTGCTTGTTGAGTCTACTATCTATAATTTTAACGGTGAGTACACTTCACTTCGATTTTAATGAATTGAGGAGGAACGTCTCTCAGGCAACAAAGACAGAAATCTTTGCGAAATTAATCAACAAAGGGGTGTTCCAAATTGTGAATGCACTTATCTGTTTCAGAATATGTATTTCTATTTTAAAAAGTGATCTAGTGTGGCGTGTATTTTTCTTGTTGCCAGTTGTGGACTTTTTTATTTGCTTATTTTTGAATCATTGGCACGATGCCTCATTAAACGAAATCAAGAAATTGAATGCTTTGAAATACAAATACAAGGTCAGTTGAGCAACAGTGGGGCACACAGTAGTGGCTAATATTGTGGCAGTGATACACTTTTAATATAACACCAACATACTGCATATAATATCAATAATGTTCTAAGACATATGAGAGTGCATATAACTTATTCTGCGTGTAAAATACATCTGTTGAAGTCCGACATATAAAGAAAAAAATTCTATTCCCATTTGTAGAGTGCATATAGCACAACTTAGGTAGTTTCTCCCTGTCAATAATCAATTAGCTTCTCTCTAAGATGCTAGTGCCGAGGTTCGAGTTATTTTCTAGGATCCATTCCAAGTATCTCGAATAAATGGTCGGTAATTAGTAGGTTAGCACGATGATCTGAAAAATTTTCAACTTATTTTTCACTTCTTTTTAATCCAAGATGCATCGACTTCTGACAGAATCTTCTGTGCATACCAAAAAATAAAAATTTCACACCAAATATGTGAAGCATTCTTTCCAGAGCAACAGTTAAAAATAAGCGGTTGTCATTAAGGATGCCGTCTACATGAGGAAGAAAGTAAATACTACAATGCCTAGGTTACCAAGAAATGTAAAACCTGTCGGCACAAGTTGCAAAGGTTCGAACCTGGAATAATCCGAAAAGGGCTCCATTTGGCCCAGGTTCGATGCACTCGAGAATTCTATGCCTTGTTCGTTTTTTTTTTCAATCAGGTACCACATCGCCTACCCTGGTGGACAAGCTGCCAATTTGCCTCGCAGATTCCAGAATCGCTGTTGCTACTCGCCACTTTTGACGCTAGAAAATCTTTTTGTCGCACCCAGAGAGCAAACATTGAGGCTGCAGCAGTGGCATCGAAAATTTTTCTACAGCTGTTGCCGAGGATACACAGAGGGTAACAGAGGCAGTGAAAGAAGGCAGTGGGAGATTGCCTACCGGGAGATAAGAGAATTGGAGCCAATTGAGAAGAACACAAGCTAGAAAGACTCCTGCAAAATAAATGTCTAGTAAAGTGATAGACGTTCCATCGGATATGAGTCTGGCCTAGCATGGAGCAGGAACTTATGACGGTACAAATCCGAGCACGGCTCTTACGGTTTCCAAAAAGTTTGGGGTTGCTACCTAAACGCATCGGACTTGGGGGACCCTCTAAAAATATCGCCTGGAAGAGAAATATTAAAAAAAAAAAAAAAAAAAAAAAAATTTAAAATAGACAGCTGCCATGTAGAGTGAAAACTACTCGAATTGGTGGTGCCACTGGTAAAAGGGTGCCACCCACCTCTAGTAGAAACAAGAAACACCTTATCTCTTGCTATGTCGTTATCAAGATCAGTGTCTGCATCTGTATCTCGAGAGCTCACGCGGCTATTTCTTATCTAATGACACCATGCTCACTCATCATATTAGTCATATTGTGGGTCTCTCGTATTGCTCATCCAAGAGTCATCAGAATTTTCTCGAATATTCACGAAAAATAAAAATAAAAATAAAAAAAAAAAAACATTCGCACCGATAAAAAAAAAAAGTTGGGGTAGTAAGGCATCTTCTGAGACACTTTTGGGGCAAAGCATAACGATAGAAATAGGAAAAAAAATATGGCAGTTGGTTTGTCAACTGTGGAGTTTAAGCTTAAAGTTACTAAGTTGAATCTAGAAGAGCCATAGAGAACAAAAAGTTACGTCAAAGAAAGAGTTCACTTTCGAACGACTGGAAAATTGTGGTGGTGGGATCCATAACGAAAGCGGTGGTTCCGTTAATGGTGTTCCGAGACACGGGATCCATAATAGTGGCTAGAATTTTTAACTATCTAATTTTTATGCCTAATTTGCTGCACAGTTTTTGTTCTTGTCGCGCCATAGCATGCGAGTATGACAATAAAAAAAAAAAAAAAAAAGATGAGTAAGAATTTTCTGCTCTACAAGTCTGCAGCACCAAATATAAAAAGAGGAGAAAGTAAGGTTAGATTTCTTCGATTCAACATTTATAAGCACTAATTAACAAATATAAAGAGACAAACATCTTCTACGTACCTAGAAGAAGTAGAATAACCGAAACATTAAGTGCAATTACTGTCTATACAGCTCCCTTGCTATATATCAGCACTCACCGCAAGCATTAGCCCACGCTCACTAATAACTAATTTTGTTATAAATAAATACAAAATTTTTTTTTTTTCGATTTCCTGCACCACGTGAACGCAACTCCTCTCCTGCAGAATACGCCACGTTTTTTTGAACCAACAGAAAAAAAAATACTTAAGCATCGGAATTGCAACTCTTTTTGAATTTGCAAATCTTTTTCTTAGCTATCCACAAGTCAATAACAAACTTAGCATTTATAATTAGCAGTGATTAACTGTTACCATATAGTATCGAATTAAGCTCGCATACCCCCGACTATTGCATATTACTACATAACCAAGAAATGTCTGACGCTTTCGATAACTACTGCATAACTTGTGATCAATTATGTTCGCAGAACAGCATATACTGTTCAGATTCTTGTAAGCACATAGATGAAGCTCAGGCTTCGTCAGTGAGTACGACTCTGAGCCATTTACCTGGATTAGTATCACCATTATTAACTCCATCGGAATATCAACACTACAGTGACTACAACACCACCGCTTCCTCACAATACCTCACCGAATCCCCGCTTATGCTTCTGAAACAATCTTCCATAGATCTTGAGTACCACTCATTTGATCTCAACAAGCCACTGGATTCCACGATAGTGCCATCCACATCAAACAACTACAGAAAGTGGCTCACAGCATGTTTATAAAGATAATACTTCATAAATAAAATGGAAAACATAAAAAGAATTAATTGATTAATAATAAATATTGGGGGAATTTGGGAAAAATTACAAACACACAAAAAAATACATAAAAGGTTTAATAATTTTTAAAAAAAGGTTTATAGATACACGGTTTAATGCATATATTTAAGGTACGTTTACCTCTCTTTGTAGTACGAAAAGGTGTAGTTAGAAAGTTGTTGCAAATTTGTTTGCGCAGATTTTTTCACTAGCAACTGACAATTTGCGCTGTGGTATTTTGTGGAGCTGGTGCGATTGCGCAATTTCCTGGATCGGATTTGGCAAGCAACACGTTTTGATCCACAAGAAAAAGTCAAAAGTGGCATGGAAAAATCCCATTGGGGGACCCTGGCCAACCCAAAAGGAGAACAGAGGGACTTTGACAGCTTCGTCAGGTCACTGTTTAACACAACAAATACAAATGTTTAAAAAAAAAGGGGCCGTTAGTCCGAATAGCACTTTCTCCTTACAGCTTGCAAAATATAAATTAAGTTATGTGTGCTTACAGTATCGGCTCATCCCATAGCTACAGTCTCTCCTCTTCCCCATATTCCACCATTTCCGAGAGATTCCCCTATACATGTCTCCGCTTTCTTACGTGTTTTTGGAGTCAATGGATATTTTTTGTTTTCCTTTTTTTAAGTTTCTGCAGATTTATACTGTATACTGTGGCCATGGTGTCACATCAAAGCCCCTAACAGTACAAAATTATTGTTGTGCTTCTTGTTTTTGAATGATCTATAATTTAAGCTTTTTAACTTTGTTTGATTTCTTTTTTAATTTGTGAGTAAAATGTCCCTATTTGTCCAGGTTATGAGAGATGGCGGGGCGTTGATGTTTAACAAATTCGTAATTCATCTTAGGTACAGGAAAAAACGTGAAGCCAGAACCAGTCGTTAGGTTAAAAAGGAACCAGAACTTGTCGTTAGATTAGGTACAGGAAAATAAGTAAAACAAAAGATGCAATTCGGGCTATATACAGGAAACATTGGCGCTGCTTTCCTGTGAACATAAAACAGATCATGCCTGTTTTTGACGCACCGTATACAGGAAGTATTGATCGTTTCTATTTTTGACACACTATGTACAGGACATTTGTCGCTGGTTTTCTTGTGAACATGAGACACCCCATGCCAACTTTGACGTACTACATACAGGAAACAAACTACCTTCGACATGTTCCTATATAGCGGAAAGCCCACTGCTATATGCCGGATTCCAATGATGGAAAACTTCGAGTATGGAAATTTGAAAAAAAAAAATGAAACCCACAAAACTGAGCTTAGGCTTGACAAGACTCTTACAGTAACAACTATATTAGCATGTTTGGTCCATTTAAAGGTACCTTGCCCACTTTAGGAGGTCTTCTTTGGAAAAGGTCGTGGAGAATGTCCAAAGATCAAAAGTTTAGACTCAGAAAGAGAATGCAATTAGTTGACAGAAACATTGAAGTGTTGTACCAATCACTCAAGCCTGCTGGAGAAGGTCAAGTAAGCACTGGTCACCCTAAAATCGATCACCTCAAATTCGTGTTCCCCAAGGAGAATGAAATGAAGCCAGTTGATAAGTATACTACGTTCAACAAAAACGCTAAAAACTATAGAAAGGCTGTACACCATGTTCCCAAATGGACCAAATTGTCCTTTAGGGAGAATCCAAAGTATTTCTAGAAGATTTATTATCAGGAAATTGTATATAGTAAAAATAAACAGCATAGTATATGTGTTTGTAGGTAACGGAAGGAAGAGTAGATGAAACACAGATGAAACACAGATGAAGCAGGAATGAAACAGACATGGAACGGACATGAAACCAAGATAAAATTGTGATCAGCTACGCACCGAGAGGGTCAAAACTTTCCCATACGGTAGTCTAGAAAGGGTATCTCAGCCACAATCGGGAGTCAAGCGAAGTCGCTCTTGTTCCTGCTATCTTTTCAACTGATTTTTGCCCTGTACTCTTCTGTACATGCTACTGTGGCAGCTGATTTTCCTTGTAGCCCACAGGGATAACTCTTAGGCCTGATTTCCGTCGTGTAAGTTCACCTCATAACTCCCAATCATTACTCTTTGCAAAGCGTAGGTAGTAGAGGACAAAACTCTTATTTCATCTTTTTTATGGGTGTAGGCAGTGGAAAAGTTGGGATGTCAGATAGTTTCGTGGCGGATAGTTGAGACTCACGGCGAGTACACAGTGCCTGCACGTTTATCTTGACCACGAGAATCCTAGGCTCCGCTCGTAAGTGTAGCCCAACAACGATAAAACTCTTTCCAGAGAGGGTTGACTGGACTTACAAAAGCTCCGTCAACTTCATCACATCTGGAAACTGAAGTTCGTAGCAGCACCGTGCCGATGATATTGGGCCGGCCGATCCTGAATCCTTCTGCATTCGAGAAATACCCTCTTTCATGCAAATAAACGAATGAAGGGTCACTCATCTGGCTCATTATTTAGATAACCCTTACAATCTATCCCAAATGTGGTTGGTTATGAAGTAGTCACTATACTTGTCATTCACATTCAAAATGCTCGTAAGATCATTCTCTTTATTGTATAGCAATATCTTATCTTCATCCACGCCATTTGTGCCGTTTTCTATCAATATTCCAAGCGATTTGTACAAGTTGATTTTCATGATCTTCGAGTCGGGGTTTTGTAGCAAGTTCTCATTCAAAACATTTTCAGTTTGCTGTGTGACTTTTTCAAGCTGCTCATGTAGTTTCAGGATATTGATTTTCTTGAGATTAATCTGCGAGTCCAATTCATTTATCCTCTTGGCAAGGACAACCTTGGAGTTGTCTAGTTCAATGGATTTCTTATCAAACAAATCAAAGAGGTTATCGTTAGGCAGCACCAGCGGTACAGTTTTGATTTCGAGCTGTGCCAAAATGTCCTCACTTGACGAGGGATCAGACAACGAATTGGCCTCCTTGAGAAGAGAATCATACTCCTTTTGGAGCTGATTTAGGATCGATTGTTGTTGTTCCAACTTGAGCGACCTTTGGATCGAGGATTTCTGGATGGACTCATCGATTTTACTTAGCATAACAAGATCCGGTTTGATTTCGAACGAATCAACCACGGAGTTGAGAATGGCTGGATACGATTCCGACATCTACGCAGCACTTCCAATCGGCAAATGTATCGAATTAACTGCTAGCAGAACAAGGACTACAGCACCAAGAAGAAGACCCCTAGTCAGCCCGTCTGCTCACCGTTTGTTTACCTTTCGCACTCCACCTAAACACAGCTGAGCTGCCCTCGGAACTCGCGAAAAAAAAAGCGAGTCAGGTGCGCGCAGAAATTGATGATAAAAATTGATCAGTTCATTGAACACACCAGGCCCACCATATAACGTCTGTAGCAGAATGAATTCAAAGAAGACGTTAGAAGACGTTCACCTCCCTACGAACCCAAATATCCCTGCGTGGCTTATAACCCCGAAAGAGGAAAAATTAATCTACGAAAGATGGAGAAAGAAGGCACACGTTCATTGCGATGATTTGATTAGACAGTACATTGAATGCTCCAACCGGTTCAAAAATCCAATCGATGGGATGAGGGAGTGTAAGGGAATAAACAGTGATAGAGAGTCGTGCCTCAAGCAGTTCCAGAAAGATAATGTTTTGGACAACGAAAGGAATCTGTATATTGAAGAGAAGATAGAGATGAAGAAGATCATCGATGAGTATGTAAAGAAGAGGGATGGTTAAGGCGATACATGTATATAAAACGAGCGAAGATGAGCAGAAGCGAGCAGAGGATGAATGTAAATAGCTATGAAGAAGTGTGTAGAAATAAAATGGACATGAGAAAAAGAAGCCAAGCCTAGGATGATGTAGCCAGAGCAGAAGAGGGCCCAGCACGAGAAGCTGAGAGAGCGGAAATGGAGCAAAAATAGAGTGGGAGTTGGAGTGAGAAAGAGAGACTGACATAGAGTGAGCTAGCTAGTGAAAAAGAAAGACAGACAGACCGTACACTATACCTCTCTCCATACTGACCACTATAGGGCCCAGCTCCGGAGAAAAAATAAAGACCCTCCCTTTCGCGCGCTCCTATCTCCTACAAAGTGTATGACCCAATACATATGTATTAAACTCTATCCTGTACTATACAATGCAACCCCATACCATTACCCACTACACGCACCCTGCTATCGCCGCCTCTTTAATCCAGGGCAACTCAAGTGCTAGCTCTCTGTATCCTCGTTCTTATTAGATGCAGTTCTCACGTCGTTTTCAAAAACAACATGGCTCGCCATAAACAAAGCTCCATGCATTATACCTAATTTTTCAATATGCTTTACTTGGGACGCAGTGATGGATAACAATTCATTAAAGTCCGAGAGATTGGCCTGCAACTGAGCCAATTGGGAATTCAAATGACTTAGCTGTCGCTGTTTTAGCGATGAGTGTGATGATGTCGACATCTTATTCTACCTAATTTTTGCCTTTTCCTTATACTCTCTAGAAAGAAAGAAAGACCTTAGGTCACTGTTTCTGTTTTGTTTACGCTTGTTTTGACTTCGTTCCCTTCCTTTTTTCCCCTACACTGCGTAATTTCTTTTGATTTTTTCCGCGAATTTCCGCTGGTGGTGCGACTCTTAGCGTCTCATTTTGTGCGACCCTCACACAAATTTTTCTTACTTTTTCATTTTAATTTCTCGATCCCTCATCTATCCGGGGAATCACAGACGAAAGTATACCGAAGTTTAACAGCAAGAAAAAGCCATATATAGATCCAAAATTGCTAGAGTGAGAAGAAGAGCACGAGGAAGACCGAAAGAGGAAAAAAAAAGTTCAAAAAGCAAAGAAAGTGGCCCGCTAGTTCTGTACTTTGTAGCCTCCATTATATTTCTCACTGTAACTTTGGTGCTGCACAGACACTAAGAAGAAATGAAGACTGAAGATATAGGCACGATACCTTTACCCATAACGCCCGTACCGGGTGATTACCAGACGAGTCCAAATGAGCAGCTGCAGCCTCACCGGCTACCACCACAGCCTCAGCAGAACGTGAATGCCGCTGCGAATCCTCACCAACCCCATCCCTATCCCCTTGCCCTGTCGCAGTCCCACGCACAACCCCGTCCCCAACCCCAATCTCAACCACATCCCCTGGCACACGTAAACCCGAGCCATAACCAGCAGAAATACCACAAGATTCAGCCTGCGGCAATCAAGCCGAAGCCTGTTCCAATTGCGATGTTGCCCAAACCAGTGCACAAATCGTACTTTGACCCTACTCCTAACTTGAAGTCAAGTATCCAGCTCAATGTAAATACATCCAAGAAATGGGTGCTCCCCCCGAGACCAAGACCAGGAAGAAAGCCTACTTCGGGTCATGGAGATGATATAAACGGACAGGTGCTGACCCCAACTCTCAGCCAGACTCAAACTCAGACGCAGAGCCTGGTCCAGAGCCCAAACAGCGGACAAGCACCACCTAACGCAGTGGCTCTGGCGTCGTACAATTCCAAGCTATCGCCCAAGAAGAAGTCCAAGGTTACAATGGAGGATGAAAGCATGAAGATTATAAGCCAGCTACAACAGCAATTTCCAAACATCAGCGCCAACACGTTGGCGTCTGTTGCAGCTGTCCCAGTTGCAGTTCCTCTGGCCGCTGGTGCAATCAGCAGCCCTGATGCAACCACAACTATCCCCATCCAGGCAACCAACCAATCTGCATCTACCACAGTGACATCTCCTCCAATAACATCAAATACTATCAAGAATCTTAAAATTTATTACGTTTCAAAGATCAAAGAGCAGGAACTAGTGAAAAATTACATTGAGGTGATCAACAAGCAGATCAAGGAATTAAAATTTGTACAGAATGGGGTAATTACGTTTGATGCTTTGAACAACGATGAAAAGAGCCAATCAAATCCCCACCTGAACCAGCAGAATCAGAATCAGAATCAGAACCAAGTCCAAGCACAGAACCAACAACCGCTGCAGTTGCAGCAGCAACTACAACAGCGTCAAATTTCGTCGCCACAACTATCTCTGGCTGGCGTAGGTATGACCTCTGGTTTAGGTTTATCATCGCTTGGCCAATCTGGCCCTTATGAGCAGCTCGAGCGAATAAACAATATTAACGATTTAAATAAGTTTTTAAGCTACTTAACGAAGTCGTCTAATATTATTCACAGTGTTACAAAAAAGTATAACATTTCGGACGAGAACTTGGACAGTCAGATCAAAGCATTCTTAGACAAAAAGGCAAAGACCAAGCAACAGCAGAAGCTCCAACAGCAGCAACAGCAGCAGAGAGCAGAGCAGGCTCAAAAATCTAAAGTGAGCTCTGTGGGAAGTGTAGGGCTTGGAAGAAAAAATGGCTCGTCACCATCATCCATGTTATTGAAACTGTCTTTGGAGATGAACACGCCCTTGAAATCTATCGAGGAAGATTTCTCAGACGATGGTATCGATGTGTTCAGCATTCTTAAGGAGACACCTACGATCCCCAGCGGATTAGAGATGGAGGAGTTGTTCACAATAAACGAATTGGAGGACTATATATTAATTGATAAGGGGCTAAATAGGGAAGATGGGCAGGGACTGGTCCCAATACAAGCAAATCAAGGAAACGGACACAAATTTCAAGATTACTCGGCGCAGGATCAGCCGGGGAATAGGGACGTGACACCGGTAGCAGGTCAAGAACAAGTAGAACAGCACCAGCACCAGCACCAGCACCAGCAGCTGAATCAGGGCAGCGACAGTAGTAAACATCAACCCACAAAAAGATCCAAAAAAGTTTCTAGCTGTGGGTTCTGTTCCAATGGTACACCATGCTTATGTTTAGACGCTGACATAGAAATCAGGCTGTTAAAGTAGACAAGAGGAGGTGGTATGAGTTACGTTCAAACATATACATTAGTATACAACTACATATAGATATATACATATACATCTAACAGACTTACTATTTCTTTATTACCGGTTTGATGTATGGGGAGATTGATGCCTACACCTCTTCTCTCTCTTTGTTTTCTTATTTTCTTAGTTTATATTGGTTTATGTGAATAAATTAGTAGAGGAAGGCCAAGTAAGAACCGAAAACGGCAGTGGCAGCCAATACGGCGTAACCTGTTCTGATAACACCCTTGATGGACAATTCCTTACCCAAATCCCAGACCAAATGTCTGATACCGTTGAAAGCGTGGAATGCAAATGGATAGGCCATGACAGCCTTGGCTCCCACTTGCACGTAGGTGGGCAAAGATGCGAATGTTGAGACAATTAAAGCAGAATCAAAGTGGAACGACGTGAGTCCAGCGGCAGCATATCCGACAGCTAATGCGTAGAATGCACCGGCCATTGCGACACCGGTGATTCTATGAAGACTTGATAACACCATGGTAATTTGAGGCTTGTAGATGGTTAAATGTGGGGATTCTGGTCTGATTCTACGCTGTTGAACAAGGATTTCTTGTTCTTGGTCATGAGATGCCTTGACTGTGGAGATACATCTTGTCAAGGTGGACTTGAACAAGAGTTGGCGAGATGCTAAAGGAGAATGTTAGTTAAAAGAGGAACATCAACAAAGAGGTGCCCAAAATGGCCGAAATTGTTCGGTTTTTTTTGGGTTTTCTGGCTCAACGTGGTCTTCTGAACGTACGTCTGGCTAATCCTAATCCTACACGGGAAAGCATGGTCGATATATGGGGTGTATTGTAGAGAAGTTCAATATCTGGGGGAGTTTATTTTTGATTTTTTTTTTGTCCCGGAGAGCCAATGAGAAATTTTGAATTTCAGATTGAGGTCACGTGATCACCAGGGAGTAAAGCGGGTGCGGATGCGAGGGAGGGAGCACCGGGAAGCGCGCCAGGCATGAGGGTGCACAAAGTAAAGATCAGATTGCGCATTTCGTGGGGAGAATTAGGGGAGTTAGCGTAGGGAGTGGCCTGCGTGAGACAAGGCGATACGCTGCGCGCACAGCGAAGAATCTACGGACTCGCGGGGACAGCCGCTAAAGCTAAAGCTAAAACCACCAGGAACCTGAATAAGTCAGTTGCAACCCTTCCACTGTCTCACTAAGTATGAGCCTCAAAACAGAAGGGGAGTGTTGAGGATGAGGTGTGATCTTTCCTTTATGTTTTTTTTAGTTGATTTCGTACTCTAATGAGCATTCGTGAGCGTCTATAACTGGCTCTTCTGTTAATCTCTACTGGCTAGAGTTAGCGAGTATCGCTATTTTCCCTAGCGCACAGTGCATCTTTCCAGCGGGAGTATCAGCGGATTTTCCCAGTACGGACAAAATTTTTGACTTTTTTTTTCTGTGACACTTTTTTTTTTTTTTTTTTTTTTTTTTAGGATTTCTGGCTAAGCTGACGCTTACACTCATTGGCATCACAACAATTATTAGTCACCCCCTACACCCTCCCGAACCCAGTACCATCTGATCCATGAGTTCACCATCTGGCGAGAGGATACCTCCAGACACAATTCCTGCACTGGAGCCACATCCGGATCAATTCCAAGCAGAAAACACAAAGAACGCAGATCACTCCGAAACCAGCGAGCGGAACATGGCATTCAGCGATGTTGAGTCCATCGAAACCAATGAGGACGTCGGAGAAGACCAGGACCGCCCCGATTCCACCGACTTGATGTTCGAGAAGAAGCATGTACAGAAATCAAGGACGCAGTCTATCCAATCAGTGTTATCTACGGCTTCACTTAAGTCCCTTAAGCAACAGTTATCGGTGAACAATCTCACATCCAACCAGCCAAGGAGCAGCAGCATCATCAGCACCACCAGCAACTTCAACAACTCGAAGAACTTCCAGTCGTTTATACAGGCGCCAGTGTTGTCGAGCATCACGGATTTGAAGAACAACGATAACATCGAGATTGGCCAAAGGTTGCCATTTGTAGACAAGAAGGAAGACAACGAAGGCGCAAGAGCCACGGCGACTAGTGCTGGTGGGTCAAGTAAGGTGGCCTCAGACGAAGACGACGACGGTTTATGGCAGCAGCAGAAGCTTACAATAAACGCGTTGAAGAAATTGAGCCTATCACCTCAACCTATCTACAACGCCGATAACGACAGCGACCATATCAGGAGTACAGTGGTTAGAAAGACTTCTGCTGCCAAGATTCCCGTATTGGAAAAGATCGTAGAACCGTACAAACCGGCAGAGGTAGACTTAAGCACGTTTGCAAGTTTAACCAGGCAACCAAAGGTCGAGAAGCTCCAATCTACACAACTGCCACCACAGGCAGACGACACTTCCGATGCGAGCCAGCAAAAGAATACCGAAGAGGAAGAAGACCAAAGGGACCTTGATGCTGCGGATCCACAAAAGAACGTACAGGAAGCAATGTCCTTGGAAAGTAGACACGATGCTAACCTTACGCAGCCTGCTTCTATTTCAAATAGTTCCAGCACTTCAGGTGCTTCTACAGGATCGCAATTGTCTCGTCAATCGAATAACCTGGCGCTGGTACTACTGGCACAGGCAGCGTACCATAAGGAGCTTCAGGAAACGCATCAGCTCAGAAACATCAGGCCCAATTCAATGAACAACAAGATCCCAGCAGCTGTAATCCCACCCCAAGATATGAATATCAGAAGGTCTTTGCTGCTGCATTTGGTTGGTGGAAAAGTGAACAGCAGCAACGGGAACGGCAGTTTAATAGAAGGCAAATCCCCTACAAAAGATTCTCATCATCTGATGAAACATTTGCAGCAGATCAAGGGATTCCGAAACCCTATGTACGTGCCTGCAGTTCTCCGTATGTCAGGAATAAACAAAAATGGACCTAACGGATACAGTATAGACACAAGTAATGAGAATACTTCAAAGGCAACAGGGAGCGACAAAATGACTTCCGTCGATAATATCAATTCTAATAATAATCATAATCATAATAATAATAATAATAATCATCAAACCGATAGCCATCATCATAATAATAATAACAGCAATAACAGCTATATCAACAGCAACAATAATATTAATAAAAACAGCAATAGAAGTAACAGGGGTGCTAATACTAACGACAATGGTTCGAATAATAACGAAATTGATGCAGATTCCAGTCAGATTGATAATGGGATAGATCGCACGAACGGAGACTTGACCAACTCGGGCCAATCCTCTCAATCATCGGTAGCCTCTATAGAATCTAACGAATCTACAGTAAACTCCATGTCTCCACGAGTTTCTTCGGGAAAATACGAAGATATTTCAAGACTGGCACCTACGAGAAGGCATTGGTTGAAGGATGAAGCAGTTTTCAAGTGTGGTATCCGTTCGTGCAACAAACATTTCAACTTCTTTGAGAGAAGGCATCATTGTAGGAAATGTGGGGGTATTTATTGTAATGAGCATACATCGCATTATCTTTATATCAATCATTTGGCTCAATTCACCACTGGGGGTAGAGGAACACTCTCCAAAGTATGCGACTACTGCATTGGCGAGTACAATGAGTTTATTAAGAACGAGTTTGGTGTAGATGTTCATTCTACAGGACAAAGGTCTGCCAGGAAAACAAAGAGTAGTGTGCCATTACTGCCGTCAAAAAGACACCCCAAGGCACCATCCCATAGGCAACCAGGGGATGCAGGCAGCAACAGCTCTAACTCTAACTACAATGACACCGCCATGGTCGACAAATTGGGTACATTACCTTCAGGCATATCTACAATTCACTCCGTAAAGAAAGATGGTGCAACTAGGTCCGACCAGTTGGTGGGCAGTGTCCCTGCCAATTGGAGTTGGAGTTCATTTTAGGGTCGGGTTACCAGTGCTTGGATAGAATCGCTTTTACTGCTGGATGCAGAACATGAGAGCGCTGGGATGCATTATTAGTATATTTAATACACATTACAATAGTAGTCAACTGTAGAACCAGTACTATCGGTAGTAGATGTTATCCACCGTCGTGCAGCCTTGGACTATTGCAACCTCTGTCCTGCACGCGCTGCATACAAGCGATTATCGGTGTCTCCCAGATTTCCCTATATGCACTCCTGACACCGTGTTGAAAAAATCAAAAACTTCAGGAACGAAATTTCAGCTACACAGAGAGACAGTATCAACATCAATCACCTCATTGTCGACACTTTACTAGGTATAATATGGTTTCAGAAAAGAAGAAGCAGTCTGTACTGACTTCCTCTGCACCATTGAAGCAAAAAGAGGTGGCGGAAGTAGTTCCTACTGGTCCAAAGATCTTGGGAGTGAAATTAGACACGATCAGATTGCTTTTGCAAGTTATCATTTTCATCTCAATTGCCGGAGCATCAATCTCTTCCAGATTATTCTCTGTGATTCGTTTTGAATCAATTATCCACGAATTCGATCCTTGGTTTAATTTCAGAGCAACCAAGTATCTTGTCACACACTCTTACTACGACTTCTTGAATTGGTTTGACGACAGAACATGGTATCCATTGGGAAGAGTCACCGGTGGTACATTGTACCCAGGGTTGATGGTTACGTCAGGTGTTATCTGGCACACCTTGCGTGAGTGGCTTGCGCTCCCAATTGACATAAGAAACATCTGTGTGTTGTTGGCTCCAGCCTTTTCTGGCTTGACTGCTATCTTCACTTACTTCTTCACCAAGGAAATTAAAGATCTGAACGCTGGTTTGTTGGCCGCTATATTCATGGGTATCGCTCCAGGTTACATCTCAAGATCAGTTGCTGGCTCTTATGATAACGAAGCCATTGCGATCACTTTGCTTATGGCAACCTTTTACTTCTGGATTAAGGCCATGAAGTTGGGTTCCGTGTTCTATGGTACATTGACTGCATTGTTCTACTTCTACATGGTTAGTGCATGGGGTGGATATGTGTTTATCACCAACTTGATTCCATTGCACATCTTTGTGTTGATCTTGATGGGCCGTTATTCCCACAAGTTGTACACCGCATACACTACATGGTATGCCTTGGGAACTTTAGCTTCCATGCAAATCCCATTCGTTGGATTCTTACCAATCAGATCGAACGATCATATGGCAGCATTGGGTGTCTTTGGTTTGCTCCAATTGGTAGCAGTCGGGGATTACGTCAAATCTCAAATCCCTTCAAAGCAATTTAAATCATTCTTGGTTATTTCATTGGTTTTGACTATCACTTTGGGAATCATTGGGTTGGTCGGTTTAACCACTTTGGGCTGGATTGCTCCATGGACTGGTAGATTTTACTCACTTTGGGACACAAACTATGCTAAGATCCACATACCGATTATTGCATCTGTCTCAGAACATCAACCTACAGCATGGCCAGCATTCTTCTTCGACACCAACATGTTGATTTGGTTATTCCCTGCAGGTGTTTACTTGTGCTTCCAAGACTTGCAAAACGAGCACGTTTTTGTTATCATTTACGCTGTCTTATGTTCATACTTCGCAGGTGTTATGGTCAGATTAATGTTGACTTTGACTCCAATCATCTGTGCTTCGGGTGCCATTGCCTTGAGTAAGTTATTTGACGTGTACTTGGACATTAGCGAATTGATCAACGCAAATCCAGAAGAAGAAACTACCGACAAGAAGAAGAGCACAGGAAACAGAAAGGCAAACATTTTCTTTATTCTCCTCTCTAAGCTTATCGTCTTACTTACGTTTGCCTTTTACCTCTTCTACTTTGTTTTCCACTGTACTTGGGTTACTTCCAACGCATACTCCTCACCATCTGTTGTTTTGGCGCTGAAGAATCCAGATGGTTCTCAACACATTATCGATGACTTCAGAGAAGCCTACTATTGGCTCAGAATGAACACCCCAGAAGACGCAAAGGTTATGGCATGGTGGGATTATGGGTATCAAATTGGTGGTATGGCGGATCGTACCACATTGGTTGATAACAACACCTGGAACAATACTCACATTGCCACCGTTGGTAAGGCTATGTGTTCTTCAGAAGAAGTTTCATATGAAATTTTGAAGAAACACGACGTTGATTACGTTTTAGTCATCTTTGGAGGCTTATTGGGATATTCTGGTGATGATATCAATAAATTCTTATGGATGGTCAGAATTTCTGAGGGAATTTGGCCAGATGAAGTTCACGAGCGTGACTTCTTTAGCGAGAGAGGTGAATACAAGGTAGACTCTGAAGCATCACAAACCATGAAGGACTCTTTGATGTACAAGATGAGTTACTATAGATTCAATGAATTGTACAATGGTAGAGATGCCAGTGACAGAGTGAGAGGTCAAACCATTCCTGCCAGTCAAGCACCAGAATTAAACGTAGTTGAAGAAGCATTCACATCTCAGAACTGGATCGTCAGACTTTACAAGGTTAAAGATTTGGATAATGTTGGTAGAAACTTACACAGTGCTACCCAATTTTCTAAGACAGAGCAGTCAAAGAGGAAGAGAATTGCAAAGAAACCAGTAATTGATTTACGTGAGTAAAGCGACATGAATGTTATAAATAATTAAAAAAGAAAACCAAAAAAAATCGGCACTCACAAGTGTGAAAATGAAGTCTAAATGACATATATAGGTAAATATCCATAGAGAATAGAAAATCTTAAGAATCAACTCAATTGTACTTCATATTAGTAACTTGTTATACATTCTTTAAGTAGTCGCGACCAGGGGACCTAACCTTGCGGAGGCATTTTTCACATTCGTCAAACTTTATTTGCGTTTCAAAGATTCCCCACATCATTAGGTGCAGAAATGCCCGTATATTTTCTTCGAATAAAAGCAACCAGAATATAAGCAGCTTCGTTTCACTGAAAATAAAGTTCGTATACCCCTTATAAATACTTCCTTCATTACTTATTTCACCTTCGTTAGGGTCTCATTTAATTATCAAACGATTGTAAGATTTTCGTCATGGGCGGCGTTTTGGACTTAGAAGAACATCTTGTGTTCTACAGATCATACCACTTCAATCAGACAAATGTTGCGATTCATTTGGCCTGTATTCCTGTAATATTGGTTACTGCATTTGCTATCTTTGTGCCGCTTCAATTGAGCAGTATTCTGCCCTACCTCAACTTGGGGGTTGGTTTTGCACTTGGCTACTCGATATTTTATGCTGTACTTGACTTCAAAGTTGGAGCAATCACCATACCATTACTTACATCAATTGCCGTCTTCTTAACAGAATTATACAAAAGAGCTGGCGAGGGCCAATTATATGTCGATCAAAAGCAATTATATCGCATTGAAGTCGCCCTTCATATAGCTGCATGGTTAGCTCAATTCTATGGCCATGCTGTGCACGAGAAAAGAGCGCCTGCATTACTTGATAATCTCTTGCAAGCTCTTGTTCTTGCCCCATTTTTTGTATTCTTTGAAGTTGCATTTGCGTTAGGTTTTAGAAAAGACTTGGAGAAGACCATGAACAACAAAGCAGGGAAATTGGCTAGAGATTTCAAATTTGCAACTGCGGAGGCGAATAGAGCTAACAAGAAGGAGATTTGATGATGAAACACCGTGAGAATAATATGTCAATTTGAACTATTTAATATTGTCATCGTGTAGATAACTATAACCTCTTTTTTCGATCTGTTAACTTTTTGTATTCTTCGTACTTGATTCTTACTTCTTCTTCATATATCGAGACTCCCAGAACCTGATTTCCTATTGTAAACCAACCTGGTCTGATGTTATGATCCCTTCCAAATAGCTCTAACTTTCTTGCATGTTTCCCCACAATTCTTTCTACAATTTGGTAAATTTCATCCGGTTTTCTCAGTGTTTCCCTAGTGGAGCTGACAACGATACTAGAATCCACTAACCTGTTCAACCACGGGAGATTACCACCTTTTACACCTACCAACAAATGCTCTTTGGAATGGTTCAACCAGTGCCCTGTTCTTCCAGTAACAATGGTTCTTCGCAATTGATTCAATTTTACCCAAATGATCTCATCAGAAATCGTATAGCCCCAACTGGTAAGTGCTTTGCGACCGGTCTCAATTGATCTACCAGTAACCCAAAGAAGTATAATTCCTTCATCCTGTAACTCATTCATTGGCAAGGATAACAACTCAACGTCCTTGCAGGTTCCATATGGTAGTGACATATGAATGTCCCATGCAGGGTCTGAAATGATTACTGCAAATTTTCCTAGAATCAGAAATGGGATTTGCCTAACGTCACAAGAGATCCACTGTGGAGGTAGTACTGCCCTTTTATATTCAAGGAGACAGTCTCCGAGCGTGTATTCATTTGCAATACAATCTAGGTAGAATTTCTTAGAAAGATTGTCATTTTTGACATCGTCACATTGTGATGCGTTCAACGTATAGTAATGCAAATATCTACAAGTCTTCATTCTATGGCAGGTATCTAAATAAGAGCAATCTCCCAACAGAATGTCAGTGTAGTTAGTTATAATTGGCAAGTAATGAACATTTTTCAACGTACACTGGTATATAGTAGAGCTAACTTTACCTCTCAATTTACTGATCTGGTCACCCCCATTACCAAATATGTTAGATAGAGTGTGTACGTGGGAATTGTTTCTGCAGACTTCTGCAAATTGCCTCTTTGGCCACTTGACTTTCATCTTGGAGATAGTCAATTCTTTTCTAGCTGTTGGCTTTGTAATTAAGATTTCCAATGCATTTAAAGGCGGATTCATGGGCTTATTCAACATGTGGAAAAAGTCTTCAGCGCTATACAGCGGCAACGGAGAAGTTTGGTCAATATCCATAAGAGAATTCGTCCTGTTTGGGTCATTATCATCCTCTACTTTTAAGAATTCTTCTAAATCCACCAACTTGTCAATATTAATGTACTCCAATGCACATTCTGAGTTAATTGAATCCAAATCCTTCCAGAAACAACCTTTGGTGATCTCGTTAATCCTACTTACCTGATCCACAAAAGAAGATATGCTTATTTTGTAGTTGTCTCTACAGTAAGCATGCCAGATAAGCAGCAATTCGGACTGGATCGGACTCAATTGAATGCTTGCACTGGAGTTGATAAAAAAACTAACTAACGGGAGTAAGTCTGCCATAGTGTGGTCAATAGGAGAGAAGGGAAAGAAAAATCAGAGTCCAAGAGAGGAAAGTAAACAGTAAAGAAGAAACAAGATGTCTCTAGCATTGATAAATCAGGCAGACTGCTACTCCTTTTATATTCATGTTGGTCGTAATTTTAATGCCTAAGGCTTGTTTCATATGGCTGCAAACTTACACATTTAGTGCTGCAGGAGGCATTTGAAAAATTATTTTCTTCGCTTATCTGCGGGACACTCCATCATCAACTCAGTCACTAGCACACTGGATTTGAATACTCACAGTGCATATTCACGTTTGCATTATCATGTGTAGATGTTTCTGTTGTTCATAGCAAAGTTACAGAATTCTTATAAGTCATATAAAGGATATTTTATTTTATATTGATATTTTTTTATCTTAGCTAATCTAAAGTAATTCTTACAAAGTATACAAATTTTCGAGTTTTTTTCTGCAATCTATTATTTCTAAAATCCGAATGGATTGTCAGCAGTTGCCGATTGTAAGTTCGCCCTTCTCTGCCCTGTTGGTTGTGATTGTAATGGAGCATTTCCGAATCCAGCACCAGTTGGTTGTGATTGGAGAGGTTGCGGGTTAAATCCGTCAAACTGTTGTTGTCCAAAGGATGTCGTTGGGAAGGATTGTTGTGGTTGGCCAATTGACGTATTTTGGAACATATTGGTCATTTGGCCAATATTAGGCTGTTGCTGCTGCTGTGGCTGGAACAGATTAAATTGTTGTTGCCCAAATGATGCTTGTGGGGTCTGGTAGGTCGATTGAGGCATTTGTCCAAAGGACTGCTGTGGCTGGAACTGACCAAATGAATTTTGAGGTTGATTGAAAGTGGCTTGTGGTTGGAATTGGTTGAATGAATTTTGAGGTGGAGCTTGATTGAAAGTGTTCTGAGGTGGGACTTGGTTAAAAGTGTTTTGTGGGAAGCTGCCAAATGAAGTAGTAGGTTGAGATTGGAACTGACCAAAAGGTTGCTGTTGCTGTTGTTGTTGTTGAAATCCTCCAGTGAGTTGACCACCTACAAATCCACCAGTTGCTTGGTTACCTACAAATCCACCTACTGGTTGCTGAATTTGACCAAAAGTATTTGTGGGCATAAATCCACCAGTTGTATTTCCGCCTGTCTTTTGAACTGGAACTAAGGGTCCAGTCTTTTGTAATGAAAGCGGTTGGCCAAAACTAGTAGTGGGCATTGCTGAAAAATTACCAGTTTGTACTGGGACAAACGTACCAGTTTGTTGAAGAGTAGGTTGACCAAAAGTGGTGAATGGCATTGTGCCGCCAGTCTTCTGTTGCTGGAATGTAGTTACACCAGTCTGTAATGGAATAATTCCGTAGGTGAACTGAGGAGCTAACCCACCAGTTGCTTGAATTGGCATGAAGCCGGTTGGTTGGGCAGGAATAGGCATGAAACCAGTAGGTTGGACGGGAATTAAACCGCCTGTTTGTTGCACAGGTACGAGATTTCCAGTACGCTGAACTGGAATTAGGCCTCCAGTTTGCTGACCAGCAATGCCACCATTACTCGTATTTCCGCCAGTTTTCTGTACAGAAAACTGTTGTCCTGGCTGAATCAACGTTCCAGTCTTAACAGGCTGTAATGCAGGTGCTGATGGCTCCACGGTCGCATTAGATGTTTGGTATGTTCTATTTGAAGAGTTACCCACTTCTATTGGCTTAATACTTACTAAATCTTGTAAAGATCCAGTGTATTGAGGTGTAGCTGGCTTTTCTGATGTATTTTGAGATTTTAATAAATCTTCACTTGATCTAGCGGCTGGTTTAACTGCCCAAGCATCGTCTTCAAATTTACTTGTACCAGCAAGATTAGCAAGCGGATCAGGTAATTGCTTTTGAGGAGATGGTAACGCTTTAGCATCCACTCTGTTAACTTCAAGTGCTGAATTGTTATTGTTTTTCAATGCACCTCCAGCTTCAGTAAATAATCCACCTCCTGAGGTAGATGTTGCAACGTCAGATGGAGCATTAGACTTTCTATTGCATTTATTGTCTAACATTTTCATAACTCTTATGATATCACCTTCTCTCAACCCTAAGGTACGTAAAAGAGATGGTGAAATGTCTTGGAGGACATTCTCATCCATCTGTTCACGACTGAAATTAAGAGAATAACGTTGACAATTTCCAATATCAACACCACATGAAAGGAAGAACTCAAACCAGTCGTAGTCTGGTTCGGTAATTGCAGTTGTAGCTTTGCTCTTCGAAGATGGCCTGGTTGGCTTTTCTGGTGCGATATCATTGATTGCCGCAGTAGCCGACTTGCTAACACCTACACCACTCAGTCCTCTAGAGCTCTTGGCTCTCTTCAAGTTCAATCTTTCAACTTCCTTCTTATATGATTCTAAGGATGTTCCAGTAACCTTTTCAACATATTCTAAATCTTCCAAAGATAATTTTGTCGCTCCAACTGCAATCTTCACCCCATTGGTCTTATGTAAATGTATTTTACCCTCAATACATCCCAAGAATTCTGCTTCGACTTTGAAGGAACCAGAACTATCAATCCAAGTTCGAACTCTATGAATATTTGGCATTGATTTATCATGCTCCTTAGAGTCATGTTTTGATGAAGAGGATTTATCTCTTTGTAGACGATCCCTTTCTCTAATCTTATCCCTTTCGTCTCGAGAACGATGTTTGTGTTTGCTTTCCTTAGCGTCAACAACCCTTCCCTTAGTTGAGGAACTTCTATTAACAGACTTTTTACGCAGTGGCTGGTCCGTTAGTTTATCCAAATTGGAGCTGCCAATGATTTCAATATATGATGAAGGGACAACACCTTGACGCCCAGAATCAATGTTTTCAACCATCCACCAATCTTTAGACTTACTTTCATTTATAATGTATACTTCATCTCCTTCTCTGCATTGCAATTCATCGCCACTTTGAGCTTCGAAATCATATAGTAACCTTCCAATTCTCTTATTACTAGCATTGTTTGATGGCTTGGATGCTCTTAATACTTCCTTTAAGCCACGTTCCGATTCAGCTCCCTTAATGTCACCTAAAATCGACATGATCGCTTCGGCAACATCTTTGGTACCAGTATGCAATTCAATAGAGCTTTGAGGATTCTTGAACTCTAAAAACAAGTGCTTCTTTTCGTTACTGAAGTTAATCAAATCTCTAACTTTCCACTGCTGGTCAATGTTCGAAGAAGATTTCATTGAAAGCTTGGAACTAGAAACTGTCGGCTTTAAAATAACAAGACCTTGTCCAACGGATAAAGTGATAGCTCTCTTTCTACGACCATCCACTTCATTTATGTACCAAGTAAAGTATTCACCATCGAACTTGTGCTCAGGTTCAACTTGCTCTTCATTCTCGTATTGAGATGGGGAGCCAACTGAAGTTGCATTTGAAATAGAATTGGATATATGGTTCTGGCTCTGAGATCGAGATTGACCCGGTCTGCTAGGCATAGGAGGCGGTGCTTCGTCATCCATATCTTCGGGTTCTTCTCTTTCTTGTTGGACGGGCCTTGCTGGTTTAATTGGAGTTTCATATTCATCCTGTTGATGAGGCAAAGGAGGTAATTCTTGGTCGTTTTTATAAGCAGGAGATGAAGACGCGACTCTCTGCTTATGCTGTGGAGGTGGAGCAAACGAGCTGATAGGAAGTGGCTGTTGCACCCCTGTCAGCCCATTGCTAACCGGTGTAGGAGTTATTGGTGGAGCTGAAGAACTCAAGTCAAGCTCAATATAATTAGATGGAACAAACCCAAATTGAGTTTGAGTCAACAAGTCACCCACGAGTAACCAATCTGGGTCTTTCAAGTCGTAAACATTGAATTTTTCACCCTCTTTAAACGATAATTCTTCTTCCGTTTGTTTATCATAATCGTACAATGCGCTAGCAGTCTTCACGACAGGGGCTGGCTCAATGTAGTTTGCAGGGACTAATCCGCTTGGCTCCTCTACTTCCTCATCACCAGTTGCAACCTCTCTCTTTTTTACTTTCCACCAATCGTCAACATCCGACTTTTCCAACAAGTACAATAAATCATCAGCCTGTACCGTTAATTCTTCCTCTGCCTGGGCGGAATAATCATAGATTGCCTTATAAACACCTATGTATAAAGACAGCATATTTAAGCCAATAGCAATCTAAAAATTGTCGATAAAAGTCAACCAACGCAAATTTAGCTAGGTTTGATACTTGTATGCTTTATTTACTTGCCTAGTCCGGTTTTCTTCCCATAACTCCTATTCTTCGTTTTCTTGATCTGACCGGTGGTGGTGGTGGTGACTTTGGGGTGAACTATTGAGCTGGACACGCCTGCCGTAATTCGCGGTTATTCTCCCAAGATTAAAAAGCTTAAAATAGAAGGGGAAAAAAATGGCTGCGAAAATACTGCGAGGTTTGCTACCGGCTGGATTGGTCTATACTTTCGATCGGGACACACGGTAGCGCCATGTCCAAGTCCATATCTACTTCGGAACGTACATGTTCCAAAATAAGATCTGGCTGATCGTTTTCTTTCCTTCTCTTCCATCTCGCAAAGTGGAGCTCGTGGCTGGAGCATTCGCTTCGATTGCTAGTGCTTGCTTCACCGTGCTCATTCTCGTCTGTTATTTGTTCATTCTCGTTTGTGTGCCCCAAATCGAAAGAAAGCATATGGCGCTTCACGCTGTACGATGCTGACTCCTCACTATCTTTATGTTTTTCATCTTCCTTCTCTCTCACCTCAACATCATCATCTAATTCTTCGTCCTCGCTATCCTCGGCATCACTGACACTTTCTATTTCTCCCGTTTCTTCGTCATGCTCATCATCATGCTCATGTACGTCTTTGCATTCCTTTTCTCTGTGTCTGTACTTATCAATATCCGCTTCCAAGTCATTGGGATTGAAAGAATTCAATTTGTACACCTTGCCCAAAGAGTTCAAGAATTGGATCGCACTAATAGTGCTGATGTCAGGATTTCCTCTTCGAAAATACTTGAATTGGTCTTTGAATTCTTCAGAGTCTCTATCCGTATTAACTTGAATAGAGAGAACGTCTCTGGCAAGCGCTGACAAAGTTGGGTACTTTTTTTGGTTTATATTCCAAAATTGAAGCAAATGGGGCCCAACCTCCAAAGATACGTATTTCGAAGATTTCAAGTATTTGACTTCCCCAGAAGAAGAAGTTTCGTAATTATAGCACTCCTTTGAGCCACTGCCAGAGCAATTGAACAATTTCATGATCATATCATCCAAGTTGAGACCCAAATCATTTTCAAAGAGTGAAGTGGTTGCACTTTCAGCTTTAGTTCTGACCGTTTCTCCGATGTATTTGTTAATTCTGTTAATATCAGACTCTTTTAAATATCTTTTAGTAGAAGGATGTAAGTAACTTGCTGAGATCAATTGAAATTTCTTTTCAATATCTTGGTGATAATCCGTTAGTCTTGCGAGCATTCTTTTCAAGAAAGGTTGAACTTTTTTTGTAATGGGTTTGAGATCATATACGCTATTATTTTCAAATGCAGTGGTGTGGACAACTAAAATCTTGATCCACTTCAAAAGCATGTGAATTGTTGGAAATTTTAGCTTTGAACTAATAGTAACAATATCATGAAATCTCCTGACGAATTCAATAATAAACTCAACAACTTGCCAATCGTAGCAAGTTAGAGTATTGCTGCTTTCACGATATTTCTGTTTGATGATTCTGTTCAACTCATTTTTATGCTTTAGGATATTTGTGAAGTATTTGATACTGTTCAACTTGCTACTATAGTCACATTCCATTCTGCTGGACATGCTTGCATCTAACTTCAAATTTCCAAGTTTCTGATACAAGCCGAATAGAAAATGATGGACGCTGATCGGGATAATATCACTGGAGGGAATCCATTGGTACAGAGCATTTTCACTAAAGTCTTTACCCTCATCTTGGTTGCTGTATATTTCGCCTTCAATAGCACTTAGGAATTCAGCAACAACCCTAATCACAAAGGTAGGGAAACATTGCATGAACTTCGACTCATCGAAATCTTCGTTAGTGATAGATTTTAAAAGATCCATGGAGTCCCTATCTATATCAAAGTTCGCCGTGACGAATGATATTCTTCCGTTTAGTATTTCTAAGACAGAACCACCTAAATTATGAGGCAGGAAAGTTCCAGGTCGACTACTATTTTCATCCAAGTCAAGGATTCCCATAGGAAATTCACATAACTCGAAATTGCTGTTAATGTACGATATCGAAGTCAAAAAGAGAGGTTTGACTTCATATGCCGAAACCCATTTATGCAAAGTAAGTGCAAACTTGGTCTCGCTTGAAATAACATTCTTGAAATAATTCTCAAAGTACTTCTTATATTCTGTGTACAACTGGCTAGAAGTTGCTTCAATTTGTTTCTGGGTTATCTTTCTGGTCAATGCCAGGTTCAACAGTTTCTTGTAAAATGCATACAAAATCCCCCTTTCGATGTGCTGGAATGGGACCAAGTTTTCAATAAGCATCATTGTGAGCTCTGGTAAACCACTTTTAGTCTCTGGAACAGACTTTTCTTTACCTTTAATCGCAAGCTTTGCCATACTTGTGTAAGAAGAGTGTGTGAGCTTAAGGTGAAGGCCCAAGGACCCCACCCTAAATAATGGCTGCAAAAAAAAAAAAACTATTGACGTGGGGCTCAGGAAGTGCTGCAGAAAAAAAAAATCACAGCTTAGAAGAAAGCACGAAGATGAAGAGGTAGAACAGAAGTCGAGATGAAGAGATTGGACAGAAGCTAATTGCAAGAGGTAGGGTAGAAGCAAACCAGTGGCCCATCTTTACTCCTTGTTATTGATGATGATACTGTTATTAATATAACTACTTTTGGAAGTAAACTTGGAAAGGCAGCCGAAATGAAGAGAAGCCGAAGCTAAGAAGAAGAGGTGGAACAGAGCCTAGAAGAAGCAACTATTTGAACCTTGCCAGTAGTATTCATACCGTATTGATAACTATCTGATAATACTGCTATTGGTAGAAAACTTGCCCTAATAGGCATAAAATTAGCGAGTTATTGGAATTACTTTTATCTACCTATCTATCTACCTACCTACTTCTTAATTAACTCTTGTGAGTCCTTCACCTCCTTTCAACACATTTTCTATATTCTTCAAAGCAACAACTGCAGTGTGGTCGAAGTTTTCCTTCGTAGAAGCACCAATATGTGGTGTTAAAATCACATCCTTTCTGGTAAGCAAAGATTCGTGGCACTTTGGCTCACCTTCGAAGACATCTAAACCTGCAAATAAAATCTTTCCAGATTCTAAGCCATTGACTAATGCCTGTTCATCGATTACTGAACCTCTCCCTATGTTAACAATACGGAATGGTTTGGAAATCGCATCAATGACATCCTTATTGATCAAGTGCTTTGTTTCTGGAGTAGCTGGGCATGCAATGACTACAAGATCAACAATATCCTTGGCTTCCAATATGGAAGAATGGTAAGTCACCTTGTATCCCAAATTCGATTCTTGCTCATCTGAAAGCTTAGATCTTTTGGTGTAGTGGACATGCATACCAATACCAGACAATCTTCTACCAATGGTTTGGCCAATGTTACCGAAACCCACGATAAGGACGCTGTGTCCCTCTGGAGAGAGCACTTGTCTACCAGAACATTGCTCACCAAAAGCGTACCCTGCCTTTGTATCTCTCAACACTGGCTTACCAAACTTGCTATCGAAAGTAGAGTTTTCCAAGAGATTTCTGGTGACAATTGTATGGTTAGCGGTATGGAAGTTTTCTTCAAAGGTTCTGAAGTTTCTGAAACTTGCTAACGTATTGTATAATACCAAGTCTGCAACTGGGCCGGCTGCTCCGTCAGATGGGACATTGGTGAGGACGATATTTTTCAGTTTCATGCCTGGACCATCGTATCCATCATAACCGACAGAGGCTATGGAGATGACTTTCAAAGAAGGTGGAGCATTTTCTAGCAATTCGTTTCTAAATCCACCGACAGCAAAAAAACCTAACCAAGCACCATATATGGCTTGAACATTTTGATATTTGGTCTTGAAATCTTCAATGACTTGTTCTTTCGAGCTGAAGGAATACTCAATACAGTCGAATTTAGACTTGAAATCGAGATATTCTGGGAGAGTTTTGTCCAATTCACCGATGAACAAAACTTGGGCTTTTGACATAGTGCACCTTTCAGGAAACGGGACGAGAATACCAACTAAACGATAGAAGAAAGAAGAGCAAGTTACAAAAAGTAGGGCTTCTAGTTCCACGTCAAAATTTTCAGCCTGAATCTCAAAAGTTTAAATTATCACCGAGAGGAGAAGAGCCGTTGTTCAATGCAGTGCTACCGAATGCCTCACGAAAAAGAGCATAGACCACGCACCAGGGACTAAAAAGGAAACAGGGGCCACAGTGCAAACGCAAGAGATCTTACAAAAAGCTAATTCTTTATTATATTCCGTCTAATTTTTTTATTTTAGAAAATGTATTGAATGAATTGGTGGTCATGATGAGATTTAGTGGTGGCTGTGACCTGGTTCACCTAAGTATTTAATGGCATATACGTTACCACAATGCCAACATCTACCTGGCTTTTCTTCTTCGACTTGCATCCAGTATGGGTTATGTTCTTCACCACCCTTGGCACCGGTGCAACCAACATATCTGGAGCCAATGTAAGATGGAACCAAGTATGGGTCTGCCATGGTACCACTACCTTCAGTGATTGGCTTTTCCATGTCGAAAACGTCAACACCTTCTCTCTTACCCAATAATTCAAATCTTTCTAAACCAGTAGCTTGATCTAAATCAGTTGGAATAGTACCTGGTTGGGCACCAGGACCAATCAAGGAATCATCTGGACCGGTAACATCGCCTAAAGTCTTAGCAGTTGGGACAACAGTCTTTTGTAAGGTAACTCTAGCGGTGGAGAATAATCTCAAGTTATTGCTGATTGGTCTAGCAATACGTAATGAACGAGAAAGCATCTGCATGGATAGTTAGTAAGAATGAACAGTAAAAAAGAAAGGGGAAGTAGAAAATGGGAAGTGTAATGGAAACAAGCAAACAATGGAAAAGCCCAGCCCATGGAGTGGAATTGAAGTAGATGGTCCTAATCTGCAATTGAACGTTGTACGAGGCAACTTCGAGCTCGAGCAAGTAGCTTGTGGATAAGCCAGATCCTCGAATGAGGAAGACAGAGGGCTAGGCTGAGAGCTACTAGCACCAATCCGCCTGCACCATGTCGATCTGCTAGCACTAGGGGTTGAAAAATGTTTTGTGCAGGACATCTACAGTGTAATGATGAAGTACAAGAGCGCTAGTGGATGGATACAACAACACCACAGATCCAATTTAAATGGACTAGTCCATACAATAATCGGCACAGAATTGATACCAGGACATCAACTCGTTCAACACGAATTGATTGATCTCGAAAAAAATCGAAATACCCGCTATTTATATACTCCAATCCCATTTGTTTTAAATGCAATGCTCAGCATCGATAGCTCGTTCTTCAGTTGGTTCGAAATTCCACTACATCGAGCCTTATGTCAGCCAAACGCTGTCACTTTATTTTCTTTTCTTCTGGTCTGAACTCTTTGAACACTTACGTTATATAAACTATTTATAGTTGTGGTTTAAGACTAATTACAGACCTTGAAAACTCTATCTATGATAGTATATTGTCTGTTATATATTTTTCTCTCCTCTGGTTTTTTTTCTTTTAGAAAATCAGCTAACAATCGCACAAAGTTTAATGGAATTATGATTGGCTAAATCGTAGTCATGTGATCGTGGGCATGTGGTTCGATAATGAAGAGACGCGAATAAAAATAAGCGGAGGAAAAACTCGGCACCACCTGCAGTACGCCTACACGGGTAACGGTAGCATCAACAGCACTGTGGATGTGGAATGCACGGTACTCAGGCCAGATTAGAGCTGAAGAAAGAAAGAAGAAATGCTCAAAAAAAGACAAAAAGGTCAAAAGACGAAAGGTCAAAAATGCTAAATTTCTTGAAAATTGGTAGGATCCTACTGTGGACCCGTTGTAGCAATTAGCTCTTATTACTCTGAACGAACTCGAAGTTGAATAGTAATATTTTTATATGTGATAGTAAGGCAGATGAAACAGACCGAAAGTAGAAGTGGCCCGGGTATAAAATAAAGCATATCGCTTAGGTGGGACAACTCTCACATACCAGAGCCAGAATTGTGCAACCAAACAAAGGGACCATTCGCACAACGGAAGTAAAAAGAACAAAAGACATATATATGGGTATAAACGGACATCCAAATACACAACATCCCCAAATGTACATACATATTACCACTACAAGTATGAGTCCCTCTCACCTAGCCCTTATCTCTCTCTCTCTCTCTCTCTCTCTCTCTCTCTCTCTTACACATTCTCACTGTTCTATCTCTTCTCATGAACTCTGCTCTGGCCAGACACTAGTGCCCTGCTTGATTTGCACCCAAGCGGCACCTATGTTCGCTCTTTAGGGCTCTGCCCTACACTGATAACGTGACATACATTCTCGATTTTGCTTTTGATCGCACACGAATTTTTTTTTTCTCACTCCCAACTCTCACCAAGCGTCAATCCAGTCTCACCTATACAAAATAAAATTATTGGAAACTGTAATTTTTCATTTACAATTCTTCACTACAATAGTAATAAAGGTATGTAAAAGTTACCCATATAGTATTTGGCATTGAAGCAAGGACTGATCGGAACTTCATTATATAAGGGAAAGGATAAAAAAGAGAGAAGTCTACCTATTATAGTAGAATATGAACATCTGAACGATTTGAAAAAAAAACTTGAAAAAATATGAACACCCAACCAGTGTGGAAGAAATGGGCGTAATAAAATTATGAGAAAGGGAGCAAAAAAAGATCAACAGACGACTAGTAATACCCTTGGCATCAAAGTAGGAAGGGGGGTAAATCCTGGACGCAGCATTAAACCCTAAATAAATTAACACTTACACATTTGGAAAGTTCTGTTTCAACCCTGCTTCAGCTTAGAACTATCGCACACAGTGCAAAACAAAAAAAACTTTATAGTCTTTTTCTTATACTAACAAACATTTCAGTAATCATGCCAAAAAAGAGAGCTTCCAACGGTAGAAACAAGAAGGGTAGAGGTCACGTCAAGCCAGTTAGATGTTTAAACTGTGCTAGATGTGTTCCAAAGGATAAGGCCATCAAGAGAGTCACTATCAGAAACATGGTTGAAGCCGCTGCTGTTAGAGATTTATCTGAAGCTTCTGTCTACGCTGAATACGCTTTACCAAAGTTGTACAACAAATTGCACTACTGTATCTCTTGTGCCATTCACGCCAGAATTGTCAGAGTCAGATCCAGAACCGACAGAAGAATCAGAGCTCCACCTCAAAGAAAGAGATTCAACACCGAAAGAAAGGTTTCTCCTCAAGATGCTGCCAAGAAGGCCAACTAAATTAATCTTCAATCCGAAAAATGAAAATTGAAAATAGTTTAGCTTTGTATACTTTTATTCTCATGTATATTTGAGTAAACGACAAATCTATGTAAAGATGAATTGTAGAAATGAAAGGGAAATGATAATACTTGACGTACTGTAGGAGCAGATTCTGTGCTTCGCTGCCAAGGCAGCAGGTAGCCACAGACAAATGTTCAATCAGGTCCACCCCTGGGTCGATTGGAATGAAAATCTTTTCACAGTTTAAATATGGTCCTGTATACAGTGTCATCGGCCTGTTTCGATAGGTCGGAGTGCTAGGAGAGAGTACACTGCACTCAGAGGCCGAGAAAGTCGCTGGTTACTAGGGGCTGTAATCATGCTACTAATCTATGCTGGAATCCCTTCATTTAACTTTCAATTTCAACTCTACCTGAACGAAAGGATCCCCTAATCCTGGCCCCCAGTCCCAAAGTGCTCAGAAACGAGATCCACGTCTAAACCTTCTTCCGCAACTAAATTGGCTCCTGTACATAGTGCACGCTAGAGCCAATATGCTTCGCAGGAATAGGCCAGGGAGAGCTGACAATTGATGTGGTACTTTAGGAAGATGGATCGGACAGAAAAGGACGCAGGCTGCAGAACTCAGCTTAGGAGGAACTAGATTCCCGGTAAAGGCAACATAATTAGCGAGCTGCGATGAATACTCTAAAATCTTTAAACTTCTAACTTTGCCAATATCCTCTTAAAACTTAAAATATAACTAAACTAAACAAAACTAAGCGAAACGAAACGAAACGAACGAAACATCTGTAGAAAGTCGAATTCCACTATGCCCCATTTACACTGACACTAGATCCATATTGTTCTTGACTTCCCTCTCTTCTCTCCCCTTAAGCTTCCACCCACTTACCAATTGCTCTCTACCCATTCCGACCCCCACCACTCCTCGTTCGTCCCGTCCTGCACACACGCCCACCAGGCCAAAAAAAAATCCCAAGAGCGAACAATCGTAATAAAAAAAAAGCAAGAAAAAAGGGAAATTTGCTACCACCAACATCAACCACAATTAAGGAAGCAAAGGCACGTAGCAGTCGTGAAGATCATTGTTTTACATAGTAGGAATTTTATTTTTTGATATCTTTTTGACATATAAAAGGTTTCCCGTTCGAATTGAATTGAATTGGTTTGAATTGGTTGATTTTGATACTGAGGATCTGAAAACGGCAAAATCACTTAGAACAGAGCACACTCCAAATTCTTCCAACCCCCCCTCTCACAGCGCACAAGGTCAACATAAAAAAAAATACACAACGGTACCATTCATAAGATAAGTTAGATCAGCACTGTACCATGGATGAAACTTGGAAATTCTCTCAATGTTTTGGAGATAAAGGAGATATCGAGAACATCACCGAGGCGGATATTATATCCACCGTGGAGTTTGACCATAATGGAGATTTCTTAGCCACCGGTGATAAAGGTGGTAGGGTGGTTTTGTTTGAAAGAAATCAGCCCAAGAAGCAGAGTCTGTGTGAATATAAATTCTTTACTGAATTCCAGAGTCATGACGCTGAGTTTGACTACTTGAAGTCCTTGGAGATTGAAGAGAAGATCAATAAGATCAAGTGGTTGAAGTCGTTCAACAATTCATTGTATTTGTTGTCCACCAACGACAAGACTATCAAGTTGTGGAAGATCATGGAAAAGCAAATCAAGTTAGTTTCCGAGAATAATCTCAGCTCTGCAAACGGTGGAACCTCGAATGGAGCCGGTAGCGCCAATGGCGGTGCAGATATCCCGCTTAATTTGAAGAACCTCAGGCTCCCTAAGATGACCTTACACGATAAGTTGATTCTGGCGCAGCCTAAGAAGATATACTCTAATGCGCATGCGTACCATATCAACTCTATATCTGTCAATTCTGATCAAGAAACGTACCTCTCGCTGGACGATTTAAGGATTAATTTGTGGAACTTGGGCATAAGTGACCAGTCTTTCAACATTGTGGACATTAAGCCCAACAATATGGAAGAATTGACAGAAGTTATAACTAGTGCAGAGTTCCACCCACACCATTGTAACTTGTTTATGTACTCCAGTTCTAAGGGTACAATCAAATTGAGCGACATGAGACTGAATTCGTTGTGTGATTCTCACTCCAAGGTGTTCGAGGAATACTTAGACCCACTGCTGCACAACTTTTTCACTGAGATCACCCTGTCCATAAGTGATGTCAAGTTCAGCCACGATGGTAGGTATATTGTGTCTAGAGATTATATGACTGTGAAGATTTGGGATTTGGCAATGGAGCTGAAACCAATAAAGACAATAAATGTTCACGAGCATTTAAGAGATAGATTATGTGATACCTACGAAAATGATGCTATATTCGACAAGTTTGAAGTGCAATTTAGCGGTGATAATAAGAGCGTGATGACCGGTAGCTATAATAACAACTTTATGATTTATCCAAACGCAGTTGGTTCTAACTCCTCGGCTGCCACAGGTGCTGGTGCTGGAGGAGCAAGAACTAAGGCTATGAAGTTGAACAGAAAGAAGCCAAACAGCAAGAAAAAGAGAAATGATGGCTTTGTCGATGACGGAGACGATGAAGATGAAGATGATGACGACGACGATGATGACGAAGACGATGAGGATGCTACTTCGTCACCAAGAGTCAACAACGACACCTTCCCTCAATCGCCATCTTCCCAGATCGATGACGACGGAGAACAAGAAGAAATTGTCTTGCAGGCCGATAAGTCTGCCTTCAAATCGAGGAAGAGCAATAACGGGCCAACAAGAAGAAGATTAATGAGTGGTGTTGGAACCAACAATTCTGGCGACTTCGATAACATCGACTTCAAGAAGAGTATTTTACATTTGTCGTGGCACCCTAGAGAAAACTCCGTTGCAATTGCTGCCACCAACAACTTATACATCTTCTCCACTTTATGAATGAACGAATTGAAATTATTATAACCTTTTTTATCATTTTCTTCGTGTATCCTTACGTTAATCTAAGAAGTCTAAGTATTAGTTCAGTTCAATTCAATATAACCTAGCGGTGATCTGGTTGGTGATCTAGGTATTAGGTGAGCCGGTCTAGTATAACCTGATTAGTATGTTCGAGTCTTTGAGTTTTGTCTTCATTTTATAACATGCATTATTTACAATACATATCGTCCGATATTCCAGAGATCGTAGTTAATATAGTCCTCTATCCTTGTTCTTCGCCTCAGTAACTTACACTTCGGCAGTGCAATGGGAGAGCTGTAGTAGCCAATGCAAGAAATTGAGTTAGCTGAAGCTATCTTGCACTACTCTGTGTGGTTCTGGATACCAACTGTTTCACAACTATCACCGCCCGTGCATGGACAACAGTTCCTACAAGAAGCATCTTGCGGTGATACGAGCAAATGTGGGCGTGGGCTCTCTACAGGTGTACACACCCCACATCTACTCTTTCTTTCTCTCTCTACAATACTTAATCCAACACGGATTGTCTACTCTTCTACTTCATATATTGAATATAATCTATTCTAATGCTCGATGTGTCTGTTACAGTCATTGTTCCAGAACAAGGTCTTGTCACCATCACCCCAGAAGAACTTCTTGTTTCTGATGTTTTGGTAATCGTATTGGGTTGGCCATTCTTCGTCGGACAAATGCTTTTGGTGCTCTCTGTGCTTGGCGTGGTGCAATTCAATGTTGATAATTGGGACAGCGGCCAAGAGAATGGCTGGAATGGCAACAAAGTAGGTAATCTTCTTCCATAAGTTGGTAACACCTTCGGAGTGGTGGACCTTTTCTTCGTATTTCTTGATGAATTCAGCACCCTTCTTTGCGTCAAGCTTGAAAGCTGGTTCGTTGATGAACTTGGAAACGTGTCCGTGGCCGTGGCCGTGGGAGTTAAAACGTGTAAATTGACGTTGAAGGGATCTCTTAAACATGTTTGGATTTATGTCTTTGGGAGTAAGGAAGAGAAGGGGAAAAGAGCTATTGAATTTTATGATACCACTTTTTTTTTATTATTTTTTTCCTCTCACAGTCTGTGCACTCTGTTAGTTGTACGATTTGGTGCGTTCTATTTGCTTACTATGGTGCTAGTAGGGAATTGACTTGTATGGGTCGATCACACAAATTTTCATTGGTTGATATTGGAGGAAGTGTGCAGGATTTGTCTGTATGCAGGTCACGGAGGTGCTCCACTTGAGGGCACCACGAAGGGCACACTTGGATGCTGTGGGGGTAAAGTGAGGGTTGCTTTGGGGTGTATAGGTTTTGGTTAGCTCTACTACTTGCAAAGTGGACTGTTATTGGGAGCATGGTGCTGTAGCAAGAGGTGATCAGTTAATATGACGATGGACAGTGTGCAGGAACACATACTTCTATGTGCAGGTTACGGAGGTGCTCCACTTGAGGGCACCACGAAGGGCACACTTGGATGTTGTGGGGTTAAGTGAGGGTTGTTTTGGGAATGTACTCTACAGTTCACGCCAATGGAGGTGGAGGTGGCTTGATATAGGACTCGCAGACTGATTTAGGTGTATTATATCACTAGACTTTGAACAGTCAATATTGCCTTGTGTGCAGGAAGGATCCATCGCTCATTTTGTATAAGGCTTGGCAGAATTGGTGGGATCCTGGCGTAGGGCCCTATACAGCTGCAATTTGGAGGAAGATATAGCTTTACGGGCTACCTTAATTTCTAATTAAGCTGTAGGGTCCAGTCGTGTATAAAATCTAAATTTCTCTATGATACTTCTGTGTCTGAGGAGCATTTAGTTGGTACAATATTGCCTGCATCGCTCTTCTTTGGTGAAGCATTTGGGTGCAAATTATTTAGTTACTTTGAGATTTCCATGCATGATTATAAATAAATTACCAAAGCCTTACAGGCAAACTTCTTGCCTACGAAGGCAAGCAATTTTGAAAGACAGTTTGTTGCATACACTACATGATAGCTAATTCTACTTTGGTGGATGTAAATTGGATGGTTTTGCTTCCAGGTCTTCTATAAAAGTATATGGAACGTGCGTAATTTAGTGCAAATTGAATAAAGTTTATTTTGGCACCACTGTTAGCAACTGCTATAACACCGTTTGCAACTCTATTTCAGTGATTCTTTTTATAATATTTTTTCTATCTGTTTTCTCTGTTCTTTTTCTTTTCGTTTCCCAATCATCTATAGAATCTTCTTCTCTTCTGCCATTTCCTTTGCCTTAGCCAAAATTTGGTCCAATGAACTCTTGGGGTGTTCTTCCTGCTGTGATTTCCACTCCTTATATTTGTTCAATGTAGAAGATACTCTTACATCGAATGTCAGATGCTCCTTGGCTTCCATGTAACTCCAGTAATCATGGCGAATCTCAGGATATTTGAATTTCAAGTTTCCTTCATTGTCTACAAGCATAGCCTCAGTCAGTTTGCCGCTTTCAAGCTGTTTCAATTCTTGTCTGTGGAATTCAGTTAACTCATGGGTCATAAGATATTCCATTAATAAATCAGTATCTGATTTCAAATACTCAACCCAGTGGTCGTCTGACCATTTGCGGAACGGATCGAAATTTCTTTCGCTTCTATAGTTTCGGAATCCAGCGTCTATAGATCCCTGTGGAATTGGAACATCAGGCTGGTGACTTTTGGTCCAGCTTTGAAGCTTCTTCAAATCCGCATAGAGACCGATCTTTTGAAGGAATACCTTTGTTTTAAATATCTTCTCCACAATTCCCTTCTTCCTATATTCAGCAATGAGGATGTTTTCGTAATTGTTTACAATATAAGCTGGTACACCATCATGAAGGGTCAATCTAAGTGGATTTAATTCACTCAATGATGAGAAATGGTTATTTCTACAATTGTACAATTGACCCTGTTTGTTTCTTTCGTATTCGGAAGGGAAACCGGACTCTGGTAAATCCTTTGTGACGTATCTTGAGGAAGCTTTTGTTTCTGACAATGCTAGTGCTGTGATATCAATGTATGCTCCAGTGTCAACGTCAATGAATCTAGCATCAATGTTGTTTTCGCCCTTTCCACGGTCTCTTCGACTTATAAATGTGCCGCAGTCCAAAAAGTATCTACCATACCTCACTCCAGTCCCTGAGTAGCTTTCACCTTCTTCACCAAGATCTACAATTAAACTTTGGTTAAACATTTGTGAAATTTTATGCAAATCTGCAATTGGCACTTGAACATCGATATCAAAATCCCAGGGAAATGATATACCATTCCAATACCAAGAGAGTAAGGATCCATGTGCAATCCACGTTTTGATTTCGTAGGTTTGAGTTAATTGCAACCAAGCCTTGATTAGTCCAAATAAGGAGGGCTTCATTGTTTCGCCGCCATTGCTTACCCCATTAAAGAATCTCCAATCATAGTGAGCACCGAATGCCCAATTCTTTTCCTTCCTTAATAACTTAGCTTCTGAGAAGTACTTAAAGGAGTCCGTATCCGGGTTTGAAGAAAATTCCAACGAAGCTCTATATAATTCGTCAGAGGCAGACAATGACCCTAATTCCTTCTTTTGTTTATTCAAACCGGCCAAAATATTCTTAGAGTCGTCTTCGAATAAATCACTGGTCAATTCGATGCTTGGGTTCACTGAGGTATCTTTAGAGTTGGATTTACCTAACTTGGTGTTGAACTTGTTAAACTGTTCCTTTGCATCTATAAATACATCCTTATCTGGGTCAATAGATCTTACTTCATTGATATAGTCTTCAATTATCGGTGTGTTGATTAACCTTTCACGATTTTTCAAATCTTGGTTTACATTTACAATAATACCTCTTGATTTGACTTGGTTATCATCGTCAGTATTTTGAATAAGGAACAAGATCTTTTGAGGTGGGTCCATAAAGTCATTCAAGTAAGAGTTCCCATGAACTAGCCTCCTGTCTTGGGTAGTTCTTCCAGAGTACTGGAAAATATGGAACTTCAGACTAGATTGTGGATTATCCGCAATCCTTTGTAATTTTGCCTTAAGCTTAGCATCAGTGTGTTTATCTTTGATCACATATTCTAAATCATCGTCATTTATACAGTAACTGACCGGATTGTACACTTCCTGCTCTTTCTTGGCAGGGAAGACTTTAAAGATGTCATCGCACCTGAATGGCTCATCACTGAAGATGTACTGATCTAGTCTGGAGAGGTCTCTCCAGTCTGCCCAATGGAAGTACTTTACGTTTAAGTCATACGAAGAAATGCCAGCTTCTTCTTTAGTCTCTGTATCGTCGTTGTTGTTTGTTGTTTCTTGCTCCTCTCTCAGCTCCCTCTTTGACGTCCCGATCTGTCTGCTTAGATCGTGGAATAGCAATCCAAGAGTAAACCTCGGGTCGAATGTCTGGATTCTGGGACTCTGGTCCTTCTCGTCTATAAGGTATTTGGGCAATTTGATCTTGGTATCAATTTGTGCCTTCACATCTAACATGTATTTCAAGAACGTATCCTTCTCCTTCAATGGCTCTACCACGGCGTTGAGCTTATCGATAAATGAACCGCCCAGGTGGGAGTCATAGTCTATCATGTCCGAAACTGAAGTCCCCACAACCTTGTCCACAAAGTCCTGCCCCGTCTCAGTGAAAAGCATCCCTATCGTACATAGCCCGAGCACTAGCAAGAGAACGGAGACTCTTCTGTGTCTTCTGGATACTATCATCTCAGTCTTATCTTATGTACAGCGTGAGACTCTCCGACAATGGAGCTGATGATATTCAATATTAATAGTAAAGGAGGGACACTCTGCACAGTTCAGAGGAAAGGAAAGAATACGAGAATCCACTGCTTGGAAGGTATAGCAAAGCAAAAAAGTGTAAATCAATCTAAATGGTCGCCTACTCCTACTTCGGGATTTGACTTTGGCGTGAGAAAAAAATTGTTCTCTCTGCGTAAGCTAAAAGTTGCTGTAGGAGGAGTTAAACTAGAATTGGAAACGAAAGAGGAATGATTACAGATGTGCAATTGAGCCTTGTTCGGTGAATAGAGAGCCTACGAATGCTGAGGAGCCTTTTCCTATTAAAGCCAGGGCTTAGCTGGAAGTATTACCAGGTAGTGGAGTATTCTCCTTGACCGGATTTGATCTGTTTTGCTTTTCTTTTTTTTTTTTTTTTTTTTTGGTCGTAGTTTTTTCCCTCATTGGCACGTCAAAAAAGTCAAACTGAAGTATTTTTTAGCCTATTTGATTGTTCTCACGTGCGAAGTTGCATTAAGGGGAATTCCATCACAAGAGAGTTGTGTGTTGATGGGGACGAGGAGCCCGGATAGGGCAGTGTAATTGGGTGTGTTTGTTAATGTATGGGAGGAATAGTGTGCTTTAGGCAATTTGTGAAATGAATCCTCAAGGAGTAGTTTCCGTAGCTACTACTAATTCGTGCGCCTAAGTGTAACCTTCGCACTTATAGATTACCCTATATGTAGAATGACCCCGCTACTCAATTAGTATGGTGGAAACAAAGTTTAGATATCGCTTTTTGAGTTTGAGATTGAGCTGCTTATTATATCCCCCTCTGTGAGCTTGCAACTGCTAAGTCTCTAGAGCTTTTTGACCGCTGGTGCTTCTCCCTCTATATTCTTGCTTTTTTTGTTTTTTGTATGCAACGATCGTGTCCTAGTTACCTGGTATCATTTGGTCTGCAGCTTGGATGTTGCATTGAGCGGACGGCCCCTCAGAAACAATTGTGCTCACTATTTTCATTGTTATAACGCTCATGCAGTTCTGTAGGGCTCTTGATGCAGGCGCGGTCAAGTACCCACACTACTTTATTTGACACACATAAAGAGAATTATTATATGCTTTTCAATAAGCCTTGCTTGATACTCAGAGTTCTTACTTGATCGTGTTTCACTTATAGGAATTTCCTGCAGTTGGTGCTAGTTTCTAGTGGCAGCTGAATACTCCTCTCTGAATTATTTTAGGGCGGGGTTTCAAGCCTTGGTCGTGAAAAATGAATGTTTCTCTCACCTACTTCCATATGCTAGTAAATAAAAACGTGCTGAGTTCATGTATGAGCCAAAGTTATTTTCTGCCCAATTAAACACGAAATGTATGCTACGTTAACGCATAAACCTCAAATGGAATAAACCTAAAAAAATATTTTAAGTGAAAAGCCGGAAATCTGAATCTGATGGAAGATGAAATTACCTGTTATAGCTGAAGCAAAAAATAATTATGTGTACTAAAGAGAGCCTTGTTGAAATGTGTTAGTCGGAACAGGTGCAGAGCTATACAGCATGCAATACACAAAGAGATCTACATTGACATCTTTTGGCCAATGTCTTCCTTGCTGAACGCTTTACCCTACATACTTGCCTCTTTCCCCTTACTTAAACGGGACTTCTAGTAATACAGAGGCTTTACTATTTCTTTCTCGTTTTGTGTAACCGTTTAAATCAATTTACGAGATGGCACTTTTTTTCTTTCTCTATGTCATGGTTCCTAAATTTCACTCTATGATGTCATAAACAAATCAGTTGTAGCTTCGTTCTTTTGCGCTTCTTATCGACCTGTAAATGAGGATTGCATGTCTCCAGTTAAACTCTATTATAGGGAAGTTACAGCAGAATATTAGCAATGCTAATCAGATAGTTGAGACATGTCTACTTAAATTGGATAAACCCTTCGACTTTTTGATATTGCCAGAATTAGCACTTACAGGATATAACTTCCCCAGTCGAGCTGCAATTGAGCCTTACTTGGAGGTGAAAGCAATAGGACCAACTTCCAAATGGGCAGTGGAGATGTCTCAGAAACATAAATGTTTCACCCTCGTTGGATATCCAGAGTGGGACGAAACATGTCAAAAGATTTTCAACTCTGCCATTTTAACTGGGCCTGATGGATCCATATTATATAACTATAGAAAAACATTCTTATATGAGAGTGATGAGAATTGGGGATGCTCAGAAAGTGAAAATCCAATCCAATTTGAACCTTTTGAATTAGTCTTGAATAAGGGGTTTTATTTGGACAATGAACCCAAGTTGAAACTGATTATTTGCAATATTGGGATTTGCATGGATCTAAACCCGTATAAGTTTGAAGCTCCATTTGGAAAGTTTGAGTTTCTGTTAAGTTGTTATCAAAACATGAGCAAGCTCATTCTATGCCCGATGGCGTGGTTATCCCCAAAATCACCTTCTATTCAAGAAGATAAGAGTATTGTACTTCCTGATCAAATTCAAGAAGTAGAGATAAAGTATGATACAGGTTTTAAACAAAAAGCTGAAGAAACGAAAGTGAACCAAGGTCTGTTGCCAGACATGTCTACCGTGAATTACTGGATTCTCAGATTTCTTCCCTTCTTGAACCACCCTGGAGTTGACTTACCTAGATATTACAGCAAGGTATCCTTGGTGTGTTGCAACCGGTCGGGTCAGGAAGGAGATGTTTTGTATGGGGGTTCAACACTGATTTACCAATTCAAAAATGTTAGCGATCCACCATCTTTGGAGACTGGCATAAAAAATAACAGTGTAGAATACTACGGGAGTTTAGGAACTGCGGAGCAGGGGATTATCGTGAGGGACTTGGACCTAGAGTGAGGTGAGAATAAATAAAAGGTATGGTACAAATTAGGTTAAAGTAATACTATGAAGTTACGAAACTCGCATATGCAATGTAGATTGAGGCATTCCAAAAAGAATCGCTGGATATTTTTTTAGGCATACCTAAACGGGTCGCCAAACGTTATTTTCTGTGTTGTAGAGATTATACACTCAGTTAAGTCCGATAATGGGCTAGCCGTCATTGGAGCCGTGTTAGTGAGTGTTAGTGATTGAGTGGGTGGGTGTGTGTGTATGGGTGTGAGAGTGTGAGAGTGTGGGTGTATGTGTGTTATGGATGGGTATGGTTCTTCGCTTCATTCACCGCGGACAAAAGATAAAGGGAACGAATTAAAGTATTTTCCATAAACAATACCCAGATCATTTTCACCCCCACTGGCGAATGAAGCATCATCGCGTAAGCGTGTAAGACACTGCATCACCTATTACGCTATGAAAAATGACACATCATAACCATTGTGTTTTCTTTTCTGACTGCCTTTAGTGCTCCTCTGCTCCTCTGGTGTGGGGGTCGTCCCTGCATCGTGCCGCAAGGTGCGCGTTTTTGCGCGTGACTCCGATTTGCCGAACTACGGTAACACCCACAGACTGCTCGCACTCACCGGCGTAGATAAGGTGATGCAAGGATATCGCTCCAGAAAGTGGGAGAGATCGAGTTCACCGATGAGCTTTGTGGAGCTGTGAAGTGTACCCCATTATTGCATATACTATACTCCTTTGAGGCTAAGCTATGTATTGGCTTTTTTTTCTATTCCGCCTGTTTCACCTTCCCTTCCTTCTAAACCTTAATTGTCACAAGAGCCTTTGCTGTATTTGATTCGCCTGGCTTTTGTTAAGATTTAAGCAATCGTTCGAAAACAGTAAAAATCAAAAAATAAATTGGAGCATGCATGAAAAAAAAAGAAAAAGAATGGAGAATTCATGCAAATCTATGGGCAAACTTACACTGTTAAGGTTTGATTACATTGAAAAGGCTTGGGTTGCATATTGTTGAAAGGGTTATGATTCCTTAAAGTTTTGTAAGGTGGTGATAGTTTTCATGAAGTTTACTTTTCAGTTTTCTCTGTTTCTTCGCTTCTTTCGGTTTTCTTTTATTGGCAAGTCTGTTGATTTCATTCATTCATTCTTTCATTCCTCCGTCGATACCCCGAACCTTGCGCGGGATGATAAAATTTTATAGAGCTGGGCGTAGATCAATATACTTGGGGCTCGTTGTAGTGCTAGTATTACTTTTCCCAGTATGGAGATCGGTGTATTTACAATCGGGCTATAACAAAGTCGTAGAAATTAAGTTGAATCAGTGGAGTAAGCAAACTCGGATAACAGTAGACTTCGAGGATAAGGATAGCGCAGCTGCTAAGGCCTTGAAGGAGCTTCGAGACAAGAAGTTGAAGAAGGACATGCAACGGAACCATGACCTCTGGGAAATTAACCCTGAGTTGGAAGGTAAGTTACCATTAGACGTTACCATTCCTGAATATTACACAGATAAGCTGATCACCACGCCGCCTGTGCAACCTTTCGATCCAAGGTTTAACATAGGAGTTTATTTGAATTACATCCTAATGAAAACCAAGAATAGCAAGGAAAATGAAAAACTCGCTATACCATTTAACTGGAAGGATTGGATAGATACCTCCATCTTGGACAAATACGCCTTATACCAAGACAAGCCAACCTGTAACCAAATATTCAGTTTGCCGAAGAAGCTTTCTGAGCTGGACAGAAGGTACATTAACCCAGACGACTACTGTAAGCAAGAATCACTGTCATCTCATGGCTTCAAAGTCATTAGGTCACCGGGACTCCAATTCATAAAAGGCAGTGTCATAGCTGGGAGGTCTTACTTAACTAATGAAATGTCTGCACCTCATAGGGTTGTGTTCTTGGGTAGTTCTGGAAGAGATCTGGTACAGTTCGGGTTTGAAAAGTCCGACAAGACTATCATAACTAATGGAGTAGTTCAGCAGTTGATCAAGAGCGGACAGGTCGAAGGAACCATAGATGTGGGAAAAGCTTTCAAGGAGATGGAATCCAAATTTATCACTCCTAACAAGAATGAACTTCCCTACAAGCGTGAATTGAAGAAGGACTCTTTCTTGGTATCTCCTACTACAATAATTTCACTGTGGGAGAGCAGTAAGCAACTGAAGAGAGATGAGCCAAAGGAGCAGAAAGCTGCATCTAAGGATGACTCAAAGAAGGAGGATTCCAAGGCTGGAAGTGAAGAACAGCCTAAAGCTGGTGATGCCAAAGCTGAGAAGCCTAAAGCTGGTGATGCCAAAGCTGAGAAGCCCAAAGCTGGTGATGCCAAAGCTGAGAAGCCCAAAGCTGAGGATACCAAAGCTAAATCACCTAACCCTGCTTCCATAAAGTTATCTGATCCAGCAACTTTGAGCCAATTCTTCGTAGACTCGCTCAAAGGTTCTATACATCACAAAGATGACCCCAAAAAGTACTTCACAGAGACACAACTCGTTGATTCAGAAAGAGAACGCAAGGAAGACTACCACTACGACTGGAGATTCTTCAATGGATTCAGCACTGCCACATCAGAATATGAACATGAAAACTTAATCATCCACCAGTTGACAAGAGTGTGGCTCAAATTCACTCAATCCAATGACATCAACACATGGTTAGCACATGGTTCCTTATTGTCGTGGTACTGGAATGGGATGGTATTCCCTTGGGATTCAGATATTGATTTCCAGATGTCCGTGGAAGACTTGTATAAACTTGCAGCTGGGTTCAATCAATCCATAATTGTAGAAAACATTTTCGACCAAAAAGGAGCTTTCCAAGGTTTAGGCCGTTATTTCTTAGATGTAGGGTCGTCCATAACAGTCAGAGAGAAGAAGAACGGTAATAACAATATTGATGCCAGACTTATCGACATTGATACAGGGTTCTTCTTAGACATTACGGGGCTCTCTATAAGTGACCTGAACACCCCAGACAGATACAAGAAATTGCAGGGTAAGAGTGATTTGCTGAAATTGCTGAATTTCGAAAGGAACAAGGCCTTGAACGTATACAATTGCAGAAATTTGCACTTTAGCTTATTCGACGAAATCAGTCCATTAATTTTGACCACTATTGACAACTTACCAGTGTATGTTCCATCGAAATATCAAGCAGCATTGGAGGTAGAGTACGAATCGTCGTCTTTAATTGAGGAAAATTTCTCTCACTATTTCTATATGAGCAACTTCAGAATGTGGGTCGAAACGCAGAAGGCGTTGGATTATATCGCTTCACCTAAGAAGTATATTAAACAGTTCCAAAAGCGTGTTGTGGGTGCTGTTGAAAAGTACAGAATAACTAGATTGGGTGCCAAGCAGCATATAGACATCTTACAACAAAACTCATTGTTGATTCAATATGAATTGGGTCATACAATTGCAAAGAATCATGAGCACGAAATAAAGCTTTTGAATGCAAAAGACTATGAAGCTAGCGAAAAATTCACCAGAAAGAACTGGAAGGATAACAATAAACCATTGAGGAAAGATTTGTTCCTGTACAAGTACTTCAAAGATAACTGGAGATGGGATAGAGCAGTTCTGGCTTTGTTGGAATTAGTGGTAGTTTACGAGGGTGGTGAAGGTAGGTCAGAAGCTTCCAAGCCACAGCAATTGAAGTATACAAAAGGTTTTGCCCCTACTTAGTAGGGCGCAGCGCTAGAGCCAGTGGCTATTGTAAGACAAGCATTAGAAAGGATAAGAAAGGTGATTATTTAAGCTTTAGGTAATGGCATACTATAGAAGAGAAAAATAAGAAAAGAAAAAAAACAACAAGTGGGCATCTAAAATGAACATACGAGGTTCATTAGCTCTAAAAGACACTGGCCTGTTCCTAGTACTGCGTGGACTGTTCACTATGAAAAAACTGTCCTAGCAAAGGCTAAGTACTATTGTAAGAAGCGATGGGTATGGGCGTGGGTGTTTGGGTGGATGGTGTGTTGTTGTATGCAGGCTCATTCTAAATATAGCTTTTCCTACGATCCATGTAGACCAACCCCTAATGGCATTACTGGAAGCTAAAGGTTAATAATTTCCCAAGAGGAGCGGACGGCAATCGAAAAAATTAAAGGGATAGAAATAAGGAATAGTTAAATTTCAGACAAGTATGTAAATAAGGTAGCATTATTAGGGTAATGACATCTGAAGGAGGGACCATCTCCCAAGTTTCATTTCCTTTACCATAGACATCGATTATAACAATAAACGAATATATTTGAACCCCGTAATGCAAAATTCCGAACAGGACGGACCAAAAATTCATGGAATGTTTATACCGAAGTCTCTAACTAGTTTCAAGTTTAAATGTGATTCAGGGGGAGATGAGGTTACTTCTAATCAGCAGATGCTTGTTCTCCGTTTGATATTAAATGAATGAGTGTAGGGAGGCTCAGGTGAAAAAGAAAGAAATTTGTCACTGCATAGAAACCCCCGAAATAGCAATGATAAAGCAATTATGACAGAGAAGAAACCAGTAATTCCATATAGAGTTAAATGTGACTAGCCCCCGAACTGAAACAACTGAATTCAAAGATAACAATAAATAACCTAAACTGGGCCATTTCACATCGTTCTGCTTTCCTCTGGCAAAACTTGTCAAACTCTGCCTAAATTCCTCGTCTATTAATCTTTTCTTATTTTGCTTTGACCCAAAAGGGTTTAAGTTTTTACTGGTTACGCGCCCTGCTTTCTAGCCATGAGCCCCGTGGTAATTATCCAACTCTGTATTGCACTTTAACTAATCGAGAAGTTTCACACTTCATCTTGAATGCAGAAAATAAAGCATAATAGGAAGAAAAAAAGGAACGGAAGTCCTTCACCATTGATTGCGAACTGTTCCATCCAGCTTATTATCGACATTACAACTGCAGCTGAGTAACAAGTGGGTAGAATTGTTATCTGTGGGTTATGTAGATTGCTGTTGTTGGTAAATTTGAGGAGTGGAGGAAATATAGGGTGTTTGACAGAAGCCAACTCTAAATAGCGCAAAAGCTAATCTTTGAAAGAAGATCTAGTTATCATAGCTCCAAGCAGATTAGGCTCATATTCACACAACAGACGAATAGACTTCCCTATTTGTTATTCTTCTGGTGAAATTCAGTTGAGTAATGGCGCATTCTTAATTCTTCTTCTTTGGTATCGCTTTTTCTTTTTCCTTCTTTTTTTTTTTTTTTTTTCTTTTTTTTTTTTTTTCCTTTTTCTTTAGTTCGCCTCACCTTATCATATCAAAATTTTTCCTAGTCATATAAAAGGGATAGACTTCCCATCCGTTTATTCTTTTATTTTAGTTTCCTTTCTTCTTTCGTTTAACTAATCAAAGTACTATAATCATAATGCAATTCTCAAAAGTTTTAGCTACCTTAGCCGCCGTCTCAGCTGTCTCAGCTGCTAACAACACCTCTAACAGCTCCAATGTTTCCACCGCTACTGGTGGTGCATCCTTCGCTGCTCAAGCCAACGTTGTTGGTATTGCTGCCGCTGCCGCTGCTGGTGTTGCTTTATTATTTTAAGTAAATACCTACAATTAATTGATTCAAAACTATACATATTAGTATATTTAATTTTATAAATTTTTGTTTTATTCATATTTGTTTCGGCATGTTTGCCGCCTAGTCTGCCCAGCAGACTACTATGTATTATTTAATTTAATATCTTATATTTTCTTCAGAAGAACACTGCCCTGTAGAGATTAAATTGTAGAATATCGTAGAATATAGTAGAGGAATCTGCTCTGTGGACCCATGCAACGGGTCATCTCCACCTCGTAGGGTCATGAGTTAGATGCTTCCAAGGTCCATTACATCAATCTTAATTGTGGCTCTGTGAGGACGGCAAGTCTGAAAAATAGAAAAAAAAAAAATTCCTTTTAGGAAAAAAAAAAGAAGAAGATAAGGCGGTTTGAGCATTTGCCAAAAAATAATCTCATCTAATCGTCAATTTTGAGATGAGAATGGCTCCAGTCTCAATGACAATGTACCATGGGTATGGCGAATCGTTGACGATAGACGACTTTAAGGATTGGAACTGAGAAGATGGCGATCTCTAGAGCATTCAGTAAAAAAAAATAGAAAATCGGCCCAACACTTTTCAATTTTCGTCATCTGCTTCGGGATCTATGGAATACTGGGAATGCAAGAAAAGCGTGTAAGTTTTTCCAAGCTTACCCACTAAGCACAATTAATGTAATTGTGAATCGACCCACTCACAGTATCTCGATGTAAGAGAATTACGCTTTCTATTTTTACACGTTTCATTCTACTTTCGGTAAGATAGTCCATTTTAGCTAATCAGGAATTCATTCCATCTCTCGAGTCTCTGATAACTGCATTTGTTCTCGTTGCTAGGGACTCTCAGGGATAAATTAAGGTAGATAAGAATATTATCCAGAATTGAAGCCATCGCTGTGGCGAGGGTGAGTGAGGTAAGCACGTTTCGGGTGAGGGACTGCAGATAAATACCTTTCATGTATGACTGCACATAATCTCTTTTTTAGCTTTTACATGAGTTTTGGTGTTAGTACTATGGCGCTAGCAGTAGTGGTGCAACAAGGCTCGGTGAATCGCAACATGTCTTTGCTAAATACTGCGTGCTTATTACGAAAGATGCTATCTGCTGATATGCTAGCTTGGCGAAACTTCTCTAATTTCGGCCGCTAATACTGCCCAATGCAGAGCCATTACTACTCTGTGAATGAGCTATCCTGGCTCATACAGGACGACTCTGAGGACTTACTTGGCGGAAGCATCAGAGCTCCATCTACAAAAAAAGAAAGGGTACTTTTTCACTTATCAGATTAACTTATTCCTTTTTAGGTTTTCTTGGGTTATTTTCCTCATATATGTCTACATATATCCTATTTTCTCTACAAACTTTTTCTTGCTAACTCGATAACTGCTTCCTTGGTTTCAGCACCCCCGATAAATCCAGCAGCATGCACAAAAATACACCCAGGAACACCAGTCAAGTCGCTTAACGCTTGGTCTCTAACACCTCTCCATGGTTCTAATAAACCCTTTCTGAAGTCAAATGAGGTAGAAGTTACAGGAACAGTAGAGATTCTCCATTTGGAGGAAGAATCTTGGAATAAGACAAACTCGATTTCACCTTCCTTGCCATTTTCCTTTTCAATGCTGTACAAATGTTCTTTCCATGGGCAGAATTTTTCTAATACTAAAATCTTACCTGACTTGTCAACGTCAAATCTAGATTCGAAACCTTGGGAAACGAAATTTTTAGCTGGGAGCCATGATTTACCATATCCATCGAGTAAGTTAACAAAAACAGTTCCCATTAATTGAGAACTAGTGGTAAATGCAGCGTCATAGTCAGCATCAGTAGGGTCTACGAGCCATGATGGATTCAATTTAGACACAATAGATGGCAAGGTAATATTTTTGTCATTGAATTTCTTAGAGGCCTCAGCTTCCTTGCTATAGTTATCAATCCCATTATCATTGGCATCCAAGGCTTCAATAAACTCTTTGTAAATCTTCAAGTAAAGCAATTCAACGTTAGCATCCTGGATAGATAAGTCTAAGTGATGAGAAATAATCTCCTTACCGAAATGCTTATAGATAAGACCTGCAGATGATAACTTGGTCTTAAATTTTTCTGAGAAGGTTTCGCTAAATTCACGTTGGTGATGGTCAAAAAACTTAACACCGTCATATTTTCCACCAACATCAATAACAATATCTGATGCTTCCCAATCTTCTGGCTTTCTTGATCTGATTAATTCACTGTCAGCATATTTAGGCAAGAGCCTTAACATATAAACTGCGAGAGATTCATCCGCATGGAATGATCCTGAGTGAGTACAAACTTTCAACACCATTTTAGCCTTTTTAGCTATAGACATAATATTCACTACAAAGGTGTTTTTAGTAATAACCAAATTTCTATTGGAAAAAAGTGTTGATGGAAAAAAATATTATGCATGAAAAATGATATAGAACACCAGTGTGCATATTATACTGTTTTGCGATGGGCCGTTGTTATATGTAGGAAATGGACACACCATGTTTGAAGCGCCTCATACCAGAAGTGTTAGATACCAATACATTAGAGGAGAGATGAATATTGTATATTTGAGGTAATTGGATCATTTCATAAAATTCTGGAGGACTCCTCGTTGTTTACGTTTTCTTTTCAGCCTTTTTCCTGAACAGTTTTAAGTGCGTGACTACCTCATTGGGTAACCCTCTCGAGTAAGCTGGCCATGGCAAATGGCTGCAATTAGCTACATAATGTCTTCTAATCAACTTCCTCGGTCAATAAATCGAACAATGCTCCCAACACTCTTTTAGGGTCAGCTCTAAGTCCATTATGGAAGAAATCACTGGTGATATACTGTCTCAAGTTTCCATTGTCCTTGAACACTTCCTTCTTAACTCTCCTGGTTATGTCAAAATCAACGTATTGATCGTATACATAAGTGGATGCAACAATTGGCACTTTTTCCCAGGTGATGTTTTCCAACACTTCAACGTCATACAATTTATTCCATTCCTTATAGTTATGGAGAGCATACGCTAATTTCTTCAACTTTCTTAACTCTGAATAGTCTTCATACATAGATTTGTAAACCATTTCGCCTGTAAAGTACAACGGATAATCACTGCCCAACTTATGAGTGTTCTTGGAATACACATAGTTGCCATTCTTGGTCATGTATCTCAATCTATCAGCGCTCCAATTGGAGCTTTCGAATGAAGGGTTGTTTCCATCGCAGTATATAGCTTCTTGGAAAAGTGCGTAGATGATGTTGGTATCAAACGAATATTGCAGTTGAATTTGATTTAATGTCTGGTAAGTTGGTTTTCCAAAATATTCCAATTCATAGTCAAATTTCAATACAATCTGATGGATACCATCAGTTCCACCAGTTGCACCGAAGTTCAAACCTAACGTTTGGAATCTTTCTACTGAAAGGTTTCCTCCGTTCGGTAAAGTTACCTGATTCTCATCCAAATATCTAGCTATTTTCAACACTTTATTAGCATCATGGGGATATTTCTTATAATAGTGGACGTTTCTTTCTCTAGTTCTTTCATAGGTAGCAGTATAAACATCGTCAACTGTAAAATTAACTGGGGGTACACCACCAGTGATAATTGCTTCCTTTACCGAATCTGGATATTTGGATAAGTACGTGAAGATACAAAACCCTCCATAGGATTGGCCAATTAAAGACCATTTTCCATTACCAAGCAAATCCTTTCTAATCAATTCCGCATCTGCCACAATTGAGTCAGCCCTAAAGTTTACAATATAATTTAATTGCGCTTCTACATCATTAGATGAGAGAATAGTCTCGGGTTCAATAGGTGTACTGTATCCGGTACCTCTTTGATCTAAGTAAAAGATTTGATAGCCTTTGCCTAGTAATTCTGTGTTAATCGCATCTTTATCGGTCGGGGAATTACATGGAAACCCAGGACCTCCTTGCAAGTACACTATAATTTTTTGGTCTGAATACTTCGGTAAAAAGCCTTTCAATTCTTTACCTATCGCACTCTTATAGCTGCTGTGAATTTCTTCGTCATACTTGAGTGTCAAAGTTCCACAGACATTAATTGTTGCACCAGGTGAATTGTACGAGAGGGGAGCTTTGTACAAGACCCTAAAGTTAATGATATCTCTCAATCTGAAGCTGTCTATGATCTTGCTCATCTTGTCTTTGCTTTAAAAAAGAATAATGTTTTCTGGGGTTGCACATTTCTAAAGTTTTTGAAATTTCGACATGACTGAAGACAAACGGCACCATGCGGCTTCAAATTGACCATGTTCTTATTCTCAATGTTCTACCCAAGTAAGACGTTGTGCGCTCTTGGCGTGATATAGAGGATTTAGTCGTACAAAGAGTTTGTTAAAATATCACAAATTATTTTTATTGAATCCGTTTTTATTATCCTAAATAATACTCAAAAGTAAATCTTACTTGTTAAAATTCTCTAATCTACTCATACAAAGATACGAAAACCCCGTCATAGTGGCACATAGTTAATTGCTCGTTCTTTGCACATGGGTAAGGTCTATCATCTCTTGATTCCAAATTGGGGAACAATTGAACTAACCTTGTGATAATATAGGCAGCTTCCGTCAAAGCAAATTGTTGACCCAAGCAAATTCTTGGCCCACCATTGAATGGTAAATAAGCCCAACCATATCTACCACCTTCGGCCCATCTCTCAGGTTTGAATTCTAAGGAATCCTTACCATAGAATTTTTTCATTCTGTGAGTAGAGAAAATATCATAAGCAACTGTAGTACCCTTTGGCACGAAAAGTTTTTCGGATCCGTCACCACCACCATATGGTAAAGTAGTATCTTTTGTAGTGGTCCTATAATTCAAAGGAACTGATGGATAGAGTCTCAAAGCCTCATTAATGATGAATTTCAAGTATTCACATTTCTTTAATGATTCGAACGAGATGTCATCCACATTTTCTCTACCAAAATGAGAGTAAACTTCCTCCTTCAACTTAGCCCAAATCTCTGGGTTTCTAGCTAATTCAAAAAATGTAAATGACAATAAACCTGCAGTGGTATCTCTACCTGCAATCAAGATATTTAACAATTGATCTTGTAAAACCTTTGGATTTCTTGTTTCCTTGACTAATTCGTATAAGAAGACATATCCTTGAGGGTTAGTCTTATCCAAATCTTCTGGATTAATTTCCAAAGCCTTGTTAACATAATACTTTGCAAACTTGTGAACATTGGCACATGCAACTCTAAATTCCTTAGGGTTGATTAATGGATAGAAAAATTGACTCCAAGATCTGGTAGCAAGGTAACTTTGAGCCAAGTTGAAACTTTCTGCAAAGTTCTCTCTGCCATCAAAAGCATTGGTTTGGGAAATTCCAATAGATTCATCTTGCAAAGTGGCAACAGATTCTCCGAATAAAAATTCAGAAGCAGTGTCAAGGGTTAACTTGAAAAATAAATCCTGTAAATTAATGGTACTACCCTTGGCATTTCTAACATGACTAGCGAAATATTGCAAATGAGGTTCTAAAGCTTGGACATGAGCAATTTGTTCTCTTGAAAACTGTGGTCTCAACATTGCTCTAGAATGTTTCCAACCTTCGCCATCCAAAGTGAAAATCCCGTCTCCTAATAATGGTAAGAAATGTTCATGTCTGGTACCAAGAGCAAAATCATTGAATTGCGTGGCCAAGATTGCCTTTATGTTTTCTGGATCTCTAGTAAAATAGATCCTAACACCAGCTAACTTTACTAAAAACGTATCACTCAACTCTTCAAACTGTTCATGGGTCCAATCAACGATTTCTCCCTTTCTCTTCTTGGTTAGTACAGTGCGGAGTAAGGGAATCGAGAAAAACTGAGTGTCAAGTGAAATACCATCTTTGGACTTAGTGTTTCTCTTGAAAATTGCAATCTGAACCCTACGGTAAACGTAAAGGGAAAGAAGCACTGTAAAAATCAATCCCGGAATACTGAAAAGAGACGATTTAACAGCATCAAGCTCAATAGTCTTAAACTTCATGTTGCAAAAAATTAAAAATGAAAGGTCCTAGTTTGATTTTCGGACTTGTGAAATTACGCAGGTGCTGAACTCCGTCGGACTTGTTTTTATGGCACTCTGAAAAATCTCAAGGTGATATAAATAAATACTGTTAACAATGCAATGAAAACTGAATAAACTTGGAATGAAAACCAGGAAAAATTATTTTGCTATTTTGCCTTATAGTTGTATTAATCCAAGAATGAAAGTGAATTAGTAAATTTCTTTAAAAGTCAATGTGATTTTGCTTCTATGTATTTTTATTTATATAATTTATTCAAGAGGGGAGTACTCCTACATATTCCAACAAATTGCCGTCGCACCTCTATTGAAACGCCTATTACCATTTAAACAATTAAGATTGGGGAACATACATCAAGCTAAAACTAAGTTCAGATGCAGTCCCTTCTCCACCTCTCTTGTACCAAACCCTGACTATTATTTTACTCCAGTTGCTTCTCCCCAAGCATCAAATTTCCATTTTGAGTAGCATGTGAATTTTTTTTCCCCACATGATTCTGAAGATCGCACCCAGGCACCCAGCTATACAGAGTGATTAAAATAGTAAACAGCCTAGTTTCACAGCTCCCCACTTACTAACAAAGCAACAAGAATTTCTGGCCGAGCACTTCCTAAATGTAATGGTGCATATTCGAAATAGGAACTTTAAGGTTGCAAAATCGACATTGTTATGTACCAACAACCCAGTAGATCTGAGATGCTGTGTTATTATCAATTGGGAACGGATCAATTTTTCAGCATGTGAAAACAAGTAGTAGTAAAGGTGTTCAACTGCGTAGTTTCTATTCTTTTCATATGACTTATTGCTAAGGGAAGAAGGCAATGAGTCTTGCTTTATTAGAGAAGGGAAGTTGAGTTAGTCAACCTAATTTTTAGATCTTAAACTTTCCTGTGATAATCGATGTGCCTTTATTTCTCATTTACTATAGTTCCTTTACCATTTGCCATCGTTGTGTATTTCGTTCTATCTGCGTCATTGGTAAACTCGATTTCGATATCTGAATTTGAATCTGCATCTGAATTTATCATATCTGGCTTTTGTATGGTCCTTTCGCTAGTAATGAATGGTGATGATTCTAGCCGTGAATTCAAATTATTAGAATAATTTTGATACTCACTGATGTTCTTATCCCACTTCTGCTTCTTGTCCATTTTATCCCTCAAGGAAGCGGTAAGCTTCTTACTCAGATTACTCCGACTGCTCAATTCGAATAGTTCCTGTATATTCTCTGAAAGGAGTTTCCGTCGTTTAGTTGGGCTCTTGTAAATTTCTTCTTCATGTGCAATGGTTGAAGTTGCTGCAGGATTGAAACCTATCTTGCTGACAATGTTAGGGTTGAATGCAATTTTCTCATTTCTTTTGGAACTTGAGGTTATTATAGAGTCTGAAGTTTTGGAACTTGGCTTGGAAAGGCCAAGTGACCTGAGAGATGCTGCTGATTTGATGTTATTAAGATTTTTTATAAGTTCATCGTCCTCTCTGGCATCTTTAAGCTTCCTCCTTTTCTCTGCTAGGTTTTCAAGCATCTTAGGATTTGTGTATTCGTCCTTGAAAAAGGCTTTACCGGAGTAATATAAATTAGGATCTGGTTGACTTTTATATTGAGAATAATCAGTAACAATCCCTCCACTGAAAGGAGTACTCTTTTTATTATTTTGTTGCTTGCTTCCCACATACACAGCCTGCCTGGTACCGTCGCTCTTCGAAGGAGACTTCATTGTAATGCTCCCATTAAGTTCCATTCTTTTACTTCCTGTCTTTCTGATCGCCAATTCTTGATGAAAGTTACAATATTCTGTCTTCTTGGTGTCTACTGGTGTCAGACATCTGTGTCCGTCTTTCTTTATAGATTTGCAAAACCCAAAATACCTAGCACTACCAATTTCAATGATACAATCACAAGAGTCATCAAGTACGAGATTGAATCCTCTTGGGGATTTCTCTTGGTTTGTGTTTGTGTTTCCAGCACTGCCATTTAGGGACATTCTGAATGGCTTGATAGTTGGGTTCAATATACCTATAACATCACCAACTCTCAATTTCCAGTACTTTTCGTATGCCTCCTTGAATAGCAAAATATCTACCGATATGTTGTTAAAGTTCCCTATGGACAACTTCATATATTTGGACTTTTTGCTATCATTGGTGAATTTGGTTTCTCCTTTCAGTAGCAACGTACCAACTAGGACCCAATTTGGGTACTGTGGTTCTGTAAATAGAGGAGGATACACCTTAGCAAAGAACTTCTCTATAGTTAAGATCTTTTTGTCAGAGAACAATTTGTCAACTTCGCCAGGTGTGTAGTATCTTTTACGTAAAGTCACCAGTGAATGTAGATCTCGAGACTCTCTGGAATCTTCCTCTACTGGTATATTTCTCTGCTCAGGTATGTCGTTGAACGAGAACTCTCTGTCTATGGGGTCTACAGATTTAACTGCCTTGGAAGTAGACTGGAATGAAGACGCAAAAGACGAGCTTTTGCTTCCGCTGCTACTCGTGCTACGGAGTCCGTTGCCAAAATTGGCTCCAGAACCGCTACTACCACTCCTAGTGCCATTGGTGATACCGCTACGGGTTTCCACCGCACCCTCTTTGGTTGCAATGTTCGGGTTCACTTTGTCCACAGTGAAAGTTTCTTCGTTTTTCTTCCATATTCCCAATCTTGAAGTATTTCTGCTTCCTGGTGTAGGAGATGGAGACCTACTTCTCGATATTTCGACCGTCCCATCGCCCAGATCATTCTGTCTATTTCTCTTCCTCTCCTTCTCTAGCTTCTTTTTCTCCTTTAATCTCTGCAACTTAGCCTCATATTCCTTCTGTAGATCGATCAACTCGTCGTCTGATGACTCTGTGAGAATTGTCTCTTCTTTGACATCTCTTGGGTCATCATATGCCATGTCAGGGGTATGGTAAACGAAGAAGTCCTGATCTAATGTTTGACCCTACAAGTTAGATAGCCCACCCATATAACGCGTGTGTGTCCTGCATGTAAATTTTTCATCTGTTAACGCTTTTCCACAAAATGGAGAACAGCAGATCTTTATCGAAGTAGTCCTAATCACACTCCCAACTCTACTAGTCCTAGGATTCCAGAAAGTTGCCTATAATGACCCGAGGCAGAAGCAAGTCCATAGTGCAAAAAATTGCTCTGGACGTAGCTACCCATGACGATAAGTTAGACGAATTAACCAAGGACAATCTCGAACAGAAGCAGAAGGCTGCGAACACGACGTATAGAGCGAGCAGTACAGACAGTCACACTAGAATAAGGTCTAAAACGACGTCGCAAGTCCATAATAGCGAAAGCCATATTGCATTCAGTACACAGTCATATTCGTCTACGTCGTCTTCTCCCTCGCCGTCGCCTTGTTCATCCATCTTCGATGCCTACCCACTCACTCAAAAGGAGTATACAGCCCTTTCGTCATCGTATATAAATTCGAACAACCGAGAGATTATTATTCCCAACGAATCCATACAGACTATACAGTCGCTTTCCAATGATTCAGTGTTATCGTTCCAATCGATATGCAAGTCAAACCTTTCGGCAGTGTCTTCGTTAATATCCCAGACCAATGATATCATTACCCACTTGAATGACTTGACATTTAAATACGACTATGTTACGAGAGAAACGTCGGACTTTGCTCTGAAATCTCAAGCCTTGATAGACAAAAAGTCAACATTGGAAGAAATCTCGTCAGAGTTGCAGAATAACTTAGAAATCTTCGAGTCTTTCGATTCAATAACGAAGGTGTTAACCAACACTCCGGGTATCAACGTAGTAAAGAAGCAGTCCTTCCATCAAACCTTGTTCAAGTTGGATAATTGCCTCTATTTCATTTCCCAGCACGAGAATTACAAGGAGGCCACAACTTATAAAGTGAGGTTTAGACAATGTATGACCAGAGCATTGACATTGATTAGGAACTATCTCATAGAAGATTTGAAGTTATTACAGAAGGATATTTCGTCAAGACTCGTCAAGTCATTGAGTGAGAAGGACCAAATAGCCACATTTTCATTTGACTTGTTCTTGTACACTTCTTTCAACAATCACATTGAAAATGGAGAGACCAGTAACAGTAACCAATTCCAAGACTACTACAATTTCCCCAACTTGGGGTTTGAAATATACAAGAGGATTAATGATCACCCTGAGTATTTGGGATTATACAACGACTGCCTAAACCAATATTTCAAGGTCAGATCGGGACTTCTAAATGACTATATTTGGAATCAAATTGATACGTCCTTGGAAGAGAAGGAGAAAAACGAACACCAAAATTTGGTTCAATTCACTCAAAACAACTTGTCGTTTTTCAAAAAGATTTTATACAAGGAACTTGACTTGTTTCAAAAGTATTTTGTTCAGGATGCTCTCAACGGTAACAGGAATACTGTCGTTGGTGGATCTGTCTATATGGAACTCATTGAATGGTTCAAATCGTTGTTAGAACCACTTTATGATACTTTAAGGAATAAGATCATCCGTGAGATCAACATAGGTGTGTTATGTGAAATCACCACATTATTACAGAAGTACTATGAGTTCGAGGACGACAATCAAAACAGTTGGAGCGGTGGAGTGATTAATTTTGGAGAATTATTCGAGCCTATATTGCAGGATGTGCAGGCAAGATTAATCTTCAGAATTCAGCTCTACATAGACGAGAAGTTATTAAAGTATAAGGCTAAACCAGAAGATTTAAACGTAGGTAACAGAAGAAGAGGGGCCCTGCTCACGGAAAGTAGTCTGGTTCTGCCATCCAAGTCTGCCGTGGATACTTCATCGTTGAACTATGAGTTTCAAGAGAATCACTTCCCTGCTTGGTTCTTACCAGTTGGGAAAGCACTCACAATCTTATCTTCGATATACCAACTCATTAACTCCATTGTTTTTGACGACTTGGCGCACTATATCGTACACAGTTGCATTTTCATTTTGAAGGGCAGTGCTTATAAGCTCGCTATTTTACATTTAGGGGAGCTAGATGCTAAATTATATTTATTGAAGAACTTGATTCTACTTCAGCAGCAGCTAAACACATTTGATATACAGTATGTAAGAACAGAGACTAGTTTGGATTTTACTCTGGGAATTCTTAACATCATCAATAACAGTAAAGCCAGAGGTGGAGGGGTGATTGAAATGATCAAGACGAGTGTTCCGAAAGTCATAAACAACATGATAGACGCTAAATTTGAAATTGAAACTGAATTGACTAATACATTCACCGAATTCATTAAAGACTGCGTGGAGAAGGTGAGCGAACCTTTAACGCTGGAAGGAAACGCTCTACAAGCATCGTTGGCATTCAGAGACAAGATAAGCTTAGAATTTCCCAAATTGCATCATGAAATGAGAGTTTACTTGGGAGACGACAATACTAACATGGCTAACGACATCATCATAAGCCAATTGATGGATGCAATCGTCAGTCAATTGATTACCAAGTATGAGACATGGTATAATGGCATCGATACCACTGGCGACAACAAGAGTGAGATATCGGAAATCATGGAGGTTGACACATTGTATGGATTTTTGAGTGAAATCGTGAATGAGCTTGGAGAAACCGATGATAAATTAATTGGCCCGGTTGCAGTTAGCGAAGATGACTGATGAGCTTTAGTAAGCCAGTGTCGACGATACAGTTAGCTTCTTACCAGCTGGAACCCTATTTTTTATGTACAATAACTATTGCTCGTCGAATGGGTCATATATATTCTTAGACAATAAACGATTTAATTCATTTTTAACTGCTTGTACTTTATTGTGGTCAATGACCAAATGAGTTTCATCTAACTCCTCGATGACTATGTCATGGTGGGATGAATCTATTTTTAGTATAAGCGCTTTAATGGATGGATCACACCTTACTAGCACACCTCTGATAGCTCTGGGCATTGTTCAATAGGGGCTGGGCTGTATCTAATGGAAGGAACAAGGAGAAGAAGAAAGGTAGATCTGAAGCAGTGGACAGGAAGGAGCCTGAAAAATCCTCAAGATACTTTTGGCACTGTGTTATGTGCAGGATCGAAATGCAATGACTAGCACAGATAAAAAAGTATGGCAGGTCAGCAAACACAAGTGGATGGTAAAGGTACCCGTAGCAACTCTGTATATATAAAAATGGATAAAGGTGATGATGCTGATGGTACTTCGGTAGAGCACGGAGACGGCCCTAATGGAATTGAGAGCAATGTTATCGAGAAGGGACTTACAGCTAGCGCTATAGATAAGGAAGATGAAGTTGAAGCGAACGAAGAGAATGTGGAGGAGGGAAAGGAAGAGGGAACAGATGGGGAAGAAGCTGCCGATGCAGGTGTTCATGACGAATCTGATTCAGATGATGGTTCTTCTGACTCGGACTCCGAGGACGAGCCTCCTAAATTCAAGTATTCTCGTCTAACCAACCTTCCATCTACCTTCTTCACCAAGGACCCGATCTCGACTTGTACATTCCATGAATCGGTTTTTATATTTGCCACACACTCGGGGCTTTTGCACATTGTCCATTCGGATATGCTGGTTATTAGAACCTTTAAGGCACACCGAGCTTCTATATTGTCGGTCTACACAGATGGTTTGTACTTCGGCAGTGCCTCCATGGATGGAACTGTAGTCATTGGGTCCATTGTAGACGAAAAGGATATCATTGCCTACGATTTTAAAAGGCCAATTCATGCGGTAATTTTGGATAAAAATTACAAACATAGCAGAAGCTTCATAACTGGAGGTATGAGTGGGAAGATAATACGATCTTCTAAGAATTGGTTGGGCCAAAGAGTGGATACCGTTCTTGACGAGGGCCTGGAAAGTGGAGCTGCAATTGTGGGGATATTTCAATTGCAAGATATTATTTTATGGATGAACGATGATGGAATATCTGTGTATCACACCACATCGAAGCTAAAAATCCTGACTATAGAGAGGCCGCCCAACTCACCTCGAGGTGACATGTATTGGCCTCGTGTGCATTTCCCAGAGGTCGACAGAATCGTCATTGCCTGGGCAGACCACATATGGCTACTAAGAGTCGTACAAACCGGTCCTTCTGCAGCTGAAAGTTCTGCAACAGGCTCTGTGAAAGGAGGGGGCAGTATAATAGGAGGAAACGGAGGTAGTGGCGGTCTGAACTCTAGTAAGATCTTCATCCCCTCCTCAGCTACAATTTCCTTTAGATCTGGCTATCTGAAGGCAATCGAAATAGAGCATGTATTGAAAGTAAATGACTGCTTGATTGCTGGAATCTCCACCTTCAAGGACGATCTTTGCATTCTATTGACTTACCAACCGCCAGTAAGACACGAAAAATCCATTGAATTCCATAACCCAGAATTAAAATTAATCAACACGACAAGTGGTGAAATTGTGTTCGAAGAGGAGATAGGCCTCAAAGATATATCCAATTTGGGGCTAAATGATTACATGCTCGGTACCCATATTGGAGAAAAGTCACTGCCTCGGTATTTCATCGTCAGCGCCAAGGACGCAGTAGTCGTCCAAGAAGTATCCTTGCAGGATCAATTGCAATGGTATATTGATAATGAAAAGTTCTTCGAAGCTTGGAAGATTAGTGAGCATTTAGTGGAACCAATAAAGAGGTTAAATTTGGGAGTTTCCCATGCGGATTCCTTAATTAAGGAAAACCAATGGAATGAAACAGCGCAATTTCTTAAACAATTGTTGTACTTGGATGAGATGATGCTACCAGAGGGGGAAGATTCCAAGAGTACAATAGGGCTGAAGCAACAAAAGAAAGGAGATCAAAAAAGTGATGAATATATTAAGGAGATTATTCAACAGTGGGAAAACTGGTCAAACATATTCATTGATACTGGTCACATCGAAGAACTCACCACAATTATCCCGACAGCAAGTAAATTGTCTATAAATACCAATGTCTATACATCAATATTAGAGTATTGGGGTTCCACAAAAACTGACCTTGGCGTTTTTTATTCTCTCTTAGATTCATGGGACCCAGAATTATATTCATTAAAGTCAATTGAAGATATGATCGAAGAGAAATTGGAAACTGAATACTCAAACGAAAGATTGAGACGATATCTAACCCAGTTGTATGTTAAATCCCACGAACCAATAAAATCTGTTCCTCATCTTAGAATACTTAAAGATAACCAAATCATGGATTTTCTTTCGCAACATCACATTTTGGCCAACTTTGTGAATTCTTTCCCAGATTTCATAAAATTAAGGTTCAGTGATGAAGAGAATGAAGAAGGCGATAACATTCATAAAATTCCTATTCATATATTGAAGGTTAAATTGGAAGATATTGTTGATTTATTAGTTGAAAACAGACATGAGCTACCACCAAAACAGATTATTGACCTAATGTTCAAGTATAATTTAGATTTTATGAACTATTTTTACTTGGAAAAGTTAAATGAAATCGATGAATATTTGATTAGATCTTTCAGCAATGAAAGAATATTGTTGTATAGCCAGTATGATCGTGGGAAATTGCTAGAATTCTTAACGAAGAGTAGTAGCAGTAACGCTAATGGCTCGTCAGGTGGGTATGATATAAACAAGGCAATAGAGCTCTGTGAGAGGAATGAATATATAGAGGAATTGGTATATTTGTTGGGAAATATTGGAGAAAACAGGAAGGCCCTTATGCTTATAATAAACAAGTTGGATGACCCAGAGAAGGCAATCAAATTTGCCAAACATCAAAATGATGAAGAGGCGTGGACGATACTCCTAGATTATTCTATGAGTAAACCTGCCTTCATAAAGGCCCTTATAGAGCTTGCAGATGATCAGTCAAGCTCATTTTACGATCCCATTTCAATTATAAGAAGAATTCCTGAGAATGTGAAAGTGGAAGGGTTGAAAGCTTCAGTGACGAAGATATCTTACAACAATGATTTGAACTTGGTTTTGAATCAACTAATCTTGAAGATTATTTACAAAGAATCGGAGGATATATCTAGACATTTCCGTAGTGAAAAATTATTGGGAATTGAGGTCGACCTTGATAATGATAGTCACGACCAAGTTGAAAAGGTGCTACAAGAATTTGAGACCTTAGTTCTATTTGAGAAGGAAAGCAATGGCAAAGTCCAATTGGCTACATTAAAAGACTTTTTCAAAGATAAACCAGATGTCAAAGTGCCAATTATTGTTCGATACAGTAACTTGGCAGATAAAATTGAGCATCTAGAGCAAATATTAATCGACGGATGAGTTGAAAAGCTTGGTTTGTGGTAGATGACTGCGTATTGGAAAAGTCAGGATCTCTTTCTGTATTTTCAAGAACTCACAGAAACATCACCAAGTGTAATATTAATAGCATTTTAATTTAATAAATAACATACTAATTGGAACATCTTCACTGGTATTTTCGATACTAAATTGTCATGTTAAGACTTAACCACAGCCTCCGTGGTGAAATAGAGTTGATACTTCTACTTCAAGAGATAAATGAAGATACTTCGTCTAATTGGCTCTGGGGTAGGTTATTCCGCTCTTCACAGCTGAATATCACACTGAATTATCGACAAAGACTACAGGAAAGCGAAATTAAATTCAGGAAGTCATATATACGAATCAATAATGAATAAATATACTAATTTCAAGCAAATGGATTCAACCTGGAGAAGGCGCTGCTCGTTGCTCTAGAAAACAAATCTGTAGCGATACCATTGGCCTTTCCGAATTTGTCACACTTTGTGAATGCCATTGCATTAGTGACCGACAACGAAGTTGCAATCACAATTAATAGTAAGTACAAAAATTGGAATTTCAATACGGCGAATATACCCAACACACACCAGCTCACTGGTTGCACGTATAACAATAACCAAAAGACTTTGGAGTCGATCGGATTTATGTAGCGATCTGGGTTGGAAGTCTCAAACACCCATACATTCTCTACTTCGCCAGAGGTGGAACCTTCTACCAAGTTTGTCTCATTCCACCATCTTAACCCCACCAAAAGTCTACCAGCTATGTTTTTGAGATTCCAGAAATCTGCTGAGACAAGTAGCACGATGGAGATGAAGTGTAGGATGAATTTCCCATCCGATGTAAAGATACCAATCACCAATGTACCAAATATATACATGAAGATGGGAGAAAGTCTGAAAAATATGAAGAAAAACAATGCTAATGGATGCGAGGACTCTTGGAGCTTCCTATACCACGACCAATCATTTGGATTGGTGGACAAGGGTTGTGCTGTTTGACTTGAGTTATTGTTTGCGGTATTAGGAGCAGACTGGGTATTGTTTTCAGTATACGCAGGCGCATCTGACTCAATTGGAGTATACGATGACATAAATATCGAAAGAAAATGCTTTGTCTGGTGCCTATTGAACGCTGAATCAAAAGAACCAATCTCCCTTTACCTGCCACTTGTGACAGCTCTCGTTTGCCCCAAAGCCTTAAGGTGTATTGTTTATATGCAGTCCTGTGGGTTTGAAAAATTATAGAAAAGAGAAGGGCCCACTAAAGTAGCATGATCTTATGTTACTCTTTATATTTAAACATGTTTAGACAATTTATTGGAAGAATAAACCGTACCCAGTTGGAAACTGGAAAGGTATGTTGTACTTCAGGCTTCAAAACTGAAAAAAAATGTAGACATAAATGGGGAATATGTGAGAGTCTCTCATAGTCACCTGGAAATCGAGCCATGCAGTATCAGTTCATGCTGGAAAGACAGTGATATCTAGTTGATGTGACATTTTTACTAACCAGCAGTTTGCCTTTTACTTACTCACCCCAATATGTGTAATGTACTATGTCGGGTTGGATTCTGACAAGAAATTCAACATGCCCGGGTTCTGGCCGGATCCAGCTACCCTTAATCAGATTCCCAAAGAGCCTCATGAGATTCAAGCGGAAATCGCACGAATCAGAAGAGCAAGAGCAGAGAAAAGAGCCAGGCTCGAAGCTAAGGCCAGAGAATTAGGAATAGAAGAAGATGCTGAAGGAAAGACTAGCGAATAGTAAAGACTGAAATGTCGCTGGAAGAACTTCTAACTCCCCACTTGTACATAGACGCTCTGCTATTACCTTCCAACCAAAAGCTATCTCAAGGCTTACGAGTAAACTTACGATACTTGAGATATTTTATTACTATTTTCATTGTGCACATATATTAAATGAAGTTATATAAGTAGCAAATGTTTTTAAAAGGGTGTAGGCTTGTGTATTTTCTTTTTGTTGTATTATTTTCTATTCTACCCTACGACTTTTCACTGCAACGAGCTTTCACTGCGTGAAGATTGGCTCGAAGCTCTGCTAGTGTAGTACTGGAAAGTTGAAGCCCCTCGCCTTCATCGAGAAGCTTCGTTAACGAGTTCATCAATTGGATATCCTTTGAGACATTAGAGTTCCCATTTAAGTTTTCTGTAGGAACCTCCGAAGGAGCTTTTGTATTGAACATTGGAGGAATCTTTACTGGAGATCTAAATTCGTAGGGGGTCGACAAAGGATCCGATTTTTGAGGTGGGTATACCTTTCTCCTCTTTTCTGACGACTGCCAGTATGGAGCATTATTGCTGCCATTACCAGCTCCATAGTTTAATTGCGAGAAGTTCCCGCTTGTTGAATTCGATGCTGTAACACCAGGAGTGTGAATTGAAGTCATGGCAGGCATGGGCGATAAAGGTGCAACAAGACTGTTATTGAACAAATTGTTGGGAGTGTTGTTACCATTTGCCTTGGTAAAAGGGTCCACAGAATTTTGAGGAAGTGATGCTGCAGCTGCTAAAAGGGAATTGATATTCAATGAATTTGAAGCATTTGAATATTCATATTGCATGTCAAATTGAGGATCAACTGAGGAGTTCCAGTCTGAAATTAGTCCATTGGGCTCCGCTATAGCTTCCAGTGCTGTCGTTACAGCCAATTCAGGTGCTGAAGTTAAATTTGTCGTTGTTGCAGACAAAGTTCCTGTTTGTGCTGGAGCATTGCTACTTCCACCTTCTTTGTCCTTGTCGGATGATTCCAGTAGACAACTACCAATAATCTCTTCAATACTAACATAACTTAATGTCACCTTTCCTCTTTCATTCACCAATCCTAACAATTCATCGATTTTCCAGGGAATGACAACGTTTAAATATCCCATAATTTCGTTCAATTTCTCATAACTTCTACTGAAATTATAAACTGATGCTTTCTCCAACATTGGTCCTAGCGATTCTTTCGCTCTCATGGTGACCATGGGATCACTTGATGGCCAAGGCTGCGTAGTAAAGTTTATCAAGTGTGTTTTTTTCCATGAAAGAAAGATGAGTTCACTCGAAATACTGTCCCATGATCTCTTTATCCATTCGATAACTCTAATAAATGGGATATCATAATCGGCTTCACTTAATGTTGATGTGGGGGAGGGATCAGGTTTATATTGCGAGATAGATGACGATGTTATAGGGGAGTTACTTTTGGTATCAAGGCCATCTTTACTATCACCACTTCCAATTTCTCCTCTCTCATTTCTCTTGGCCATATTCCTTTGGATATTTATCATTTCTAGATATTGCTGTAGTCTATACAATATCTTAAACTCTTCGATTATTCCAAAACTCATGGGTATATAGTCGAACTTCACACCATTGAAAAGACTAGAGTTGGATGAATTCTTATGATTAGACTCATTCTTAAGATAGCACAATTTTATGTTACTAAATTTTAAGTTGATTATCCGATGTGACGAGGAATCATCTAGCAATATGACAATCTTCCTGCCTGGTGAGTGGCTTGCAAGTTTATGTTCCAAAGTAAGTAAGTAGTTCTGAAACATACTAGACGTGATCCATTTGTTCGAGTTCGACTTATAGTAAAGATTGTAGACGTCTGTCAATTTGTTCATGAGAGTATTTGTATTGTTGTGAGTAGTGCCGCTGCTGCCATTACTGGCATTATTGGATCCAGATCCATTTCCATTTTCATGGTGTTGATGTTCATTTAGCTTGGTCAATGGAAGCTGTGAGCTCTCAGCAACGTCAAATGTATCGTACTTCCCCACTATCAATGGAGTCAATTTTTCCAGCCCATCTATATTCGTACCCAACATAATTGTCACCAGATTCTCGGTGGAACTGGATGACTGCCTCAATCCCTTATCGATGCTAGATACGTCAAATATCTGGTCCAAGGGTAATGAGTAGAATATTTGAAATTCATCCAAAGTGAAAATGTCCTGAGGGGCGTAATTTTCCATCTCAATCAACTGCTTTAGATAGTCTTTCAAGTCTAACTTCTCGTCTAACTTCCAAACTTTGTTCAATGGATAATTCCCTGGATTTTTCATACTGTCAAAGTCGTCACCTCTTAGGTTAGCGTTTAGTTTCTTGATGAAGTGATTGCACCATTTTTGGCTGAACACACCGTTTCCATCTTTTTCGTCCATGGGTAACCTTGTCCATATAGCATGTGCAGTCAGCTGGATTATGGGAGTCGTTATTGGGATGCCAACCCATAGAGCTTGAGTGATCCACTCAGTCAAGATACGACGAAGCAACGGGTTCAGCTGCTTCCGTCGTCTCACCAACAGGAAGTCTGCGGATTTTGAAGCAATGAGTTCATTTTTGGATGAAAGTATTCGAGAAATGGTCGTTTGTGAAGGTGCCTTCTCAGAACCGTACTGCTCCATGGCCCACTGCGCTAGTTCTCCCTGGGTCATAGATGGATTGGACTCTGCCTTTAGGCATATTTCTATCTTTTGTTTGATATTGTAACCCATATTCGATTGCAAATGAGCAGCCTTTGCAAAGTATTTGAAAAAATAGTTTGCACTCTTCTAATATGGCTTCCTCTTCTATGGCGTTCTCTCTAACCAGTCTTTAGCAGTAGTGAGATTATCTCTATGTACAATTCGTGCTTGATCTGTATGGTTAGCCAATGCTGCTTAATTATTTCCTATTATTCCGAGTTCAAACAATGAGACTAGATCACTATCAATTCATTATCAGAAAGAAATCTTGATATTTCCCCTATAACTTGCTATGGACAGCCCTACCATACGAAGAAAATCAGACCCTATGCATCACCTGGTACAATACTGTTGGCTCCGGGCTTTGACAGTGCGGTTCCTGCACCCAGCCGCTGAAAATTGTCCCATGGTGTGTGAGTCGCATGATTCACTGGTAAATCTGCACCGTACAAACGGCTGCGAAAGAGTCGGAGCTGAAAAAGTAACTTTAGTATGGGAGTTGTGAGCAGTGGAGTGGTGGGAGTGAGGATGCCTTGGCATCCTTTTTGGGGGGAGAGTGGTGTGGACTGAACTTGGTTCACACAGGGCAGATGCGTCTGCAGGTTCGAACGTTTGCATGTTTGCTTGTGCTTAGCGCTTCTTGCTTCGTGCTCAGGGAGGCTACTCAGTGAGGCTACGCAGTGAGGCTACTCTGCATAGTTAGATTTACGATATATTATATTATGAGTATTATATTACATTCTTTATCCATAAAAGGATGGTGAGCTATATATTATTTCTGCCGCCATTATTCATCTCTACAACAGATCTTGCTTGATGAATCCAAGTAACCCTTCCAATCCACTGGCTATTTCCCCATCAACATCATTCAAATTCTTGATAAGTGTCTCCTCATCAACTGCTTCTTCCTTGAAATTCTCTATACTATCAGTTTCTTCACCCTCTTCTTCCTCGTCTTCTTCTTCGTCTTCTTCTTCGTCATCATCACCTTCTCCTTCCTCGCCCTCTGCTCCCACTTCTTCCTCTTCTTCATCCTCATCTCCCTCTCCACTCTTTGTATAGTCAGTATTAATTATCTTTTTCACCTTTTCCTCATCTATCTTTTCGTCCTTAACCAACCTCAACAATTTATATCTGATGATTCTTCTAATACACTCCATGGTTTGCTTATTGATCCAACCGTCTTGGAAATCGGGCTTTTCTCTGAAAAATTGTTCTCCATCGTTCAAGTTCCTAATTTCATCGCTAATGAGCTTTCGAATATCCTCGTCAAGTAAATCTCCGACCTGATACGTTATCGTTCTAGGTAATCTCACCCCATCGAAGAACAAATTAAGTGATACTTCGATAAGCTCACCTACATCATTCCCATCTGAATCTTTTTGGTCATCCAAAGTAGGAGGAGAAATCTTGCTCACTTCAGTGTTGTACTTCTTATTGAATCTCAATCCGGGGATTCTGAAGTACTCACTTTGATATTTCCAAAATGACTTGTCTTCCTTTGGGTTGGAACCAAACTTGACATTGCAGAATCTCCATGGACCACTCTTATAAATATATGATACATAAGGTAATGCCTGTTTGATAACTCTTTTCAAATCCCTTGGTACTATGTCTTCAAGGTGTTTCCTGGTCCATATTGGCTTCCTTTCAAACATTTTCCGCAACCACTCGATACATTCAAGTAATGTATACTCTAAGCTATTCACCGCCGGTTTCGACTTTTCGTTTGTCAATTTTTCATAGTTCTCTTGAAGCGGCCTGGCAGCAACTTGAGGAATCTCGTTATTATGGAAATCTACAATAATAGTATGTAATCTTGGAGTCAACTTCTTGGATATCACTCGTATTTCTCCACTTTCTGCGTCTCTCATTGTTGCCGTCAAGGGGTTTTTCTGGTACTTGTAATCAAATGGAAATTGTATTGGCAGGAAAAGAGGCGGCGGTGGTAACTGATGGTCAATATTCTCGTAATTTTTGATGTCCTTGTAGTCTGGAATACCTTGGAAATTGTCATGGCTTTCGAAGTATCGATTTAAATCTTGAAAGTTGCCACTCCCGTTTAACACCGAGGTGTTAAAGTCCTGAATGGTTTTGTTATTCTTGGTGCTTACCTGGAAATCTGTCATAGATTTAAACAGGTACGTATTGTCGATTATAGCTACAGGTTGCACTTGACAGTCTGGCCCATCATTTGCCTTATTATTTTGAATTAGGTCTCTGATTTTATATTTAGTTGGGTCTTGGAAGTAATCTTTGGGGAGTTGCTCCTTTGGGATCGATACCTTGAGCAATATCTTCTCCGTCGTATTGATCAGCGATTGGATAGGGTGATGGAAGGGATCCTTACGTAGCCTCAATTCGAGCAAATTTCCCGCGTTTGAAGGTGCAGAATATACGCTGCTGTTGGAAGAGGAACTGGCAGAGTTACCATTTGAAGAATTGGCGCCGTTGTTGCTCTGGCCGGCCCTACCTCTGAGCTTTCCTGTATCAGCACCAGCGGACGAGCTGTCACCGTTACTATTCTTAGATGTTTTGTTTCCCGCTCCAATTCCTCCTGCTCTTCCACCTATTTGCTGTGCTTGACTTCCTCCACCGCCGCTAGGTTTATACAGGCTGCTTATTACCTTGCTAATCCTGTCCTTTCCGCCCAACATATCGATGGCCCTGTCTTCATTTTTAATTATCAAGGGTAATTCCACACTGGTTACGTGAGGAATATCCATAGAATGCTTTTTTGCAATAGATGACATGATTACTGTAGCCTATCGAAAGAAAAATACCGAAAAAGACACTAAATTACCCACTCAATTGTGTATTTGGCTAGCCTTTACCTCAACTAGTTCTTGTTTACAATCACGTTCTGTTTGATGTAGCTGCGATTTTTAAAAAAAAATGCCTTCAGCCAGATTCGAACTGACGATCTCCTCATTACTAGTGAGGTGCCTTACCAACTTGGCCATGAAGGCTGTTTACTGTCTTGTAAATTTTGAGAGCCCATGGTCTTATAAATAGTATCTTACTCTCCACTATATTTAACAGGCATTGGTAACTTACCAGGCTTGTATTTGTTCAACATATTGAACGCCTTTTTTCGAAGAAGCAAAGTCTCTGTCACTAAAAGTATTTCGGCATCAACTATAGAACCATGTGCGCATTTAGCAAAGCCTCTTACATTGTGCGATTTTGCTATGTCCTGCTGTCGAGATATCTCGTACTAAGTGCAAAAACCTAAACACCCACATGAGGTATGTCTTTTTAGGAGTCCAGAAAATTGATAGCTGCACCTTATATTCTACATTAAGAAGATCATACACTACCTAATAGCAGCTGTGGAATGTAAAGATCTACAGGTAGGTTTACATTATAAAATGTCGAAAATTTTGCATGCTTGGGTATTTTCTTCTGATACTTGACGAATGCATGTCTAAAATAATGTTTCGACAGTAGAAAATACCGGGTTAATTTTAGTGTGATAGCAGTTGAGCTGTGCTTGTTCGCTTTGATAGTAAATGATTGTTGTAGGTAGTATACAGATGGCGATTTATACATCTTTGAGCTCTGTTAGTAACGTGGCGAAGTAGAGGAGGTAGATTTTAATGAAGCTAGAATTATCACAGGTTAGAATAAAAAGTACAGCCGCAATTAAGATCAAGAGAACACTCAGCGAATTACGATGCAGTTAAAGTATAACAAGAATCTAGTGAGCTGACAAAGAATCCTTGCTTAGGTTTATTCAGTCGTTCAAGACATCTAGGGAACCTAAAAATAAGGGATCATGGTGATATTATTAGAAAAAGATCAGATCCCACCTACTAGTACAACACCCAAACACCCAAACACCCCATAAATAGAAGGTGCTGCCCATAGTCCGGTGGGAAATGGATTGATATGTATAGTCTGTGGAAAACCGGTTCGTAGGAACGGATATTGATCCGCCCTTGGTTTATTGTCAGGTAGTATTGTTCACCGGTCTTAGCTACTTCCAGCATATCAAATCTAGTGTAGGGATCCACAACGATCGGGCCCTCCACTACGAACCCCATAATCTACACGCGCACACAGCATCTGCAGTAGCACCTCCAACCGGTCTCGTCACTCTCGGCTCCAGTACCCCTATTTCTCTGTTTGTCTGTCTCAATTGCGTTCGCCAGCACTCGGAGTACATGATTACGCACCGGAGAAAGGCAGGATCTCGCTCCAAGTGTGCAACCATTTTACTATTCCCGTTTACCCGTAGGAAGTCATGAATCAAAACTCAGTATCCACTATATGCAGTGACGAACACTAAAATGACATTCTTAGTACAAGAGGAACCCCATACTTATAGAGCAGTTGCACCAAAACATACGCAATTGAAACTTCCCCGACGGATACCTCCACCAGCTCCATTGAGTGCGTACTATACTCCCAATTCCCCACCACACCACCCCTTGTATCCTCGAGCCAATATCTTCCTACTCTTTTGCAATCGCTCTAAAGTGTGGAGAGTCCGAAATGAACCGAAGTATTTCACCTGCACACTACCGCACTTTGTAGCACTCTGATTGGCTCCCAGCCCACGGAATCAAGGAACACATGAACTTTCCCAATTTTTCATTCCACGAGAACTGGGGGAGAGGAATTTTTATATAAGTGGAAAATATCGGGCACAGGATTTTTTTCTTCTTCCCTTTTCTTCCTTTCTGCTCTACAAACACATATATATACTCAATTCGTCATGTTTTCTGTTGTTAAGAGATCATTCTCCTCATCTTCCGCTTCTGCTTACAAGGTCGCCGTCTTAGGTGCTAACGGTGGTATTGGTCAACCATTATCCTTATTGTTGAAGTTAAACCACAAGGTTACCGACTTAGCCTTGTACGATTTAAGAGGAGCTCCAGGTGTCGCTGCTGATGTCTCCCATGTCCCAACCAACTCCACTGTTAAGGGTTACGAACCAGAAGGTATCAGTGAAGCTTTAACTGGCGCTGACGTTGTCGTTATCCCAGCCGGTGTCCCAAGAAAGCCAGGTATGACCAGAGATGATTTATTCAACACCAACGCTTCAATTGTTAGAGACTTGGCCAAGGCTGTCTCCGAGAACGCTCCAGATGCCGCTGTCTGTATCATTTCTAACCCAGTCAACTCCACTGTCCCAATTGTTGCCGAAGTCTTCAAGTCTAAGGGTACTTACAACCCAAAGAAGTTGTTCGGTGTTACCACCTTGGATGTCCTCAGAGCCTCCAGATTCGTTTCCGAAATCGGTGGAACTAACCCAGTCAATGAAAAGGTCACTGTTGTCGGTGGTCACTCTGGTAACACCATTGTCCCATTGTTATCTCAAACTAACTACAAGTCCCTCGACACTGACGTTAGAGACAAGTTAATCAACAGAATTCAATTCGGTGGTGATGAAGTTGTCCAAGCCAAGAACGGTGCTGGTTCTGCCACTTTATCCATGGCCCAAGCTGGTGCTAGATTTGCTGGTGCCGTCTTAAACGGTTTAGCCGGCGAAAAGGATGTTGTTGAACCAACCTTTGTTGACTCTCCATTGTTCAAGGATGAAGGTATTGAATTCTTCTCTTCCAAGGTTACCTTGGGCCCAGAAGGTGTCAAGCAAATCCACGGTTTAGGTGAATTATCTTCCCACGAAGAAGAATTAATCAAGGAAGCCAAGGACACCTTGATTAAGAATATCAAGAAGGGTGTTGACTTTGTTGCCCAAAACCCATAAACGTATATAAATAGTTATCATTATTATTTAAATAAAGGAGAAAAGTAGGTAGAAATCATGCTACAGAGCAGATACAATCGTAGACGGGGCTCGAGCTCTTACCCAGCTCAAGAGCTTCAGTAATACCGCTGATTCAATACTGCATATAAACGATTTGTGAAAAATTCGTAAATTAAATTACGAGGTTTCGCTTGAAGTCCACACGTGATTATTTCTTGACATACAAATAGCCAAGCCTATGATCAAGCCTATGATCAGGGCCCTACTGCATTTCTAGATTTGCAAGTCACTTGGAAAGGTGCTAAGATGTTACCATTGTAATGTTAGGTCGATGCTCTTTTATATAAAAAAATATCTCGGCTAGAAAGCCGGGGATAGCTAATGGTATGATAACTCAATAGAGCCTACTTACTTCTTTCACAAGTCCCTTCATCTCACCTGCCAAAAAGAAAAAGAATAGAGTTTGACTAGTACATGAATAAAAAACCATAAAAAAAGTCATTGGTGGAGGTGTAGCTCGTACTTTTGAAGAAAGCTTATTGCGCTAACACCTAATATATGATCCCTTTACGGGGGAACCTTGGCCCCAGAATAACCATATAATCCTGCACAATGCGGAGAGTAGCGTTAGCTCTGGGATATGCTTGCTATCTAACTTCTGTGCTGTACGGCATTATTCTCAGATTAAGAAATTAAAAAAAAAAAAAAAAAAAAAAAGGATAAAAAGAAAAAAAAAGTGGGAAGTTGAGGAGGAATTTAAGGCGAAACTCCGGCCCCTCTTTATATGAACCGAGGTCACCAATAAGCCCTTCTGAACACCTCTAGTTAAACACAAGAGTACCATGGTAGCGTATAGGCATTGTAGCATAGCAAAGCCTCTATACCGACTTATTTGGCAGTGCCTTAATTGGCTCGGTTCTTGGTTAATTTGAATTCGCAGTTATCGATTTTTCAACCTCCAGTGTTCGCAACGCATCAAACGTTGACGCAAGCGAAGTTAGTTTCCAACGCACATGGAAAATAGCTGGAGTGCAAGCCGCAAGTTTTGTGTAACATCATTGAACAAAAAGGATTTCATAATGAAGGTGAGGAGAATTTAAAGCAGCGTGCGGTCACAGGCAGAGAACTACATGGAGATGCGAGCAATGGGGGTAAAAAATAAAACAGCAGTGGTAGTCAGCGAACAAGCAATGTAGATTGCCAAATAAAAAAGAAACGAGAACAATAAGAAGAGAACAAAACTTAACAATACAACTCATATTCTCTTATGAGCTATCTATGCGTATATGCATTTAGCTATTTGGTAACCATAGGATGAAAAAAAAAAAAAAAAACCACTGCGCTCTGTATAATTAAGGTTACTATCTTGGGATTTAAACTTTTGTTTAATTGGAACGATACTTGTTCTAATCTTAACTTATTTCTAAAATGATGATTTCGTGCATTGTGTGCCTGACTGAAACTTCTGTTCGGAATTTAATTAGTTGGATCTAAAGTAATTTTGTAAGTTTGCACCCGGATTAGACATATTGTGAAACGGAACGGTCGAGCAACCCAGCCAAGTAAAAAAGAGAAAAAAAAGTCTCTGAGCAAGTCGGATGAAACAATAAGGTTTTGGTTATAAAGTTGAACGCTCAATTGAGTTAATTTGATTGGTAGTGAGACCATACTAATGCTATTGTAGCATGTATCAAGAAGTCCACTCATTCACACCTATCACAAATGTCGGGATTATTATAGTTTCCGAACTAACAAAATATAAAATTTTTTTACTGTTCATTTCTTTTTCTTTCCGCTTCATGTCGCCTGGGGCTGCATACGTCACTGTGAGGGTAGGCAGTGAAAAGTGAAAAAAAGCGAAAAAAAGGAAAAAAAAAAAAAAAAAAAAAGACCGCCGAAGAACTGAGGTGTAGAACACATTGCGCACACCGCAGTCATTATAGGCGCATATAGGTAGTCGAAATAGTGTACACATCTCCATCGAATAAAAGCACATGTAGGACGAAACGAACTTGAGGATAAAGCTTCGATTAATGTTCTCCGACTTTGGTTTCCATTAGGGGAGAGGAAACTTTATAATAATTCATTAAGTGTTTTAAAGTTTAAGAACTCTGCAGATCTGGGTAAAGAGGCTTCATCAAGGCGCCGGTCCACAAGTAAACTCCAGAATCACACCAGGCTTATACTTTGACATTTTGCAATTCTTTTCAGTCCGAACCTTTTGATCTTTTCTTCATTCCTTCTCTAATGTCCGGTCCTTTGTAGATTGCCTTTTATTTTATTTTATTTTATTTCTTTTTTGTTCGTTTGCATTTCTATTACTTCACGCCTCAGCATAGATTCAATAGATTTGCTTTTACCTTCACCTAAACCTTATTCTGCTCAACTGCTTGCATCTTTTTTTTTTTTTTTTTTTTTTTTTTTTTTTTTTTTTTCGGTAATTTTTTTTAAATTTAACACACGGTTTTAAAAAAATTTTAAGAGAACGGTAAACAAAAAAAAATACCACGATTAAATTACGC